TGCTCCTGATTACTGGGTGGTGCTGCTGCTGCCTGCCAGGCCCCATGTTTGTTTACAGCTCACGTGGGAAGTGGTCTTCCCTCCTCCTGTGAATTTTCCTCCTCCGCCACTCTCACAAGCTTTTCCACTCCTGGTTGCTGGGCGCACGCCCTGCTCCCGCCAGAGGCTCTCCGGCCAGGCCAGCTTGTTTATTTACAGTCCCGGGAAGGGTTCCCTTCCCCCAATCTTCAGTGCTCAGGGCGCCCCACCCTCTTTCCTCGTGTCTTAATTGTTCTTATTGCTTATTAGCTTCAGTTTCTCTTTTTTCCCTGGTGGAGGTCAGTCTGTCCAGGGAGCTTGCCTGCTTCTGGCAGCAGGCTTGTCTGTGGGGCTACCGCGGACTGGCGGAAAGAGGCTTTTGGCTATCACCTTGGTCCGTGTCTTCCCAAGCCGTCTGGGTGCTGGCCACTGGCGGCCCCGAGGGCCCTCCTGGTTTCTCCGTTTAACGTGAGGTGGAGATTCTCTGCGCTGGCTCTAGCTGCCATCTTGGAATTCTCGATAATAGTGTTTTGTCCTGAGCAACTAGTAGGATACGTTACCATCAACTAAAACAGGAAAAGCTCTAGAAGGAGAAGTTTGGGGAGGACATTCACGAGTTCAGTTTTTATAGAGATACTGCATTTGAAATGTTTGGTAGACTTCCAAGTGGAATGTCAAGCAGAAATGAGGTCTGGGTTGGAAGTATAGATTTAAGGCCACAAGAGGAGATGGTAGTGAATATAACTAGAAAAAAGAACCAAAGACTGAGCCTCAATTGCACTAACATTTTTTAACTAGGGAGAAGAGGAGGAGATTGCTAAGGAGAATGAAAACGAGTAAGCAATGTGAAGAAAGTATCTCAACATTAGCATCTGCAATCTTGTTTATCTTCTGAGAACTTCACAATAAGACAGTATTTCTCATGCATCTAACTCACAGGTTGTTCAGTCTTGCAGGCCTACCTTTCTCAATCTGCCAACTTCTCGATACACAGAAGAGGAGCATCACAAGGGAGGCTCCAGAGCCCACCTGAGAGCAGAACATACCACGGCTGTTCACACTGACCAGAGCTAGGTCTCATCATTGAACTTAGCAGCATAGAAGGCTGGAAAATGAGTCCATGTAAGTGCCCAAACAAAGTACAGCACAGGCTAGGTGTGGTGACTGATGCCTTAGCCCCAGCAAAAGTTAGTGAGACTCTATTTCAAAAACAAGCAGGGTGTGTGGTCCACACTTGTAGTCCCAGTCACTTGGGAGGTGGAGGTAGAAGGATTGCCAGTCCAAGGGCAGCTGAGCAAAATTGTGAGACCCTATCTGAAAAACAAGCTAAAGCAAAAAAGGACTGGGGCATGGCTCATGGGTGGAGGGCTTGTCTACAAGTGCAAGGCCCTGAGTTCAAACCCCGTTCCACTATAAAGAAAAGAGCAGAACACAGACACTAGTGCATGTTAGCAGTATCTGTCTCAGTGGCCTTGACAAGAGAAGTTTTGCAGAATGATGGAGTGAAATCCTGATTGGAGTAGATTTAAGGGAAGAGAAGGGATTGAAGTCAAGGAATGCAGACAGTTCTTCTGAAGTGGTTTGCTAAGAAGGAGCAGAGACATGAAACAGTAACTAAAAAGAAAAGTGGGGCCTAGGGAAGCTATTTTTAGAGCAGGGGGTGTAACATCATATTTGATGCTAATACATTTCAGCAGAAAGGGAAACATGACTGAGGTAGGTTTTTAAAAACATGGAAGAATTGCTGGTATGATGTCCTTAGGCAAGTGAGAGGGGAAGGGCCTATGAAAAATGGGGAAGCTGGTTCTAGATGGGAGCATGGAGAGTGTCTGCAGTCACAGGAAGGAGATGGCATGCACAGTATGGTGCTGGTCCAGGTGGAGGGAGGCTGTGGAAGTCCCATTCTGATGACTGCAGTCTCCTCAGAGCAGAGGAAAGAAGATCATCCTCTAAACGTGAGACTTGGAGGTTAGTGCAGGGCGGAGAACGTATATAATGGCCATTTAGAAGAACAGGAAAACCAGAGCTAAGGAAATGTCATACTGAATGCTAGAAAGCATTAAAGGCCCACTTGAGTCCATCATGAATAAAGAGGAGACCAATTCATAGAGAGAGTAGATTAGAGATTGTGAGGGGCATGGAGAGAGGAGAATAGGAAGGTATTGCTTAATGGTTATAGCATTTCTGTTGAAAGTGATGAAAAGTTTAAAAAACAGAAGTGATTGTTTCACATTTTGTGTATAGCTAGTGCCATGAATTGTATAATTAAAAATGGTTAAAATTGCACATATTATGCTATATCTAACAATTTTTAAATTATTGAAATACACCCTGAATTATTGAATTATATATTTTAAATGGGTGAATTATATGGTATGTAAGTTATATCTCAGTGTGGTTTTTAAAAAGAAAAGAAAGGACTGCCCCAGAGGGTGCAGCAGACACAGCCACAGCGAGCAGCAGTGAGTGGTCCAGATGGTGACATGAGGAGCTGCTGCACGCTGTGGGGCCAGGAAGGCAGCGTCAGTCATTACCTAGAAAACCCACCACATAGAAACTTCTGGCCCTAGACCACATCTAAGTAACCAAACTCTGACCAAAGGATTTGGTGAGAACCCCATAAAAGTTAATTCTCATGACAAACTTCAATCTGAGTCCACAGTGCAGAATGTCAAATAAATTATGACAAGCCCCACTTCAGGGAAATTCTGTCCCCACACTTGACCTTTACCAAAGGCAGGGGATGGAATGGCTCCTGTCTCACACCACTAAGTAGAAGTGCAGGAGCCCAATACCCTCTCTACCCTTTTGCCCACCCCACTCTTTCCTGACCTGGACTCCCTGCCCCCAGATCCCTTTTGTCTCCTTGTGGAAACTCATTATCACTAAATAAACTAACTTGAACTGTTCTTATCCACTCCTTCCCTCCCATACCCTCAGACTCTGCTAATTCTGACCAGGACAATAGTTTCCTGACTCACAACCCTCTATCTAGCCTCACTCTTCCTCCATCACTGGGAGCTTTCAGCCTTTCCTACACTCCCCCACTCTCAGTAAGCATTCACTCTAGGTTAAAATTGGGTATTGCTATGAAAACCCTGCTCTAGGACAATTTCCAAATTCCCATCTTTCAACAGATTGCTGCCCCTTAAGATGCAAATACAGCTGTTCTGGAGCCACCACTGCTTCTGCATTGGTACCAGAGTGGTCGCTCTTGAAGAAGACACCATCCTGTGCCTGCTTCAAATCCTCACTGACTCCTCATTGTTCTGTGATAGTATATAGGCCTTGGTTATCATAGTACTAAACATTCTTCATAATGATAACATTTTCAAAACAAATTTCAATATAGACTAGTGCTATGGTTCAGGTTCAAGTGATGGAAATGTAATTCCCAGTGCAACAATGTTGAGCGGTCAGACTTGAAAGAGGTAATTAGGTCATGAGGGCCCTGACCCCATGAGGAGTTTGGTGCCATTATTGCAGGAGAGAGTTAGTTATCGTGCAAGTGAGTTCCTGATGAAAAGATGACTTTAGCCCCCTTCTTTTCTCTCTCTTTCACTATGCACTGCCTTCTACTATACTCTGATGCAGCAAGGCCTTTGCCAAATGTGAGCCCCTAACCTTGGACTTCCAAGCCTCCAGAACCATTCAAAATAAATCTGTTCTTACAAATTACCTGGCCTCAGGTATTCTGTCATAGCAGCACCAAACAAAGACAACTTGAAATCTCAGCTTTTAAATGAGCTCTTATTTGAAAATGAAAAGGTTGTTAAGAATAATATTTTTTCTTTGGCAAATTTAATTGAGACATAATATCAGTATGTCTTTATGGGATAGATTATAATACATGTATATAATGTAGGATAATCAAATCAGGGTAATAAGCATTTCTATCTCTTCAGATATTAATCATTTTATGTATTGAATCTCATGCTCTTCTTTTCTAATCATTTTAAAATATACCATAGATTGTTTTAGCCAGTACTTCCCCTACTGTGCTATAGAAAACCAAAACTAATTCCTCCTCTCTGTGTTTTGGTGACCTTGACTGAACTTTCCATCACCCTCCCACAACCCCCCCACTGCCCTTCCAAGTCTCTAGTGACCACTATTCTACTCAGCTCTTCTGTGCAAGCAACTTTTTAGCTCCACAAATATGTGAGAACATGCACTGAGTTTTTCACTTTATATAATGACCTCAGCTCCATCTATGTTGCTGTAAATGCAGGATTTCATTCTTTTTATGAATACTATATATACTGTTATGTATGTATATGTGTGTGTGTGTGTGTATACATATATATGATAAATATGTGCATGCAGGTATCTCTTTGGTATAATGATTTCTCCTTTGAATGAAAAAATACCCAGCATGGGGATTACTGGATCACATAGCAATCCTATTGTCAGTTTTTAAGGAATCCTCATGCTGTTTTCTACTGTTTCCCAGTAGAGCATAAGAGTTCCCCCTTTCTCTGCATCCTCACCAGCATTTGTTATTTTTTGTCTTTTTTGATGATAAGCATTCTGATGGATGCAAATCACTATAGTTTTGATTTGCATTTCCATGATGATTAATGAAATTAATGGTTTGTTCATTTGCTTGTGGGCCATTTGTATGTCTTTCTTGAGCTCTTTAAGCACATTTTTAACTACATTGTTTCCTTTGAAGAATAATTACCTTTTGAATGCTCTTAAATGAACATAGTTTCATGACTTCACATGTGCCCTTTCAGGTAGGAGACATCTAACCCCAAAGGAAATGACCTCAGTTATGAAATAAATAAGTAGCAATACCACAGATAACATAGCATTATGTTTTCCAGTAATAAAACATCAAAATCTTCAGCAGGACAGCAGAGAAAGAAAAAAAAAGAGAGAGAGAGAGAAAACCCACATCCTCTGTGTCTTGTTATATATTACTAAAGTCAATTCCTGAAACAAGTGGTCTCTGTAGGTGAAAACAGAAGGAAGGGAAAATGCCTTTTCTCCTGTCTTTCCCTACTGCCATCTTTCTTCTTCTCATTCCTGGAGGTAAGACCTCTTTTCATATGCTTTTTCTCATATGCTTATGAGAAAGTAGACAACTATGTGGGTTTAATTTGTGATTAACATTATATAAAAAGGAAAAACAAATTAAAATTTCTGACCATTTTTAATGTTATCATTTGTCTTTGCCATCTAAAAGGCACACTGGCTTTTTGCTCTATGTATCTAGAGCAAAAATATGAAAGCATCGGTAATATCTGGTGGCTCTCATAAATCCTGGTCAGATCTAGAGCAAAGACTTTCAGTGAAAACTGAAAAAGCCATTAGATTGGGGACATATAGGTTACTTTTTTGACTAAGCCACCCAATCATAAAAATATAAGTGAATGCGCTCAGATAAGTCTTCAAATTTTCAGTTTCAGGATGTGTTGCTAGGTGTGTCCATTTCCAGTGGTGAGGGTGGTGAAGATAATAACATCAGTGTAAAATAATCCATTGAAATATATATATATATTTATATATGACAATCCTCAATAAAATTCACAATTAAAGATAGCAGTATTCTAATTGCTTTGTGCACATGAGTTCATTTAACTTCTTAAGTGTCATTGTTATCAGTCCCATTATACATACGAGGAAACTGTGACCAGAGATTAAGTACATATACTAAGTAAGGTATAGCAGCTGGTTAGAAGTAGGGCTGAGACTGAAACTCAGAGTTCATGTTCTTAACCACATACATGATGTAGAATGAAGACACCTTCAGAGCTGGACTTCGTATTATGAAATCTATGAGCTCATTTAAGACCATGCTTAGGCATCAGGAAGTCTGTAACTCTCCCAAAATTATATGTAAATATTTATTTACATATGTGTATCTTACTTTACTAGATTCTTACAACTCTGTATTATTTAGGGGGGGAAAGGAAAGAAAAGAAAAACAAGGAGAGCATTCTTCACAATGGAAAAAAGTGTGGATTTTGCATTGTATGTAACTAGGTTAGAATACTACTTGATCATTATTAGCTGCGTAAACTTGGGCAAGTTAATTGCCTTGTCTAAACTTCATCTCTCTTATCCACATGGAAGTAATAATACCTAGAGGGTAGGCATTATAAATACACTAATTGGTGCCTGGTAAGTCATAGGAGCTTTCATTATTATTCTTAGTATAGTTGCTGATATTTTTTCTTTGATTTTTCTTGCTAAACTATCATTCCAAACAATAACCACACCATGGAATATTGTGAGTTTTTTAAGGCTAATACCACAGTGTCCCACCTGAGACTAAGACAATGCAACCTGGAGCAGGAAGTGAATAGGCTATGAATGTCCAGTGGGTTCCTTTCCACTCTGCCCTATGTGGTAGTGGGTCTTTAATATTTTTGTTTGTTGAGCTTTAAGAAATTTCCTGACACTTCCTATCTGCATTTTAAATAGGATGTGTGGGGGAAGGTATGTTAAAAGTGTTCAAATTCTCAGAGAAGATTTTGAGATTCAATTATCCAGAAAGACCATGGAAAATTGTAGAAGCTAGGATAAACTTAATCTGAACAATTAAAAGAATAGTAGCAAGTCAAATTGGACCTTAAACAAAATCACCTTGCTAATGATTAAAATGTTAAGGAGTGCTAGGACACATGTCAAGTCTGAGCCTCAAAAGCATCTAAACGTGATAAATCATTAGCTCAATTTAGTATTACTCTGCAGGCATCCTGTTTCATTTTCATACTCTCTAACTATGCTACCTTCTACTTAACTTGAAATCTCCTCTAGTCCCTCCTGGTGAAGTTTTATACACCTTCCAACCCACTTCAAGGGGGGAACGTCCTTCTTCGTGAAGACCACAACCCCGGGCCAACAGCAATTTCTCATGTCTCTGGGTTCCTGCATCTTCTCTGTCCACCCACTCCAGGCAGTGTCAGGCAGTGTCATCTTTTGTGCATCTGTGCACAGCTTTGCTTTTTACATCTTTCTACTGCTAATGCTCTTTGATGATGAGAACCATGTTTCATTCATCTTTGCACCCCTTTAAACAGTACTCAAAAGTGACCACAAATGATTACATGGAAAAAAATTGAATGAGTATGTAAATTTCTTAGAAAAGAGGTCCTTGCATGATTTCAGCCTGGATTAAAAGTATGAGCAAGAGTTCAGTTAATGACTTCGTTATTCATCTTTCCCTGTTGGTGATTTTCATCATTTGTTCTTTAGCTACGACCCCTCTTTTTTTTTTTTTTAGCTCATTTGCCTCACCTTGCTTTCTGTATAAATAATAATGAAATGGAACAAAGACAAGAATAAGTAAAAGCTGTTAAAAAAAAAATTTACAACCAAAGCACTTATAAAGTAGGCAGTGCAGATCCAAGTTGCTCAGGGCTGGCCTGAGAGGGAAGCCAGAAAACCTAGACAATGGATTAAGTTTCTTTATAGACTGGTTGTTCCAAGGGGAACTTTTTCATTTTCAGGTGTTTTACCTACACAAGCACAAGTTTTCTAATAAGGAATATTTTTAATCTATGATAGGCAAGGAAGCCTTTGAATCAGAAGGTAGAGAATTCGTTCCCATGCATACTTGGAAGTAGAAAGCTTAAGTTTGCTGGCTAGAGCCAAGTGATAGGTGTCCTGCTAAGGAATCTGCAGACCCAACCTCCCCATTCCCTTCCAGCCTTCTAGCTTTTGGTCACTTGTCCTCTAGGCTGTCGATCCACACGATATATGAAATGACTGTCTGGTAAAATGACTTCTGCTAGTAATGACAGCAAAAAGGAGCAAAAATGGGATAAATTCCTGCTTTCTTAGACTACTCACAGACTTATAAACTTTTCAGCTGCTCTGGGAACCACCTGCTTCAGAATCACCTGGGGTGCTTAGTTAAAAATCACGTTCCCTGTTTCTGAACCACACTGTCTGGGGTGGGTGTAGGGAATTTGCATTTTAAGTACTCTGGGTTATTCTCAAGACACTAAAGTTTGAGAACTATTGTGCAAAAATAGAAGTATCTCTAAATATTTCTCATTTTATCATCACAGGAAAGAAAGAAAGAGAGACAGAGGGAAAAGAAGACATGGAGAGAAAAAAGGGAAGGAGAAAGGAAGGGAAAAAAGAAGAGAGAGAAGAGGCAAGAAATCAATTTCGATATGAGGCAGAATAACTTAAGAGTCTAACATAGTAGAAATATTTACTTATATTAAAAACCAACCCAAAAACTAGCACTAAACATAGTTTAGTAAAACACTCACAAGCACACATAGATCATAACCATAGAGGCAAAAGCTCCAAGCCAGGCCACTGACTGCTTGTCCACTCTCTCTCTCACAGAGCAAACCTGTTCTGAATCTATTTGTTAGAGCCATGCTTTCTCAGAATAAAGGATAGGTACTTAAGACAGGGTTTCACACTGGCTCATTCTTTTAGTTTTTCCAGAATCCCGTAAGGGAATTATAGGAGGAAGCGAAGTGGCACCTCATGCGAGACCCTACATGGCTCTCATCAAAGGGCTGGTGATCTGCTCGGGGGCTTTGATCAAAGAAAACTGGGTGCTGACGGCTGCTCACTGTGACCTGTAAGTAATCTCAGTTCCTCTCACTCCCAGGATTGACTTAGGGAGGTGTAACTATCAAGTTCAAAACCAAAATTAAGTTAGAATGGACAAGAAAGTTGGCATGTATATTCAAGTTGTGTCTTATTATGACACTTACTTCTACAAAACAGGGCCAGATGACAAAGAATGAGATTGAAATGCATAACCATTTTCTCATGTTACTTTAAAATATTTTTCACTATAAATAGCAACATTATTAAAATTTTGGAAAACAGGGAAGGTAAAAAATAACAATCTCATCAACCCCTCACAGTCACTATCAGTATTTTGTTATATTTTGTTCCACACTTTTTCATAAGCATATTTTACAAAGTCAATCAAACTGGATGTCTTCCATGATTACAGCTGGCTTACTTACTGCTGTATCAGTGGTATTGTCCCATGCTATTATCATATATTATACTGATCTGTAGGAAATTACTGCTGTTTGTTTAAAAACTACCAATTTCCTATGGCACAAACCTGGGTTTATTTGACAGACAGAATAGTGTTTACCGTGTGGATAGGCTGCTATTTTCTTAAATGGTACCTGTTTGTTGGCAACCGGTACCTGTCATTTCCCTGTTCACTCTAGCATAAATTGAACAAAAGAAGAGGCTTAAATATTAGTTTTCCCAAAAGAAGGTGCAAACGTATTTACATTAAATTGTGGTGTAAAATAAGTATTAGTCTAGTAAGAACACCAGCATAAGCCTGCTTTGGAGGCTCAAGCCTGTTATGCTAGTTACTCAGAAGTCAGAGATTGGGAAGATCTGGTTTCAAGGCCAGCCCAGGCAAAAAGTATCCAAGACCCTATCTCAACCAATGGCTGGGCCAGGGGTACATGCCTGTCATCCCAGCTATGTGGGGAAGTACAAGCAGGATAATTACAGTCAAGGCCAGCTGGGCATAAAGTGAGACCCTATCTCAAAAATAACCAAAGCAAAAAGGACTGGTGGCATGGCTTAAGTGGTAGAGCTCCTGCCTGGCAAGTGTGAGGTCCTGAATTCAATCCCCAGTACTCCACCCCCCAGACCCCCACAAAAACCAACATAATTTCCAGTGGAAATAATGTTAGCCACTGGCACACTCAATCATTAGCACTGTTTGCTACAAAGTCAGCCCAACAAATCAGGAAATGTTTTTGTCCACTTATCCTGAAATAGGTATCATTAGGTTCATCAGCTAGCTTCAGGCCTATCTCTAGTTTTGTTTGCTTCTGAGTGTGTGTGTGTGTGTGTGTGTGTGTGTGTGTGTGTGTGTGCGTTCTTTCTGTGTATTACATGCATGTGTTTGTATAGAATCATCTTTAAGTTTTCACTATAAAAACAAGGTTGTTTTCTTCATTCTAACTTCTAAAAGCATTGATTCTGGAAGACCTTTCCTATCTTTGAAGGCTTCAGCAAGACACTATTTCCCTGAAGCACAGGAAATCAAACCTTCTACTTCTGCTCTAGTTCTTGGGTTGAGTCTCTTCCATTAGGTGCCAACAACCTAGAAAGTCACTAGGACAAAGTTTTTGCTCTGCAAATCCAAAGCAGATGAGAAACTGGCAGCTCCTCCTTGGGCAGTGGAATGGTAGAGTCCAGCTCCCTCCACCCTGGCAACCCCTCAAGCACTGCTGCCCTGGGGAAGCCCACACTCCAAGCTGTTACGGGGCAGGCCTCTCCAGGGCTCCACAACTCATGCTCTTGCTTCTGCCACAAAGTCTGGGCCTCCCTTTTTGTTGCTTCGTCCTTGAAAAGATGTGGGGACATGGAAGCACCATACCCTTGGCACACATCTGGGAAGTGTGAGTAGAAGGCACTAAAACAACTAAAGAAATGGCTCTATAAGTTCTCAGTCTTGCTTGCTTGTTTATAAATAGGAAGCCATTTGAAAATACTGGTCAAACTTGAACAAATTAAGCCTCTATTTAAGCTTCATCCATTTTCTTATGTAAGTTACATGTGCTTTTTTCCAGGAAGGGAAACACCCAAATTATTCTTGGGGCCCATTCTGCATCCCATAAAGAGAAACTTGAACAAGTATTTTCCATTAGAAAGGCAATTTCCTTTCCATGTTATGACCCACAGTCATTTGAAGGAGATCTTCAACTTCTTCAGGTAATTATATTTGGAGGGTTTTTTTCCAATAACTATTTTGGGTTTTTTATTAGTGCATATTACTTGTACAAAAAAGTTGCATTGTGATATTTCCATGCATGCATATAAAGTACTTTGATCAAATTCAGCCCTCTATTACTCTTTCTTAGCCTCTCTTTTTAAGCAATTTCACAAGTCTCCTTATTCTATTTTTATGCATGCATACAAAGTATTTCAATCATATTCACTCCCCCTTCACCCTTTCCTTTTGCCCTCTCCTCACTTGGTTTCCACCCCCAAACAGTCCCCACTTTATGAAAGATTAATATCCATAATACATAAAATGCTCTAAAAATTAAACACCAAAAGAACAAGCAATCTAATTAATAAATGGGCAAACAAATTGAACAGTTTTTAGAAGAAGAAGTACAAATGGCAAATAACTGTATGGAGAAATATTCAACATCCTTAACCATAAAAGAAATGCAAATCAAAACAACACTGAGGGGGAGCAGGCATAGTGATGCAAGCTTATGATCCCAGTTCCACAGGAGGCACAGGTAGGAGGATCACATCCCAGGCCAGCCACTTGCAAAATCCAAGACCCTACCTGAAACACAAGTAAAGCAAAAAAGGGCTGTGGGCATGGTTCAAATGGCAGAGCACCTGCCTAGCAAGTGCAAGGCCCTGAGTTCCAACCATAACTATTGTGAAATAGTAAAATGTCAGTGTAACCTGAAACCAGTTTCTTTAGGCTTGGCCTCACAAGGCAGTTAGCTAGCTACTGCCCTGAGTATGCAGCTAAGCAGCATGACTGGGAGCCAGCACTACTGCCACAGGTGTTCCTTCCCCCTGTTGGAATTCAGTTCAACAGTTGTTCACAAAAGTCCTATTGTGGTAGGACCTGGCAGTCTAAAGTGCTGATGCTTACCAGTCAAAGAACTCACCCATAGTCAGACAACTTGTGCCTATGGATGCTAGCTCAGCTGGGGAGACTGTGCACTCTGAAAAAAATACTGGCCAGAGGGTCAGTAAGAAGATGTAAGATGGGGCTTATCATGGAATTTGAGTTTGCATCCTACAATTTGGGGGAAGGTTCAAGGAGGTAACAATTTGCTCTGAATTGGGTGTTGTCGACAAGTGAGATGATTCTATGATTAGGCATCTCAATAAATCCTACTTGTCTAGAAGACAGAGAGACCAGAAAAAGGGTAAGGCTGTGATTGGTACAGAAGCAACAGCTTCTAACCAATAGCGGGGTGTTTGGTCATTTTTTGTGATGCAGACATTGAGATCATTTGGGCCCATACTCTGCAGAACAGCCTTGATTTTTGTCACCCTGTCTGATACTGATAAGCTGTGACGGTAAAGAACTGTGAGGGGGCTTATAAGCAACCAGGAAAATCTAGTACTTAACAGTTAGTGCAGTCTGCTTTTCTCTTCCTCAGAAAATAAATCATAACCAGGACTTCCCCTGAAGGCATTCAGAGACTAGAAGAACAGTCAGACAGATAAATCACTAGCTCTGAGCTCGTGGATTTTGCTCATCCATGACACAGATACCTAAGAAGAGGTGTCTGGGAGCACCTAGGGAGAGCAGAAGGCCAGGGACACCCTGGTCAGCCAGGAAAGAGGGACGGAGGGGCCTCTCAGGCAGGAAAAACAATGTGTACAGGAAGGGTCACTTGGAGGAAGGGGAGAGAAAAGAGAGTCACAAGATTTAAGAAAAAGGGGTAAGCAAGATGTAAACCACAAAGCCAGGCCTTGCTAACCTTGGTGAGAAGTTTGAAGATTATAAGAAAGGAAATGAGGACAGTGTGTTAAGCAGGGCAGTGATGTCACCAGACTTATTAGAGCTGGGTGCTGTGCAGAAAGTGGAATGGGCAGACAGGACTAGAAGACAGAGTGTCCAAAGGGGCTGGTAGCAGGAATAATGAGGGGGTCCAGGGGCTCCAATATTCTCATCATCAGGAGTAAAGAAAGGGTCCTAGAGCTCTGTGTGTCTCTGACATTGACCCCCCAATACTTCTAGCCTGACCCCCTCACTATCTGCCCTGTCAGGCCTGGCCTCACTGGCATGCCCCATGTGCTAATTCCCACCAGGCTTCTAACCCTCCTTACTCCCCAGAAGGCGCTCTCTGGCCTAGGCCCCTGCTGCATTGTTTACCACAGGGTTTAACATTCTCATTACACTCCAGGTTGAGTTTGTTCCTCTGCCTCCCGCACTGGAGCATAAGCAACTCCATCTCTCGTCTGTTTTCCAGCTGGACCGTAAAGCAGTTAGAACCAAAGCTGTAGAAATACTTCACCTACCCAAAACAGGAGAGGATGTCAAACCCCACACCAAGTGTCGTGTGGCAGGATGGGGAAGTACCAAAAAAGACTCATGCAAAGTTTCAAATATTTTGAAAGAAGTCAACATCACCGTGATAGACCGAAAAATATGCAATAATGCAGAGCATTACAATTTCAAGCCGGTTATTTCAAACAGCATGATCTGTGCTGGCGGAAAAACAGGCGAAGACGATTCATGTGAAGTAAGTAAATGAAAGTTTTTAACCGTGACTTGGGTAGGTTGACAGTTGTTGATACCTTTTGTACAGGGACTACTGCTTGACACTAGTGTGGTGGCCCACTCCTTTGTCCCCTCCCTTACTAATGATCATATTCAGTACATAATTAACCACATTCACTGATGCTCTCAGGCCCAATAATCACGACAAGTGCCACTTATGCTCCTAGGGAATTGTGCAGGGCTGAGTGCAAGTTCTATAGTGCACCAAATTTCTACAGTGCTTTATTATGTCACTTCATCCTCAAATAATGGCATGAGACAGGCACTATTATTGTCTCTGCTTTACAGATGAGGAAACCGAAGTATAGAAAGTTACTTAACTTCCCCAGGTGAAGTACACCTGGCTATGGACCTAGATTTGGGCCAAGTTTGTCCAACTCCTGACACCTGCAGTGCTCCACCTGTCCATGTGCCAAGAACAGGCTTGAGGAAGATTTAAACCTGTTTAGAACTCATGGTCCTTAAGTGTTTTCATGGTCAGAAATAATATGTAATGGGAGCTGATGATGTACTTTTCTGTCTGAGATGACTTGGCTAGGGTCCTCGCAAGAGAAGGGAATATCTGAGATTCCATCTCAAGTCTTCTAATAGCCCCAACATTCGATTTCTTCCCCTGATGTTTATTGGACAAGAAAAGAAGACACAGATCAATGGAAGGAGACCATTATTTCTCACCAGTAAAGGCTTTCTTTATTATTGTTTGTTTTACTAATGGAAATTCTCCAGAATTGCCTTTTTCAAAATGACAATGATTGGAAAAGGTACACAAATCTGTGTTAATTGATGCCATAAGCAGACAAGTCATAAAGGAAATTTTCAATTAATTTTTAAATAGGGAGAGAGAGATAGAAGGCATGGGTGAAGTGTGAGTGAATAGAGGAAGGAAGGAAGGGAGGAAGGGAGGGAGGAAATCATGAATAAATATCTTGGTAAAGCACTCAAATTTAAAGCACATGACTTTCTGTTCCAGGGGGATTCTGGAAGTCCTCTGATATGTGATAACATTTTCAGGGGTGTCACCTCCTTTGGGAAGTGTGGTGACCCCACAAAACCTGGCATCTACATTCTCCTTACAAATAAACATCTCGAATGGATAAGGAGAACCATTACAGGAGACATATGACATCCTTTCTTCAAAAAAGACAACTGAGGTAACCACCAGATGTCAAATGGGGTTTAAACTTGATTTCAACAACCGTCACAAGTGATAGCCCATCTGAAACAGTCATCAATAAAGAAACAGCTTCCTGCTTCCACTCCTATGTGATCACTAAGACTGCAGCTTCCCACTATTTTCTATCCATGGCCAAAGATGCCCCTCAAGAAAAGTTCTTCAATTCAGGAACCCTTTGCTTTATTCAAAATTTGAGGACTGTCACTTTGTTTGCTGTGAAAAAGCAGCAGATTCCAGGAAAAGAATGGTCTTCATCCTTCTAAATGCAGTTCCAAAATATCTGTGGCCCTTAGAATTCAGACTTCTATTCAGAGGAGAGATGGAGATTTTACTTCTTACTATAGACTTCTGTATATTTTAATTTTTACAAAAAAATGAGTCATAAAGAATAAGAAAGATTCTATGTGTGATTTAGATATTTAGAAAATTTAAAGTTTGAGGCTAGGGCCATTTCGTGACAACCTGATCATTTATTAATTACAAGTGGACTGAAGTTTCGTATGCTAATAGGACTCAGGTGAGACAGCAAGTGATGAGCATTTTGCCAAATTATACAACCAAGCACTAAGCAAGTTCAATGCTGTGCTTAATAAATTGTGATATGTGACAAAGAAAATAGCTTCTTTTATCATCTACTATTGATATCTCACCTTTTTATTCTGCTTTTTCTCTAAAGAGCTCAATTATAATAAAAGCATTCTCTAGTGATTCTGACTGATTTATGCAATTTAACTCATCAAACATTTCTTCAAGGACCACTGTGTGCCAGGCATTGTGCCCAGCACTGTTAATTCAGGGGAGACTAAAACATGATCACTGCCCTCGAAGGGTTCAAAATCTAACAGAAGATGAGGAAACCAGAAATAAGAGGATATCTACTTCAGGTTCTGAAGGATATATAGCGGAGTAAAAGTCTATGGTGTTAAGAAGGTGACTGAAGCTGGGCGTGGTGGCACACATCCGTAATCCCAGCTACTTGAGAGGCAGAGGTAAGAGGATAACAATCCTAGCTGGCCAGACAAAAGCAAGTGACCCTACCTGAAACATAACTAAAGCAAAAGAACTGGGGTAGCTGGGGGTGGGGCTGAAGTGCAAGGCCCTGAGTTTAATCCCCAGTACTGTAAAAACAATAAATAAACAACAGTAATTGAAAAAGGATAAATAATATTTCATACTCCCATCATGATTAGTCACAAGAGTTTTCCTCATATCTAAGGTAGATGTTCATAGTACAGTAGAGACAGACTGGCTCCTGGGAGAGGAGGTGATGATGAATCACTCTAAGTTTATTAGGGATGCTACAAAGGTGACGCTGATTCTGGAGACCTGGTATCCGTTCCTTGGAGAGAATCATGCATAAACTGGGAAGGGAAAGGTTGACTGAAAGGGAAAATGGCTTCATTTTCAGGGTTGTAGTGCTGTGCAGCCCAGCAATCTTCTGCCTTGCAGCTGGTGTGTCTTGAGAGAAAGGATGTGCCCCAGGCAAATGAAAAATGCCACTGACTATGTCAACTACATCTTTCCTGATAAAGGACATATAAGCAGAGTAAAGGTCTATGGTATTAAGAAGGTAACTAGAGCTGGGCATGGTGGCGTGCACCTGTAATCCCAGTTAAGATCAGATATCAGGCTCCACCAAGTTGGGGATTTGGCATCCAGCACATTACAGCTCCAAGTTTCAGGATCCCTCTGGTCTACCCAAATACCTCCTCCAGCCATTCCACAGCCCTCTCCTCCATCATCACCTTATTTTCATAAGCATGTTTGTATGCTTCTATCCTTATCATCTTAAAAAGAAAAAAGATCCCTGTCCTAAGCATTTCCTCCATTTCTCTGCTTTTCTTTATATCAAAACTCTCCAAATAAGATGTTTCTTCTCCAAATTCTCTCCTTCCATTCTTTCTTAAACTCCAATATGGCTTCTGACCCATACTCCACAGAAATGGTTCTTATCAAGGCCTTTGCCTGGTTACTTGTTAAATCCCCTTATTTGTCTTTTCGGCAGTATCTGACACCCTTAAGCCCTCCTTCCCCTTGAGAGTGCTGTCATGGTCTCCTGGCTCTCCTACCTCATGGGTTCCTTCTCCTAACTCACCACTGCTTCAGGATCTTTTTCTCCTCCACCTCTCAATGCTGAGAGGCCCCCAGCCAAATCCTGAGACGTCCTCACCATCCTCACTCACTCCCTTCTAAATGGCACCTAGACTCTATGACTCCCTAGACAGCGCGCCATCTATACACTGGTCATTCCCAACTTAAGTCTTCAGCTCAGACATGTCCCTAACTCCAGCCACCTTACTCTACTCCATTTGGAAGTTGAGTAGACCTCTTGATCTTTCCTTGTAAACCTGCTTCAACTCTAGATGTCCTATTTACTTCACGGCAACATCAACCTCCCAAGAGCTCGCACCAAAAAATTCTGAAATCTTTGCCTCTTCTTTCTCTTACACTACACATTCAATCTGCAAGAGAATTTTACATGGCTTACCTTCCAAATACGTCCAGATTCCAATCTACCTCTCACTATGTATGCTGCTCCCACATGGGTTCAAGCCTCCATCTTCTCTAGTGTAGGTCACTGTGATTGCCTCCTACTGTTCCTCCAGCTACTCTTGTCCTTGTTCAGCTGTTCCCCACAGAGTACCAAATTGTCCTGCTCAGACACATCAAATCATGCCACTCCTCTGATCGGAGCCTTCTAATGGCTCTTTATTTCACTCAGGGCAAAGTCAAGGTCATATAGTGTCCCACAGGCGCTCACAATTTTGTCTTCCAGCATTTCTCTGAACTCGTTTCCTTCTTGGCTTTCCTCACTCATTTCTCTGTAGCCACACTGGCCTTCTTGCTCTTTCTCAAAGTCATCAGGCATTGAACCCACTTGGGGCAATTGCACTGGTCTCTCCCTATTTATGGAAAATGTACCCAGATAGCTTCACTGCCAACACACTCAACATCCTTCAAATCTTAGCTAAAGTGTCACTAGCTCACAGCACACACCCCCAGACCACATTTTTAGCCCCAAGTGCACTCTCCCAACCTCTGTACTTTGATATTTTTTATTATTTTGCAATATATATTTATTACACCAGTGATTATTATTTATTTCTGTCTCCTCCCATTAGAATGTAAGTTTCATAAGGGCAAGGATTTTTGACTTTTGTTCACGGATGTATTTTCGGTAGCTAGGTAATCAATAAATACTTTTTACTGAATGGATGAAATAGATAAACCCCCATAATGCTACCAGCCCTGAGAATCTGTGCCTTAAGCAGGCAGTTTCCTCCTCTGTATGCATTATTTCTCAAGGAATTAGCACAGTGTGTCCTTAACTATCACCATGCTGAGAAATAAAGGACTACTACCCCGAAGACCTTTACCACTTCCTAATCTTTACCCAAAAGTAGCCACTATTCTGTCTTCTACAGAATATAGAATATAGCCTAGTTTTGCCTAATTGTTACCTTTAAATAAATCATTACTAGAGGATGTACTCTTGTGTAAATTGATTCTTTTATGGGACATTATATTTGTGAGGTGCATCCATATAGTTGTAGGTAGTTATAGCTTATTAATTTTCATTATATATGCCACAGTGTGAATGCATAAAATGATTTGTTTATTCATTCAGATTTCATTAGGATTGAGACACTTTCTATTTGGGACTCTTAGGTTGGGTCCCCAGAACCAGACCATTAAGGGAAGAGCCTTGATTTGCTAGTGATTTACTAGGAAGTGCTCCCAGTGGAGACTGGGAGTATGGAGAAAACAGGGCACAGGAGGAGACATTAAGCAAAGGTGCAATCTCAAATAGTCACCCAGCCCAATCCTGCAAAACTGTGAAATGTAAATGCAAGGGAGCTGAGCCCTCAAAGCACCCAGCAGTCACTGCGTGTTGACTGCCTCCCAAGCGCAAATCAGCTCACAGGACACAGAAAGAGTAAGAAGGGGTCTAGATGGAGCACTAACATTGTCTGTCACTTAGCTATTACATCTACTGGGGGATCCATCTTTTGGTGAACATAAGGACATGGGGAAATGTCAATTACTCTGCAAATCCTCTCAAAAACAGACCTTCCTCTAGTATTCTCAACTCTAGCACCCAATCTTTTTCCTTTATTAAAATTATTTCACCTATTTCTTAAAATTTCTTCCTTAGTAGCCTCTATGATCCATAATGGAGAGTAAATTCATTTTATTCACCTTTGCTTCTTAGTCTCTGCATTCAGCATCTAACAGACATTCAATAAGTATTTGTGGGATTAATTGATTTGATTCCAACCATTTCCCCCCATAGCTGATTCACTGCTCTGCTACACTGGAAAGAGCATACCAAGTTCAAACACAAATGCATGTAATGGCATGCATTGCCCTTTTGGAAAATATTGATTCACTGAGTTATATAGATTTTCCAAAGGTTGACACATTTTATTACACGATATTTTAAAAGTCGAATTCATTAACACCACCACCATCTCATCAGGAAAGTCATTACACATTAGGAAGTTGTCAAGCAATTTATTACAGACACAAGTTTTCTAAAATTCTAACTTAACCTTGGAAGCTCTAATTTTTATGTCAGGCTTATTTCACTCGTCTTTGAGAAAATGCCAAATATCCATGACCAGATGGCTACCCTTTGTCAGTATTTCATGAAAAGGAAGATCAAATCACAACTCTAACAATTACGCTAGTGCTTTTCCTCGAAACAACCCTTGTACTTCAGTGCATAGCCAAAGTGCATACTTTGCATACTCCCCACATCATGTATAAATATTAAAAAGACATTTGCTACAGGGGAAAGTTATGGAAACTAAAACATTTTAATGCTTCTCCTGCAACATCAAGGACATTCTTGAGTGAAACTTACTTTTTTCACTTGAGAGTGCCTGACAATGAATACAATAACTACTAGTACAGTTTGGTGTTACTCCACTGATTTGCACTAAAACAACAATTTTTAGCTGTCATTGGTTTTGAAGAATCAGTATAAATGTCAATATACCAGGTAAAAGCAAACATGTTAATATTATTACAAAAATAGTTTTGGCCTCATTGATCCCTGAAAGGGGCTCAGGACTCCCTATAAGTCCACAAGTTACACTCTGAGAACTACTGGCTTACAATATTGCAAAGGCTCATTCACATTACAATAAATTAAAATATTCCCAAGAATATAAAGAAATAGTTACATGCACAATTTTTGAAATTTATATTTCATAGTTAAAACAATCAGGACAAAGATTGTTAAAACTGAACAGATTTGGTGGACTCAAATTTTTCAATTTCAAAACTTTTTACAAAGTTACAGTAATTAAAACAATGTAGTACTAACATAAGAATAGACATATACAAAAATTCCATAGAATTGAAAATCCAGAAATAAACCCTAATCTATGGTCAACTGATTTTCAACAGAGGCCAAGGCAATCGTATGAGGAAAGAATAGTTTTATCAACAAATTACACTGGGACAACAAAATAGTCACATGCAAATGGATGAAGTTAGACCTCCCCCCCAGCCACACACAGAAATTAAGTTAAGCCACACAAAAAAAATAACTCATAAAATAGACCTAAATGTAAAACAAACAGAACTATAACACTCTTAGAAGAATATGTACAATTAAACCTTTGTGCTCTTGGGTTAGTTGATGATTTCTTAGATACGACACCAAAGGCAGAAGTCATTTTAAAAGAATAGGTACCACCAAGAAAGAGAAAAGACAACCCACAGACTTGGAGAAAATACCTGCAAATTACATATGTTATAAGGGACTTGTAAGCAGAATATGTAAACACTTATCCCTCAATAATAAAAGACAAATGATTCAACTTAAAAACAGGCAAAGGATTTAAAGAAACATTTCACTGAAGATGTATGAATGACAAGCACATGAAAAGGAGTTCAACATCATTAGTCATTACAGAAATGCAAATTGAAACCACAAAGCGATATACTTACTAGAACAGCAATTATCAAGAAAGCATTGACAATTATATAGAGAATTTAGAACCCTCATAGATGATTGGTGGGAATGTAATATGGTACAACCATTTCAGAAAACACTTTAGAAGTTACTCAGAATGTTAAATATATAGTTATTATATCACCACCTAGTTACCCAGTAATTCCACTCCTAGGTATAGAACCAAGAGAAATGAAAATGTAAGTCCACATAAAACTTTGCATGTGCATATCATTATTTTGATTTCAGAATAGAAATAAGCCAACTAAGTGTCCATCAACTGATGAATGAATAAATAAAATGTCCTTTTCCATATAATGGAAAATTACTTGGCAATGAAAAGAACTGAAGTACTGACACATGTTACAACATGGATTCATTATGCTAAGTGAAAAAAGTCAGTCACAAAAGGCTATGTGTTATTTGATTACATTATCTGGAATGTCTAGAAAGGCAAATCTATGGAGACAGAAAGTAGATTAGAGGTTGCCTAATGAGAGTGATAGCTAGTTGATACCAGGCTTCTTTAGAGATGAAGGGAACGTTCTAGAACTAGATTAAGGTGATGATTACACAACTCTATAAATACACTACAATTCAGTGAAGCATACACCTTAAATGGATGAGCTTTATGGTGTATAAATTATACTTTGAAAGGCTGCTAAAGGTCAACATAAATGGAGGAATGGAGACCACAGTTACATGGAAACAAAATTGTCAGTGTTTCCTTTATGAAAGTTTCAGGAGGTGCGCACATTAAATTTGATTTTTTTTAAGTCTGCACTAAAATTACTCACCAAAGCCATAAGCTAAGTAGCCCACTGCTATTACTAAAAATGATTACTAAAAATGCTATACTGGTAAGATCTGGGAAAAGGAAACTCAGGGGTCTCAGCAGGCTTTCATTCTAGTCTCTAAAGTTGTATGGTTTCTGAAAAAGTAACCACTAGGTCTGAAGTCACCAGGGTGTTAATGACAGGAATGGTTAATTCAACACCAGACACCGTGACAGAACATATGACCATATATATCAAAACAAAGACCACATCCTCTGCTCAGAAAAAAATCTAAAGACATTTCTAATAGAACACACACTCTACACTGTTCCTCCAGGAGCTGAGGTTGATTCTTTTTAGTGACACATGCCCCGGTGTTGCACAAAATAACCATTTCTAACTCCCATTTTCCTTCTCAGCTAAATCTGGATGCGGGGAGGAAGGAAGGGAAAAAGAGAAAGGGAGGTAGGAGGAGTAGAGGGAGGGAGAAAAAAGGAGGAAGAAAGGAAAAAAGAACAGAGGGGGGAAGAAAGGGAGGGAGGAAGGAAGGGAGGGAGGGAAGAAACAAATAAAGGAAGGGAGGGAAGGGAAGGGAAGGGAAGAAGGAAGGAAGAAAGGGAAAGGAGGGAGGGAGGAAAAGAGGGAGGGAGGGAAGGAAGGAATTTGATACGATATCTAGAATTTCAACATTAAACATTTATAGGTTCTCAGGGGTTTTGTTTTGTTTTTGTTTTTGTTTTTGTTTTGTTTTGTTTTGTTTTGGGCAGCACTTGCTAGGCAGGAGTTCTTACTGCTGGAACCACTCAGCCAGCCCAACATTTGCAGGAAGCACAATCTGAGGGATGAAAAGGGCCAAAAACTCCTTATCCCACCAGCCACTTCCCTAAACCCGTCACAGACTCTAGGCAGAAGGACAACAAAACATTCTCCACAAAGCAGGGAAGGGAAATAAAGGCAAGAGCTCATAGTGCATAAGTCTCCCTCTTGATCTACACTTGAACTTGGCCCATTAATTCTTATGTAAGCCAAAGAGATAGCTATAAAGAAATTTGCTAGGTGACCAATTTTAGGCCATTTTCTTAAAGCTCTGATTTTTAGGTGATCAAAGGACCAGTATTAATGGATATTGATGATAATGTCACTGCTAATGTCACATTCTCTTCTGTGTGCTATATTCTGGTGGCAACAAGGATCCCTTCCCTGTTACCCCTTCCCTTAGAATCACACTCTCCCAGTCCTGTCTGAGGAAAGCATGCCCACTGGCCATGGGCAATTTTTCACGGTTCTCACTTATTTCTGTTTCATTTTCTAGTGTAACACCTTGAAATTTGAAAGAAAGAAGAAAGGAAACCACATCCTTTGTACTCAAGCATATATATGGAAGCATTCAAGAACCAAAAACAGCTTTTCAGATTGATTGATGTGGGGACTCCAGCCACAATGAGGAACTCCTGTACATTTCTGGCATCTTCTCTCTCAATTGTCATTTTTCTCCTGCTAATTCCTGGTGGTAAGACTATATCCTTTTATTTCCTTCAAAAGCAAAACTTTCAGTGAACCTTTGGTAATGTTACCTTAGTATTGCTCAAAGAACACATTTTACCCCCAAGCCTTAAAATATTTAGCAATCTTTTTTTGAATTCTAAATATTTCTTTATTTTGGAAGGGAAAAATCTTTTTTGTTTATCTCCAAAAGATAGTAGAACCACCTATGTTTATTGCTGGCAATTCAATAGCTTGAAAACTGCTTAAAAAAAAATACTTGCGTTGGGAAAATAATCAGTAATGATTAGAATGTTTATTGCTGTTTCTCTAGGCTAAGGTCTTCTTGGGAGTACATCAGGACATTGGAAAAGTTCTCTTTTGAGCTACTTCTTTGGTGTAGAAAATGGTAACCTGATATTCCTGCTTTTGTATGAGTTCCACAGGCATGGTTGAAATGCTGTGAATCTGTAGCACTGTTACCTGAAGGGTAAATAGTTCAGGAGTAATTCTAGATTTTCTTTGAAGTGAGGACTCCACTAGGGTTGGGGTAAATTGGGCTCACAATTTATATGGAGGCAGCCATGGTTTCTCCCCGAGGACCATCAGCTTTTGGAGGTAGAAGTGTTGGGCAAGGATTTATGCAACAACCTCAATGCCAGTGAGCAGTGAAAACATGGCAGATTAAAAAATCTGACCGAATCTTTTCTTCATAGAAAAAAACAAAAGCAACTTGTTCTGCTCCACTTTTGTTTCCTGTGTTCAGAGAGAGCAGAGTGCAGAGGAACAGAGACAGCAAAGCAAGGCATTGGACTCTGGAATAGTGGTCTCAACCCTTCTCCATATTAGAATAATTTGGACTTTTTAAAAATATTGGCATCACAAAAAGATAGAACAAAGGCAATCTGCTCTTGCTTGCAAGAAACAGAGAGATGTTAAAGACTTTTTAAATTTTTTTAATTAACCAATATTGGCATCATAGCTTCAGCCTCAGAAATTCTGATTAAATTTAGTGAGAAACAGAGACTGAAGTTTCTAAAAGCTTCCTATCTTCTCTAACTCTCCCCCAAACCCTTCTAAAGAGGGGCTGATTGCAGATGTGGACTTATTCTGAGGCTGGAATATGTGTTTGGACAAGCACAGAACTCTGCAAAAGAGAGTGCTGTGCTGAGTTTACGATTCTGCAGCCCAGAAGGTCCAAAAGTGCACCTGTGGAATCTACCTACACTAGTCACCCAAGAAAAACCTGGAATGTGGCTAACATTCTTTTGGCTTCCTTGTATTCCTTGTTCTTTTATTTCTAGAACCTAGACTCTCACCTTCCCAATTCCTTGTGCAAAGCAGAGACTTGGTCATTCTTTCCCCTTCCACTCACTCTCACCAAACCTTATGAAAAGCTTCTGTGTCTATCTTTGATGCCTTTCTGACAATTTGGCAATGAATTTGGTTTAACTATGGAATAAGAGGCACTGAGCCCTATTTAATAAAACATGAGTCTCAGGAGAAATATTTTAGAATTCAAGAACATGTGGTGTAGAGGTGGAGAGCTGAGAGTCCATCAGAGACACAGGTCCCCTGCACAAGCATGTACGCTTTGCCTGGGTCGCACTGATCTCTATCAATGGAATACTTAGCAGCACCTCTCCTCCTTCCCCTTCCTCAGTGGAAAGGCCTTAGATTAGACAGTGTGGTTTGGTCTAGAGATTGAAGAGGATCCTTAGGTGTTTTTCTCTCAGCCTATGACTTCAATGCCAAGGCTCACAATGACTAAAGCAGTCATGGAGGGTCACAGCTAAAATGTACTAATATCACTCAGTATACTGTGTTTTTGCAAGGGCTTGGGTAAAAAAGGGCAATTGTCAGGCTTCCAAAAACCCCCTCTGCTCCTCCAAGTTAATACTTAAGAGAGTGGGGACACTCACAGTGGTTATCACCACCAGCATCTCCTCCAGCAGTTGCTGCTGGTGCAGACCAGGGTACAGTACTGCCCTTGGCAAGGCCTGAGCACTGAAGCTGCAAGTTTGTGACAGATTTTCATCATGATGGTCCCTGGAACACTAGTGGCATGACTTCAATGGGTGCATCAGCAGGGACCTCCCAGAGGCCAGGATTTACAGTCGGACGTCTGAAGGTTTGTGTGGGGTAGAAGCAGGGTAGGTAAAAGCTCTCACCCGTGCTTTCTCTGCAAGTAGGAAAAGCATGGCTGGTCTTGAAACAGAGTTGTATGGAGAACTCTTTGGGGTGGGCCCTGGACTGACTTGTCTTTTTCTCCTGAACAGATGGCTGTGTAAGAATCATTGGGGGAAATACGGTGACTCCTCATTCAAGACCCTACATGGTCCTGATTAATCTCAACAAAAGAAACATCTGTGCTGGCGCTTTGATCGCAAAAGACTGGGTGTTGACGGCAGCCCACTGCGTCCTGTGAGTGCTTGGGTTTTTAAAAACACATTTGTACAGATGTTCTAATTTGGGAAATAATAAAAAGCGTACATCTCACTAAGCCATGGGAGATTCACATACATTTCATATGTCTTTGACAAGTTGCCTTAGCCCTAAAGGAAGTTAAGCCCAAAGAATCAGGTCAGTGAGGAAGCAGAAGCCTCGAGCTCTCCCTGAAGTTCTCCCCTAGAGCCTCAGGGCACAGGCGCTGCAAAGCAGTTAGCTACAGCATGGAAAGGACAAACTCGTTAGGCCCTCAGGGGCCTGGGTGCAGCCATCAGGTAAAGAAAACTTGTTTCCAGTGCCTTCCTGCATCTCTTAGGGAGCCCTTCTCGTCTTTAGCCACCACTTACCCCATCAGCCTCTCTACTCTGCAGCCTCTTCCAGGTCTGTACTTTCCTACACCTCTAAGCCAGAGCTGTCCAATATGATAGCCACATGTGGCTTTGTAAATTTAAATTAACTAAAGCTAAATAAAAGTACGAATTTACTTATTCAGTTGCACACTGGCCAGATTCCAAATCCTTAGTCCCCACACATGGCAAGTGGCTACTATATTGGACCAGGGCGATTCAGAGAACATTTCATCATCAAAGTATGCTCTGCTGTAAGGCACGGGTCCAGTGTCTTAAGTGGCACCAACCTCAACTGGTGTCATGGAAAAGAAGCAGTGTGAAGATTGTTTGGTATAGTTTATAGTAGATTGTGAATGATAATAACCTTAGGCAGTAATACATCAGAGTGTATTTTGTTTTTGTTAACCAAAATGAACCTCTGTTCATTTTGTGGCCCTTTTTGTCAGGCCACCATCCCTGCAATAAACACGCACTCAAGGCCATGCAAATAGGGTCCTGGTGTTTGAACTCAAGGCTCTACCACTTGAGCCACTCCACCAGCCCTTTTTGCTTTCATTATTTTTGGGACAGAGTCTCAGGCTTATAGCCAGGCAGGCCTAGACCATGATCTTCCTTCCTATTTATGCTTCCCACATAGCTGGGATGACAAGGGCCATACCCAGCCATTGATTGAGAAGGGATCTCATGAACTTTTTGCCCTGGCTAGCCTTGAACCTCCATCCTCCTGATCTCCACCTGCTGAGTAGCTGGGATTAAAAACACAAGCCACTGTGCCCAGCAAGGAAGTTTTCCCATTTATGATGGAGTGAACTGTTCTCTTACAAAGCTCCCAAGGGCTGAGAATGTAGCTCAGTGGTAGGGGACTTGCCTAGCGTGTTCAAGGCCCAGGGTTCAATCCCCAGCACCACAAGGAAATAAAGATCCCTTCAGTGCACTACTTTATAACTATCAGGTGCCTTTTGCTTCTGTCTATGGATTGCTGAGCACTTTGTTTTCTAGTCTCTATCACAGCTCAATGGGGTGAAGATTGGGGAGAAACAAGCACAAGATTTGGCTTTCTGCCACGAAGTTCTCACTTCCTTTTCAATGAACCTAGTTTAGCTTTTTAAAAATGAACTATTAGAGATGCTCATGATTACCATGGTTTGAAAATGGTTTGCTCTCCAAAGGCTCATGGGCTAGAAGCTTGGTCCCCAAGGTACCCTAACCAAGCTAAGAAGTAGCAGGAGCTTTCAGAGGTAATTTGATCACAGGGCATTGGGAGTGGGTTAGTTGTCACAGAGCACCTCAGCCTCCTTGGCTCTCCCTGGTTTTCTCTATTGTGCACGTGCTCTTCCACACATGCTCACTTCCCTTCCACTTTTTGCCATGAGTTGGCACAGCATGAGGCATTCTTCAGAAGCCAAGCAAGTGGCAGCACCATGCTCTTAGACTGCAAAACCAAGAGCAAAAGGAAACCTCTTTTCTTTATAAATCAACCAGCCCCAGGTATTTGGGTATAGCAACATAAAACAGACTAAGACACTGATGATAATGGATTCATAAACATTCTTTTTACCCTTTAAAGCACACATTTTCTTTGCCACAAAGAATCCCTGAAAGAAGCACTTTTACAAATGATACAATGAAACTAATCAACACATGATATGCTCAACTCCTGACTAAAGATAAACCCAGTAAATAGTGTTGTGTCTATTCCAGGGACAAGAGCTCCAAGGTCATTCTCGGAGCTCACTCAATAACCAAGAATGAGCCAGAAAAACAGATGATGTCCCTTAAGAAACAGATTCCCTACCCATGCTTTGACCCGGATACACATGAGGGTGACCTTAAACTCCTGCAGGTGCGTATCTTTGACTGTCTTCTGGAGTCATAGAAACTTCTACAATCCAGCCTCCTATATGGAAGCCTTTTCTCAGTGCCCCTCCTGGTATAAACTTATATAAAGGGGTCCCCTGAGGGATGGGCTAGAATTTAAGTTACATGTCAGCATTTATCTCATTCTGTCAACTCTTTCTGCTTGTCTTACTACAGCTAAACAAAAAAGCAACAATTAACAAAAATGTGGCCATCCTTGATCTGCCTAAGAGTGGGGAAGATGTGGAACCAGGAACTGCATGTCAGGTTGCAGGGTGGGGCAAGACTTCTAATAAGTCACCTAAATCTGACATTTTGAAAGAAGTCAATATCACCATCATAGACAGAAAAATCTGCAATGATGGACAGCACTATAATTTTAATCCTGTGATTGGACTGAATATGATTTGTGCCGGAAGCCTCAAAGGTGGAAAAGACTCCTGCAATGTAAGTAAAGTAAGATCCCACATGTCAGCTGTTAAGACTAGGGTGTGCAGGCACGGACAAGCTTGGCACGCTGTGTCTTGTCATGGCATTGGAACTACAGGGTCCTACTGCTTTTCAAAGGAAGTTTGACAAGGCTAGCCATGGTGGCTCATGCCTGTATTTTTTTTTTTCATTTTTATTAGCATATATTCATTGTACAGGCGGACTCACTGTAACAATTCCAAATAGGTTTACATTGTACATCAGTTCGATTGCCCCCACCATCTCCCCACTAAACCCACCCCCCCGCCTCACTTAAAGCAGTTGCAAGAGGTTTCATCATTCTATTTCATATATGTACATGAAGCCCATCAACCATATTCCCTCACCTTCATCTCCTCCATTTACTTTGCCCCTTCCCACAAGTACTCCCACATACATTGTACCTATTTTACAGTCCTATCTTTCATTATTAATTCCAGAGTCAATGTCCAAAGGGGTTTTTCGATATATCTCAGCTGTGCATATACTTTACTTAGGTCAGTTCAACGCCTTCCATTGCTCTCCCTTACCCCTTCCCTCCAACTTCCCATGTACAATAACTTTCAATACATATCGCTATATTCTCTACCTGCACAGATGAAATGCATTTCAATATTGATGACTTCTTATCATTCTCTTTTCCTTTCCCACCTCCCTCAAGCTCCACAGAGTTGTTTCACTATTACAAACATGTTCTACATATAGACGTGTATATGATCATATCTTTTTGTGTATACATTTATCTTTGGTTCTATCTTCCACATATGAGAGAAAATATGCAGCCTTTATCTTTCTGAATCTAGCTTATTTCACTTAACATGATGTTGTCCAATTCCATCCATTTACCTGCAAACAACATAATTTCATTCTTCTTGATGGCTAAATCATGCCTGTAATCCCACTATGCAGGAGGCATAAGTAGGAGGATCATTGTACCAGGCCAGCCCAGACAAAAAAACATGTATGATAACTATTTTTTAGTCATCTAAAAAATAAGTAAAGCAAAAAGGGCTAAAAGCATGACTAACCAAGTGCAAGGCTGTGAGTTCAAACCCATTTCATTCCCCTTCAAAAGAAGAAGTTTGACAAACTCAAATACATTAACATGCTCAGCTTAAATGAGCCAATAAAAGTAAGAAATTCATTGCTAGTATGTGGATAGCATACTAGTTTCTTAGTTTTTCTTAGTTTTATATCAAAAGCCACTGAGAGGCAACTTTTTTCTTACTTTTCACATTTTTGTATATAGATCTGAACTTGAAGACCTATGCAACACTAAGGAGAGCTGAGCTCTTGGCTCCTCAAGGGCCTCAGTCTCCTTTGCCACCTCAGCACCAACTCCAAAGTTCCTTTGCCATTTAGCTTGGATGTGTTTGAGATACACCACTCCCCACCCCAGCTTGGCTAAGGATCTCAGACTTGACCAATAGTTTCCTAAAGCTGGGCTCATTCCCCAGTAAACATCACTAGAAAACAAGCCAGCCTCCATCTCAGGGTGGCCAGGGAAAGGGGGGTACAGAATCTGATGAAAATCACAAGTAGAAGAAACACTTTGCAGATTTTGAAGCTCTGACTAAGTACTGCTGTCATTTCTCACCTTTCCTGGAGCTTTCTCTTACCTGAGGTGTGTGCAGTGCATCTGGCTTGGCAGTTAGCAGAGATTGAGAGAGGCAGAAGTCTCCATCCTTCCCAGAACTATGTGTTATCTCAGGACCAAGGCCAGCCAAATGCCAGGAAAAGATGGCATTCATCTTTGGCACATTCTACTTTCTCTTCTTTACACTCTCTCATCAATGGTCTCCCACTTCCTCCCCTTTGAGCACCCAGAACTTCCTGCTTTTGGAACCAAGATGCAACATCCTAGGGCCACAGCAGCATCCCAGGATACTAGCTTTCTCCCCCCCACTCCGCCTACCAGAAGCCCCCTCTACCGCTGAAGCTCAGCTGTCCTCTGCTCACAATGCCCTGGACTGCATAGTGGTAAATTAAGTGTAATTCTGCATACGAATTGTATGCAGAATACGGACTGTAACAGGTGGGAAAATGCCATGCAGGGAGGACCCAGGTTCTCGCATCGTTCCTTATTCCCTATACTCGTAAGACAACTTTTCTCTAAAAGGGGATACTTTGGTTTTGTTTCTTTGGGAAAATAATTTATCTGCTAGAGGAACCTAGAAGACATGGCTTTTATTCTTTGCCTTATTGTATCATTTGTAGCTATTTTGCCTCTTAAGTTAGTAAGCATTTTGAGGAAATGAGAAACAGGAGGGTTGCCTTTCTGGAAGCAGAGAATCAATCTCAAAATTAGTGGAAAACATAAACAATACAAATTTCACTTCAATTTTCATTGGTTCGTAAATAAATCCAGTGAGCCAATTTTAAAATATTTTTAGACATCTTCAACTAAGTCAAGGTTGGTCTTAACTCTGTATTAAATGCTGTAGAATTTCCCCCATTCACTAGTGTCATGATCGACACTGATCCCACACCTGCCCCTGTTGTTTCCTGCAGGGAGATTCTGGAAGCCCACTGCTGTGTAAGGGCTTTTTCCGAGGCATCACTGCCTTCGGCCTTAAAGACAAATGCGGAGACCCTCGAGGGCCTGGTGTCTACACTCTTCTCTCCAAGAAGCATCTCAACTGGATAATTAATACTATGAAGGAGGCAGCTTAGATAACTCTACTCTATTTCATTCACTGTCACTTGTTATCACAAATAAAATCAGTTTGTATTGTTGTGTTATTTCTCTCATGAGTGGATCACCACCAGTAAAATGAAAGTGCCATATGACAACTTCCTGGAAAATGCTAGGGGGAGATGAGGGAATGTCACCAGTGTCGTCTATGTGTCAAGTGGCAAGGGACTTTCTCCCTGGATTACTCACTGCACTAAATCAGTGTAACCCAGCAAGAGTGACAATAAGGTCAGATGAGAAACTGAAATTAAAATTCTAGGGGATAGAGCCAGGCACTGGTGGCTCACATCTATAATCCCAGTTACTCCAGAGGCAGAGAGCAGGAGGCTCTCAGTTCGAAGCCAGCCTGGGCAAATAGTTCCTCGAGACCCTATCTCAAAAAGAACCTTCACAAAAAAGAGCCCAAGGTGTAGGCCTTGAGTTCAAGCCCCAGTACCACAAAAAAAAAAAAATTCCAGGGGATACAAATAAAGTGCTTAGCCAACCACGAAAATTATGCAACCAAAAGTCAGCCTTATTTCTTAGTAGCTTGCATTTAAGCCTTGGATTCTCTCGGTGTTTCTTGTCTCTCCTTGACCTTGAGCCTGGGAAGCTCTAATCAAATGGTGGTTGTAATGGCTGCCATCCCATCACAGGGCATGAGTGAATGAACTGCGGCCAGAAAGTTCCCTTTGGAAAAAGCCTCACGTTCATTCAGCATTTTGAATGTAGTAGGCAATCTTCATCCCAGCAGCCATTTGAGATGTGATCACGTGAACAGATTCCTCCAATTTCCATCAGAAATATTATATTCATGTATGTAAATATACATGTATACACACATACATACATGGCATATCTCAACACTAAAACACAGCTTCTTTAATTTTATTCATGTACATTAATTGTACAAAGGGACTTCACCATGGAATTTGCACATATGCATATATTACACTTTGGCCAGATTAATTCCCCATTCTCCTTCTTTTCCCCATCCCTCTTCCTCCATTTTTGAACAGTTTTGTTAAGTTTTTGTTTGTTTGTTTGTTTTGTTTACATTTTTTTTCCTTTTTCTTTTATTATTCATATGTGCATACAAAGCTTGGTTCATTTCTCCCCCCTGCCCCCACCCCCTCCCTTACCACCCACTCCGCCCCCTCCCTCTCCCCCCCCTCAATACCCAGCAGAAACTATTTTGCCCTTATTTCTAATTTTGTTGTAGAGAGAGTATAAGCAATAATAGGAAGGAACAAGGGGTTTTGCTGGTTGAGATAAGGATAGCTATACAGGGCGTTGACTCACATTGATTTCCTGTGCGTGGGTGTTACCTTCTAGGTTAATTCTTCTTGAACTAACCTTTTCTCTAGTACCTGTTCCCCTTTTTTGTTAAGTTTTATTATGCTATCTTCATACATATACACAGTATACTTCAGTATTATTCACACATCCCCATCATTAAGAGACAGCAGCTTAAAAAAAAGGAAGGGGCACAGCTTAGACTGACTAAAACACTGGTCACTGGTTTGTAACCATGGATGCCCCTCAGAGTCATTAGACTATTTAAAATTACCAATGCTCAGAAGCCTCTCTAGAAATTCTGATTTAATGGATATTTGGTGGGATCCAGGACATAGTATTTTAATGTGAATTCAACAGTGCCAACATGCAGCCAAGAATGAGAAGTCCTATACTAGAACTGAAGTCTGGTCCTAACTTCTAAGAGAGTCACTAGGTTAGACACTTGCTATAATCATTAATAACTATCTAGGATTATAACTGCAATAAAAATGGAATATCCCTACTGGTAATATTTATCACAGATTTTGAACTCCATCCATTTTAAAAGTAGTTGTATGGAATCCTCATTCACAGCTAGAAGAAGTACAAATTGGCACCTCTTGGGAAAATTAGCAGTGTCTATTAAAACTCAACATATATATCTTATGTAGTAGCAATTTCACTCCTGGTATGTACCAAACTGAAATGAGTGTTTTTGTCCATCAAAGATGTATTCAACAATGTACATAGCAACTTTATTCTTAAAAATCAAACACATAAATAATTCAAGTATCCATTCCAAACAAAACAGATAAGTAATTTTACATTCATATAACAGAATATTTTACACCATTGAAAATATATATAGTTTTGTGCAATATAAGCTTAGTGTTGAAAGAATGGTGACTAGTCTCATTCCACATTAAGTCTGTGCTGCATAAATGTATATTTGCAGCATGATTCCACTATTTTGAGAGTAGGCATCAGGAAAAACTAGTCCATGATAACAGAGGTCAGAATAATGGAGGGGTATTCACTGGTAGGAGGCACAGGAGATCCTTTTAGGATACCAGAAATGTTCCTATCTTTATCTGGATGGTGGCTACACAGTTATCTATTCATAATCTAAACACTAATTAATTAGGAGAAATGGCCTTGGGTTGTGACAGTTTCATGAGACTGTTCAAACAGAAGTACCCAAAACAAAATGGTAGGGAACACTGGAAATTGTCTAATTGTTTTGTTCATCCCCTAGCTAAGCACTGTCTTACACTTTACACTTAGCTAATTAAGAAGTTCCCATTAAAACTACTTGGGAAAGGCCCTGGGTTCAATACTCAACACTACAAAAAAAAAAAAAAAGCTTAAAGAAGAGTTCATACTGCAGAATAGTGACACTTGCAGCTTTTGATGGCCTAAGGTTTCTAAAGCAAGAATTACTTGTATCAAGCAGATTTTCTAATTTAGAAAACAGGGAAAAGAAAAGAATTTATTGGCAAGAGAGTCCTAACTCCCCTTGTATATACTATTCTGCTTTTCAGTTATCAAGATTTTTGTTGCATTTTATGGATTTGGGAGGGGAGGAATGGGGAGAGGATATGTATCAGGCTTTTTTTTAAGTTTATGGCAAAGAAAGTAAATCACTCAATATTAATTATGTGGAATGTGCAGCCTGTTCCAAAGGAAAGCATGATGTATGCTCCCTCATGGCCTCAATCTGATTGTCCAGGGAAAAAAAATAATTGTGTTAAAACTAAAATAACCAAAGAGTTACATAGTAATAAAAGATTAAAAAATAAATGGCAATAGTATATTAATTACAAATAGGTGATACAGACTAAGCCAAGAATTCAAACCAAGGTTAACAGAATTTCAAAACACTTTCTGGAGAGGTGAGGATTTGTGCAGAGGTGTGAAGAAAAGGAAGAGACAAGCAAGAATTCCAGACCACAAGAAAGGCACCAACAAAGGTTCTAATGCAGAAAATCAAAAGTCTTAATGTTGGGGTAGGAGTGTGTGAGGAGAATTAGCATAAACTGACTAATGAACTTGAAGGAATCTCAGCAGTGATGAGATCCAAAATCATCTTCTTGCAGATGTTGCAAAACAACCAAGGTCATGCAACCAGTTTATGGCAGAGTCAAGAAAAGAATAAGTCCTCTAACTTCAGATCCTGGCTTAGGGCTCCAGAGGCTGAGGCCAGGGGTTTAGGTAAATAGAGTGTCGTTGAGGGTTTCTGAGCAGGGGACTGACAGCAATGGCACCATGTTTTTAGAAGTTTGACCTACTAGTGGTATGGAGACCTGACAAGACACCAGAGACAGGAAAACCAGTTAGAAGGCAATTACAATGGACTGGTCATCAGGTGTCAAGGACACAACTTGAAGAAACAAGAGAAAAGGGCTGAACTGAGGAAGCACAGAGGAAAATACTCAAGAGGCTGGATGACCAGGATAAGGATGAAACCATTAAGAGGGCGCTATGGTTTGAATGTGTGCTCAAAGTTCATGTGTTGGGAACTTAGTCCCCAACACAACAGTGTTGGGAGTTGGGGTCTAATGAAAGGTGAATAGGTCAGTCATAAATGGGTGAACGTCATTATCTTGGGAGTGGTCTTGTTATAAAGGTGACCACCTCTTGCTCTCTGGTCTCTTGTATGTACTTTCCTGGTCTTCCCTCTTCTGCCATGAGATGACACAATGCAAAGGCCCTCTCCAGATGCCAGCGTCATGCTCTTGGGACTCCCTAGCCTCTGTAGCCACGATCTAAAGACTGCCATTGTTTATAAGTACCCAGCTCGGTTTTCTGTTAGGGCAACAGAAAACAGACTAAGATGGAGGGAAAGGGAGTCCACAAAAGAGCTATAGTACATAGCATATGTAGAAGGATTTTAATGAGTGCTTTTCAAGTGACTAGATTGTGCTTTCAATGGATTCAGTTTGAGCTAAAGCTAGGAAAAGATCTCAAAAGGGAAATATTCAGAGGCAATCAAAAAGTATGAGATTAGAACTTCAGAGAAAAGTCAGGTGGGAAAGAAATATTTAGGAATCTTTGCTGTAGACATTACTCTGACTCACACAAGGAAAATCGTTCTTTAAGAAAGAAGGAAGAAATTGCTGGACCTGGCTCAAGTGGCAGAGCACCTGCCATTAGGGCCTGCACCCCAGTACCACCAAAAAGGAAGGAAGGAAGGAAGCAAGGAAGGAGAGGAGGAAGGAGAAAGAAGAGAGAGAAGAAAAAAGTAAAGATGATCTCTGGGATGAACCGATGTGGGTTGCAACACACAAGTGCATGGAAACAACGCTCTTATTATCTCCTATATTTTCTCTTCAACAGACTCAGGACAAGCAATGTATATACATGTAAGTAAATGTAAAACTGATAAAATAAAAGGAAAAAAAGAGCATGAAACCATAAACAAAGAAAGGTCAGGAGAGTAGCCATGGCATCAGGAAGAGCACGACACTTTGTCTGATGCTCCCGACAACCTCACCAAGGCAAACAAAGCTAGAAGGGGCCCAGGGACTGGTCACACTTCCACACACAGGCTGTCCCATCTGCGGCGGCAGAAAACACCCAGGTCTGGTCTGGACTCAAAGCCAGGTGCAGCACCCTGCCTCTGTGGCCTGGGGGAGAAGGAAGTCAGCTCTAATCCACATTTCAAACCTATGCAGCATCGCATCCCAGGATCAAGGACTTCCTCATGTCCTGGGTTCAAGAATGGCTTCTGTCCAGCCGTGCTGGCAGACACCAGTCAGGCTGACTCAGGCACCACTCGTGAGTAAGGGTTTCTTCTCCTCCCTGATCAGTGCCCTGTGGCTACACGATACATATCCAGAAACTGGTGGGTGAAAATAACAGAAACTGATTTTCTCAGTCTGGAGACAGGAAGTCTGAGAAGGCTCTAGGGGAAATGCTGTCTCTTCCAGTTCTGGCACTCTCAGCCATCCTTAATTCATTACTCTAGTGTTAATCTCTGCAATGACACCTGTCATTGGCTTTGGAGCCATGATTTTATCTCAAAAATCTTAACTTAATCACATTTTCAAAGACCCTTTGTGCAAATAAGGTCACATTCATAGGTTTCAGAGATTTGACATGGATATCTTTTAGAAGACTATTTTTTTAGCCTACATAACCACTCATACCCCAATTGTTCTTAGTTCTATCTTCTGTAATCTACCAACACCCAGGGACTGTCATGGCTGTGTTCCTATCACCCACCCTGACCTTCCCCAAAGCCATCCCTTTGGTACCTCAGTACCAAGAAACTAAGCAAATAAACTGATGTAGCTTAATACAAAGGACCCACAAAGCCCTCCCACAAAGCATGCATGAGTCTCACTTGGGAAATTCTGGAAACAATGTCCTTCCCTTATTGACTATTCCCAAAGAACATTCTATAGCATAATAGTTTTATATGAGGTTAATAGGTATTAAAAACAAAAAGAGTGTTTAATGGTCACATTAATTTTGGAACTCATTAAGAAAATTTAAACTTGTTTCCTATTTCAGGACTTCTTTGTTTTAGCGTTGCTATGCACATTATAAATGTTTTGGAGATGAAGTTATAACAGGCCTCATTTCTCAAACTTATCTGATTATACAGTCCTTTTGACTTGACCATCTCAAGGAACTCACTAGGGCCCCTTGGGAAATGCTTTGCAAAACCTAGCTTAACTCAAAACTTTAGGACTAAACAGACAAAGATTACTCCATAAAAGGAGGCTGGGACTGGTGAGAATTGGAGAGAGGAGGCATCAGATACATTTTTCAGTTGGAAGGTATTTGGGAGCCCAACTAAAATCAAACCGGGTGGTGGCCCTCTTCACAAGACCAACACTGCTTACAACTCAATTGAGAGCGGGAATTTGAGACATAATCATGTACTGTGATACGACATTCTCAGCAGAAAGGAGTAAGCATATACTCTTCTGCTCCTGAAGGAAACATACCTTAAATACTTGGGGGTTTTTTTGCACCTTACACACATTACTCCTAATGCTGTGTTTTATACATAATCTGTGTATACACGTATGCACACAGCACACACATACACACCAGGAAGAAGTGCCCCAAAAGGAACATAAGATTGGCTCTGGATGTGTTGATACATAAAGAAAGCTAGATTCATAGACACACTGTAGCCCCCTTCTTTTATAGGTTAAAAAAAAGATTTAGGGATATCAACCATCTCATACGCAGTTATGCAGCTAGTTAATAGCAGAGCCAGAACTAGAATCCAATTCATTGCTCCAACCATTAGACCAAACTCCAGTCCCAGAGCAAAGAAAAGTCTCTTCTTCTATTGAAAGGCCACTATTTTTTACCTAAATTTTAAACAAAAAACAGCTTGTTTTAAAAAGATAAATAGAGAACATTGCAGTAAGGCTTTTAAATTATTTTAACCTGTTTCTTCTCATTTTAATCTAATTTTGTTGGTATATTTATGGAACTTGTTGACTTTAGCTACTCTAAAATACATTTAGGAAAGTTAATTTTTTATCAGAAGCAGGCAGTAAAGTAACTTTTAGAAACAGGGAATTTGTACACATAATGGATTGTTTAATTAACAAATAAAATTTCAGTAATTAATTTTAATGGCTCACTTTTGAGACAAAAAAACAAAGAAGAATTCTAAAATACTCCCTCTTTTTGTCTTCTCTGAGTATTTTTGCTACTCTCCTTTCTCTATTACTGGACACTAAGGTCCTTTATGGGAAAATGTTAATATATTTGAAGTCATAGGTTCAGGGAGAAAATTGGCATTTAGAGAGCTCTCTTACTAAACAGCCACACATTTCCATTGACTTCTGCCAGGAAGCCCCACGCATGTCATTCATTATGTGCACTTTTCTAAGCCTTATATTAAAATAATGCTTCTAAGGAGAGAGAGCTTTTTTACATTAAGTATAACAGCAATAAAAATGCCTTCATTCTCTACTATCATGTGTTGAACTGAATGGGAATTAAGAAGACAAAAGAAAAAATAAGTAATGGAGAAAGAAAAAGATCCCAAATCTTTATCAAAGCAGGCTTTGAAAGCTATCTTGATTTAAATTGGGTTGCAGCTTCTAGAACTTTCTGGGGAATCACATTTGGACTAAAAAAGCAAAGGCATTTTGACATCCTTTTCCCATATCAGTGACAATCTTAAGAGATAATGGGAAATGCCATCATTGTCTCAGAAAAAGTTCCTCTTTTAAGGTTTACAGTCCTCAAGTTCCAAGAATAAGGTCACTGAAAGTGTTGAAAGTTGTGTGTTCTTCACGCTACTGTCGTCACAAACCAGACCACATATCCACACGTTCGCTATGGACGATGAAGTCAAGTCAAAGGCCAGGCCTCACCTGGAAGCTAGAAAGTTACTTACTCCTGTTTTTTTTTTTTTTTTTTTTTTTTCATTTTTCTTTTATTATTCATATGTGCATACAAGGCTTGGTTCATTTCTCCCCCCTGCCCCCACCCCTCCCTTACCACCCCACTCCACCCCCTCCCGCTTCCCCCCCCTCATACCCAGCAGAAACTATTTTGCCCCTTATTTCTAATTTTGTTGTAGAGAGAGTAAAGCAATAATAGGAAGGAACAAGGGGTTTTGCTGGTTGAGATAAGGATAGCTATACAGGGCATTGACTCACATTGATTTCCTGTGAGTGTGTGTTACCTTCTAGGTTAATTCTTTTTGATCTAACCTTTTCTCTAGTACCTGGTCCCCTTTTCCTATTAGCCTCAGTTGCTTTTAAGGTATCTGCTTTAGTTTCTCTGCGTTAAGGGCAACAAATGCTAGCTAGTTTTTTAGAGAACCTATATTCAAATAAACTTACTCCTGTTTTAAAGCTTAGAAATCACCATTCTTTTATAGGGGGAACAATAATAAGTTATCTTTCTTCTGTAATCAGGTGGGTGAGGCCTCTTAGCTAAAATTTCACCCCGGAGAATCATGACTGTGGTAAACAGGGAGAGGCTTAGTAAAGGTGTGGCCACAATCTACATCGGCTTTTTTCAAAACTCTTTCACCACAACCCACAGCCCAAACTTCATCTTCCGTGCAACCTTACACTGAGGCACATACACATGTACTGCCTGTCTACAGCAAAAGTTTTACAGAGCACCTACCTTTTCATTTTTCCATACAATATGTAGCATTCTATTCTGCAGTATGCTACTTCATTTTTTCGTGTTGATCCTGTCTGGTTACATTCATAATCCAGTGATTTGTTACCCTGCCCCCCCCTCAGTTTAGAAGACCCTAATCAGATCTCAGTCACGAGGATGTATGTTAAAGCACTGTGCTTAACCCACAGTGGAACACAAACTCACAATGAAAACAAGAGGAAGCTAAGCACCAAAGTACGCCCACTCCACAGGGCAGTGTTCTCTGAAGCGCGTGGAATGGGCTCAGGATGCCCCCTACAAAGACTTCCCAAGGTGCTGGGAAACACTGAACACGATAACCTCCTCATGAAGAATCCCGACACATGGAAAGCATCTTTAGGAAAGAAGTGTTCTTGTTTAACCCAGAACTCCAAAATCATCTGACGCATGATATGTTTTTGTATAACAACCACTTTTGGAAAGTGTTTGGGTCAGAGATGAAAAATGGCTCAAAAGCCATCACATCTCCTTCAACCACAAATGTTTTTACAAGGAGAAACGGTTAAATGAGTTATTTGGTATTCTTTCAAATATTGGTGAAAATGAATCACAAGGAGTTAAGACTGAAGTACTGACAGAGCCTGTGAAGGTCAGAGAAATAAGGAAATGTACCTTGGGCTGGAGGAATGACTCAGGTGGTGGAGTGCAAGCCCCGGAGTTCAACTCCCAGTACCACAAAAAAAAAAAAATGTGCTCCATATATTCTTTTTTGTTTGTCTGTGTGTGCGTGTGTGTGTGCGTGTGTGCGTGTGTGTGTGTGTGTGTGTGTTCGTTTAAGATAGCATCTTGCCATGTAGCCTACACTAGCCTAGAACTCGCAATCCTCCTGCCTGGACCTTCCAAGTGCTAGGATTTTAGACCTGTGCCACCACACCAGCAAGTGTAAGTATTCTTTATTGTAAGCATCGGCAAATTGATTCGAGTATCTATCTGGTGCCGCCACCTAGCTAAGGCCTTACATAACTGCTGGAATTTGTAAAGAACCAGAGTTCAAGGTTTCATTTTAAATCCTTCTCTAATTTGAAAAGCCCCAGGAAATTCCATGTCTTATGACTAAAAATATAGAAAGAATCAACTTATGCTCCTCCCACACTTGTGCCCAGTCACCAAAGTGGCTCTATCAAAAATTGCCTGTGTTCTTACATACAGACCACAGAACATGACTAGAGTCTACTCAGCATGGCCAACAGAGGCAGGAAGTGGGTCTGATTGGGGTGTTTTGTTGCCAAATAACATTCTCAGAATCTCCGAAGAGAGGCATGGTGTTAGTCCTCCCTAACTCTGAATGTTTGTTTTCTGTATGTCTCCTCCCACGACAGACAATGCTTCTTTTGTACACCTGTGTACCCTGCATCCTAAAAATTGATAAATAAATAATAAATATATAAATTCTTGGGATTGACCCAGAGGCAAGGCTGAGTGGAGAGAGGAAGAAAATGGGATACCTTAGTGCTCTGTTCCTTCATCAGCCACCACTTTTGTCTTCCTGTCTCTCAGGGCTGGGTAAAAGGAGACACCTATTTATCCTTGGACTCTACATAGTTTTAAAACCCTGAGGACAGGGTCTGATCCTTCCCCATCATGTGTCATTTTATCAAGAAGGACCCAATAAAAGTTTGTAGAAATCAACTGAGAAAGAATAGCATTCTGGGCTTGGGGTTTGGCTCAGTGGAAGAACACATGCTTAATATGCACGAGGCCCTAGGTCTGATGAAAGAGAAGAAAAGGAAAAGAAAAAGAAAAAGGTGGAGTGGCTCAAGCACTAACAGGCCCTGAGTTCAAACTCCAGTGCTACCGTAAAAGGAAGGAAAGAAGGAAGGAAGAAAGGAACAAAGGAAAGAAGGAAGGAAAGAAGGGAGTATGCCTTGAAAGCACAGATGTTCAGAGGAAGCCTCGTGACTTTTCGTGGTCTCTCCTTATGAAACAAGGTCTCGCCCTTTCAGCTGTCCTTGTCTTCCGCATTGCTAGATGTTCTTTTTTTTTTTAATTTTTATTGTTTTATTATTCATATGTGTATACAATGCTTGGGTCATTTCTCCCCCCTGCCCCCACCCCCTCCCTTACCACCCACTCCTCCCCCTCCCTCTCCCCCCCACCCCCTCAATACCCAGCAGAAACTATTTTGCCCTTATCTCTAATTTTGTTGAAGAGAGAGTATAAGCAATAATAGGAAGGAACAAGGGTTTTTGCTAGTTGAGATAAGGATAGCTATAAGCTATACAGAAAGTTGACTCACATTAATTTCCTGTGCATGTGTGTTACCTTCTAGGTTAATTCTTTTTTATCTAAACTTTTCTCTAGTTCCTGGTCCCCTTCTCCTATTGGCCTCAGTTGCTTTTAAGGTATCTGCTTTAGTTTCTCTGCATTGAGGGCAACAAATGCTAGCTAATTTTTTTAGGTGTCTTACCTATCCTCACCCCTCCCTTGTGTGCACTCGCTTTTATCTTGTGAGCTAGATGTTCTTCAAAGTAAGATAAATTAAGAGTTCAAACATTCCTCAGGATATCACTTTATAATCCATACACATATGCAAGGAGTAAAAGACTCAACAATTTTAAGTGATAAACAGTCGTAGTCAACTTCAGAAACACTCATCTACACTCTCTCTGAGGTGGGTTGGGTGTAGGACTCTTTCCTCTATTGAAATATATACATCAAAGAACCTGAAGGAGAAAAATCTTTCATTCAGGGCTTTCCCCATCAATGACAGCTCACTTTGCCATAAGTCCTTGCATTTTACTCACCTACTTATTTACCAAAAACCCACCTGACCTGGTCAGTGTAGGACAGGTCCACAGAGTTACATTTCTGGAGCACCTTGGCCTGTTTGCAATCTCCTTTGTCTTAGGTAGCCAAATTAGGGAACAAATCTGTAATAGTGGACATAAAATACAGAATTCTAGCAAATTTTCGTTCATTAGGAACGTACTTAAACTGATTCTTCACAGCATGATCCGCCCACTCCTCCCCTCCTCCAGTCACAGCTGGGATTAACGTATTACAGGAATTGTATTTGTTCTAAGAAGTTTTATTCCAAAGCAACAAAGAATAAAAAATACAAATAGGCTTAGGTATAAAGAACATGAATTTAAGTGAACTATAATCACTAGCCAAGAGTGGCCAGACCGCTATCAAGCTTCACAGTGAAAGCAACAGTGAGAAAGAAGAAAAATGGAAGGAAAAAAAAAAGTATAAATTAAATTAATCCTGAACTCAAAGGTTGAGAGCTCTTACAGAAAAGAATCTCTTGGGAAGTGAAACTCCCTTTGGACTCAGTAGATGACGAGAGGCATGCTTGGATCCAATGCTCTTTCGTAAATTATTTTCATGAGATTCTAGGAGATGGACATGAAGGTGGGCTCCAGAGGAGATATCTACCTGAGTGTTTATACTTGGGATCTGGATGCTCCTCCCAGTATTTATATCCAAAATGTGCAGGCATCCATCCTTCATTCCTCCTCCAACAGCAAGGACCTCAGACTGCCAGGGACACCAATCCATGGCCTTTAAAATTCCAAATAACAATAGCACAGGAAGGTCAGCCTTGGGGAAGGTGGGCTCACAAATGTGATGCACTCAGATACACAGAAATCCCAGAGCTTTTCAGTTTAACAGCTTTCCTGGGCCTCCCATCCAAAGGCAGGGACAATTTCACCTTCCAGAAATGATTTCCTAGGAAATAGAAGCCACTCTGGAAAGGAAAGCACCTGGTAGGGAGCTTCTCTAAATTACGCTAACAATTGTGGATATTTTTACCACAGAAAAATTATACAACAACATAGTTTTTAAAAAACTACATGAAACACATCCTATGGGACAAAAATCTACTGGTGGAGTAGTTCATGGATGTCCCTAGAATTTGGTTCTGAAATGTAGCCTTCTGGTTTGTCCACCTGTGTCCTTGGTTCTAGGTAGTGGTCAGATAAAAGAAAGCTACAAGTAATTACAACTCAAAAATCTCATGCATTTCAAATCCTAATACAATTCAGAAAATAAAATTTATTTATAAATGACTATAGTTAATTCTGAAAATGGGATTTAGTATCTCACATATGTACTGATAACTGAAATGACTAGTAAAAATTATTTTAAAGAATATTCTAACAAATATTTTAGTTACATTTATCTAAGTATCTTTATAAATCATTCTAGTAACTGACCTCACTTTTGCATATTATTTCTATACATGAAAATATTTTACAGAGTAACAAACATTGTGTTTATACTGTTTTATTTTTCTGTTGCTTATTATATAGTTTGCCATGTTTTAACGTTCCTTTAATAATTATTATTTTTAACAATCTCATTACATTCCATTATGCTGTTGAATACTGATTTTTGTTCTAATGCTGGACCCCAGTTGGTTTTTTATTTTATTTTGGTTTGGCTTGTATAGTGTTTGGTTGAGTTTTTAGAAAGAAGTGAATTTTGTTTTGTTTTTATGTTTCATTTGTTGTTTGCTATTGTAAAAAACACTATAATATATTCCAGATGTCTTTTGTTTCTGATAAAGTTTTCAGGCACATTTCAAAGGGCAGATATAACATTTTTCCAAACACTTACACAGTTTTATAACACCAATATCAAATGAGTATAATAATTTCTTCCTAGTGAAAAGTTACTTAGAATTAAATATATTCCTTTATATCTAGTGAAATTATAATTACAAAGCAAATTATAAGGGTGATTTATTCGCACTTCTCCTATTAGCAAGACTGAACTTCTTCCTGTGTATATGTGTGCCTCTAGTACTCCCCTTTGTAAATCGCTTATTGTTTTGCCTATTTAAATACATACATCTTAACGCTTTTCTTAAAAAACTGAGTCCATTTTTAAAACACACATCTGAATATGCAGTAGATGCTCTTGTCACCAGTCTTCATTTAACCAACTTGCTAAGTTTACATAGTTCTCCATTCCTCCTATAAAACAGAGTTACTCCTACCCATGACTAGTCTTCTGGAATGCTCTATGACTCTGCTCCCACTAATTAAGTTATAGGTTTGTAGAGCCCACTATGTTTTGCCAAACCTACGTACAGCAGATGAACTTGTTATAAATGTGTGGTTTACTTACAATCACACATAAATATTTGATTAAATTGCCTGCTTTATTTGGGCTTAAAGATAGCTGTTATTTCTAGGTTAAATGTTTTGGAAGGTCTGTATGAAGACTGGTCTCTAAAAAGACACATTGTTAAATTAGATGTGGCAGAATTAACTATTAAAAATGAGAAAAAAATGTATGACATTTACATGGAGTATGCATTCTGATTGCTTCATGACTGGCTTTAAGTTTCTGCTGTACTTTAAACAAAGTGTATTTTCTAAAATAGCTGCAACACTATTTGCCATCCAACAGATCCTTCTGGGACATTGTCCTTCCCTTCTCAAGAGGTGGAATGTAACCTCTCTTCCTTTGAATCAGGGAGGACTGGTGATGAGCTTGTAACCAACAAACTGAGGTGAAAGTGGCACTGTGCACTTTTAATTAGGTCATTAAAGGTGATGCTGCTTTCACTCTGTTCTCTGAAATGCTAGAGCTGTTACCCAGATGCACGAAGTCCAACTGTTGTGAGGAGGCCATAATGAGCCTCGGCCATGGGAGAGGTTCTGAAATTACATGACATTCCAGGGAAGGGTACCTGGCTGGCCCACAGCTGGTCCAGCCCCCATCTCTTCTAGCTTTCTTCACTGTACTGCAACCTCATGAGAGATCCTGAGCCAGAACTGTGCAGACAGGCCTTTCCTTTCCAGACTCCAGACCCAGAGAAATCACAAGAGATAATAAAGGGCTTTAATCCACTACATGTGGAGTAATATATTGCACAGCAATAGGTAATCAGAATAGATACCATAAATAGAAACCTTGGACAATGAAAGATGATTACAGTTCATAAAAGAATGGCCTTATATGGTGAATGAATATATGTGTATCTTAATAAATATGGTGAATGTAATGCTTTTAGTCAAAATAAAATACAAGTTATATGCATGGTACTTCACAGCTACCTGCCTTCATCATCTTTTTCAAGCAACCATTCATCCACACCCTGACTGGGCTATTTCATGAAACACAAAATCTTGCATATAATTCAAAAGGCTCAAAAATTCCCAAGCTTATGGACCCCAGTTTTATCACATGATGGTATCAGTATTTGTTATATTTTTTAACATATATTCTAATTAGCTCTTACTATAAACAAACTAGACAAAACTGGAAGCTATGCCATGAGAAGAATCACACAGATATCAACCTCTGAAGTCCACTGTGCTACACCAGTTGGCTAGTTGGTGGGGAATGTAAGGACACGTGCATAGCAACTGTTCTTGTGATTCCCTAGCTATTGGCCTCCAGTAGGCTTGGCTTGCTATGCTTTCCAGAGACTCTGTCTTAGTGAAGAGGACTTTCATTTAGTCAGTCAGATCGCTGTATTTTCAACAAGGCATCTAAGAAGGTAACTTGCTTTGCTTGGCTTGGGGTTTTCATCTGTTTTTTATTTTGCTTTGTTTTCTTTTAGTATTTTGTTTGCAAACAGAATATTTTATTTACATTTTTTCCTAGATTTTTAAAGTTATTAGTAGTGGGAATATGGACCTAAAATTACTTCAGTGTCTTGTAATCATTAAAAACCAGTGCTGCTGGGCCAGTACCACAGTCACAGCAATCACTGTAAATTCCATCCTTTATGAGGAAACTCCATGGTAGCATTTTTGTTCTCATTCTAGTAAGTTTGCTTATAGTTAATAAAGTAGAACCATTTCTTTGCTCTATGAGTAATAAACATTCTGGAACTCTTGTTAAGGTTAATACATACACCTGTTAACACCAAGGTCTCCAAGAGGGAAAGTATGGATTATTTACTAGAAATAAGAATCTCAAATACAGAGAAACAAACAATTATAGAGATCATGATGGAATGTTGGTTTAACTCTAGCACCCTTTCTCCTTCTTCCTGTAATGGGTCTCCTTTCTTGGGTGTGAGCTCGTGACCAAGGCCCATCAACGTGCCCATATCTGTGGTCACAATTACCCATTGAGACACAACAATGTAAGCAAACGCAGCCCAGAGTCCTTGCAAGCACTTTTCCACTGGAGTAGTAGGAAAGATGGCTTCTTATCCAGAGCCATTGGGGAAAATCTGAAGCTAAAGCTATAAGAGCCACCTTGCCCACAAAATGAAGTCTAAAGGAAGAGTGGAACTAAACAGAGATAAACAGAACCAACAGCCAAAAGGCAGGGATCAGGAGACATCATTCAAGGTCCCAGATCCAGCCAATGTTTGAAACAGCTGTAGGTACCCAGGACTCCACAGTTACATGAGAAAATAAATTTTCTTTATGGTTAAGCTCAAGCTTGACCTTGACTTCAGTCACCTACAATCAAAAACTCTGACACCTGCTGAGTATAAATTCCACTGCTTTTCAGAAGAATGATAGCAAAACTCTAAAAAAACCATGGAAGAAGAAAAATCTCAAAATATTGGTTGGTTTTCTTTTTACATATGAAGGACACGTAGTGGCCTCTTAGAAAGCTGACAGCTATTGGATTTCATACCTTAACTGCTGTGGGTTGAGGTATGACTTTCAGTGGTTGGCCCTGAGCAGAGGCACCTGGATAGTGGGACCATATTGTCAGCAGTCCATCACTACAGCCACTGGAAAGCAGCCTGCCATCTGGTGACCACTTCAGAGCACACACAGCTTGCTTGTGACGAAGTGTTCCCACGTGATGCTGGGCGACCCGAACATCATGATGATAAACACGTCCCAGTCTCGACCCACTGCATGGGAGGGAAAGAGGCAGGTTCACATGATAAGAAAAAAATGAAGTTCTGCTGCTCCTTCAAATGAAGGAGCATTTGAAAACATGGAGGAAAATAAAAACATAGAGGAAAACACAGTTCAAAGTAAAACGACTGAAGGTCTCTTAGGACTATTTCCAAACCCAGGAGGAAATTCCTTGAGCTAATAAGGAGTATTCTGCCTGGGTGACTCTCTTCACAAGTGAAATAGATTTGTCTGCCAGAGTCTCACTTTTGGAATCAAAAAGTACCCTTTGATGGATGCCTTTAAGGGCTTTAACATGATGGAGGCAGCCATGGAAAAGATAAATTTAGAGGTTGCTAGGTTTTTCCAGGAAGCAGTTTACAAACCCAGCCTGGAAAACAATTACTTTTATGGATCTCAGAATATTTCATATGGTTGCAGTGAAATGGTTTTAGGATGTATTTATGTAAAATGTTAGGCACAGTAATCTATTACTACCTTTTTCTAGCAAGTATATTCCTATTAACCTACAGATTCACTCTTAGCTTTGCCAATGTTACTAACAGGTGAAAGGAATTGAAAGCTAACAATATCAAAGCAAACTACAATTATTCAAAGCAGTGGATAAAGTCACTATTCACTGTCAGTGATCTTGCTCCAAATAAAGATTGCACCACTTTTTCAAAGATAATCTGATAGTCTTTCAGGGATAATCTGATGTTCTCTTAAGAACAAGTAAGTAAATTCTTACAATTACTTATGAAATGTCTCAAGTCCAGTATTATATTATTAAAACTATTCAGGCACAACACCAGAGAGCATTCTAATTAGCAATATGGGCTTTGGGGCCCATACCTAGATTCAAATCCTAACTCTGTTCTTTACTAACCATGTAATTTCAGTCTAATGTCTTGGTTTACTCATTTGAAAATAATTGGAGATAAGAAACCATCTTATAAGCAGGTGTAGTGGTGCATTCCTATAGCCCCAGCACTTGAGAGGCTGAAGTAGAAAGATCTTCAGTTTGAGGAAGGAAGGAAGGAAGGAAGGAAGAGAGGAAGGAAGGGAGGGAGGGAAGAAAGGAAAAAGAAAACACCTTATAGTGTCATTGCAGGGATTAAATCAAGATTGTGCACATAAAAAGTACAGCACAGTGCCTGGCACAGAGCATTCCAAAATAGTTGCTATTATTGTAAGAAAGGATCTTTTCACGTTTCTTATGGATAATGAACTAACAATGCAAACTGGAAAAGAAACTTCACTAAAGATTAACCTGACTACCTGACTACAACAACTACGGGATTTTCAGTTTGGCCTACAATTGCAAAGTATTATAATATCAAATTTAAATCTCACCTACTTAAAGAAATTGTAAAAGGCTTCAAAAAGTATCTAATTTAAATCTCCCGTAGGAAATATGGTATAGAGATGAATGGCTATTGCTAAAAGCAATGTATATTTAAACCAATATTTTAGGATCATAGAAACAGCCACTTAACTTTTCTGGTTAAAATTAGCAGGCAAGCCACATCGACAGTTCTCAGTGTGAAGTGCCATCAGTCTTACGTGGGAAATGAGAAATGCACATTATTGATCCCCCTGATGAATCCGAAAGTCCTGTAGTGAGTCCCGTGAGCTGTGTTTCTGGAAGGCTTTCGAGTGATTCTGACACACACTCGAATTTAAGAACCACTGAGTAGGACAACTATGAGGTTCCTTCCAACTCTGACTTCAGGGCATCTGTAATTGGAAATGTGCCCCAGAAAGCTTCACATGTGCCACAGTTTTGATAGCAATAACAATAAACGCTTGACTTCAGCAAAATATCCCCTTAGCAGGTCTGCTCTTGGTCCAGAGAAACCTTTTGCCTATAAGGAGTTCCTCATTTTGTCTGAACAGTTTAGTGAATCCTGTGCTGAATACATAGCCTCCATGGTACATATGGTCAAATTTGAATGCTTGACAAGGCAGGGTCATAACTGGTAAAACAGGTACACACATATGGTCAAATTTGAATGCTTGACAAGGCAGGGTCATAACTGGTAAAAATCCTAATGTTCTGTGTCTTGGTTTTGGCTTTGGTTTTAAATATCATAATTCTGTTCACTGAGCTCCCACAGTCAACTAGTGACACAAGCACAGTTGGCTCAAGTGAAATGCTTCTTACCTGCTGAGGATACAGTGATTCCAGCTCAGGGCTCCAACTACTGACAAGTGACCAAGCATATTTCTCAGCTGCTTTTTAGTTACCATGTCCCACAACTGAAAAAATGAACAAGCAGAGTCATGTAGCGTTGGCATTTTCACAGCCTTCTCAAAGGCCTGCTAGCCAATTACTCTCGATGCAATCAGTCTGTTATCAACTAAGTGAAAACTCAGCACCTTATCTCTAACCAGCCTTCTCAACTCTGACTGCATGGTGAGTTTGTAAAACACTGTGGATGCTGCCAATTCTGATGTAGTTGGGGGAGTAGAGCCTGGGAAGTGGCATTTATTTTAAAGCTCCCCAGATGAGTTAGAAATTCAATTGACTGCTAAGAGACTCCTTTCCTACCAGCTGCAGATGATATCCTAACCCATATGAGTATAACAACTTTGGTGTAAGAAGAAATGTCATGGCCTTGACAGAAAGCATTGAGAGTCATCTGTGATCTCCTAAGTGGTGAGGCACATGAATAGTATTTATACTATTGCTAATAAACAATGATAATAATGATACATGAAAATTAGATAGATTGATGCAAGCTTTATTTCATTTCAGAGAGCCTGTCAGGAAAAAATTCATTCCTCTACTCCTAATCACACCTTCAGGTGGGAAAGAACTGGAAGGGGCATCTTCCTCTCCCCAAAGTCCCAAAACTAGGGAGTCTACAAGTACAACTTTTGTTTGAGACAAAAGATCTTTTTAAAAAACAACAACATATGGAATATGACAGAAAGAAAGATTGTGGGTGGAGCTAAGGAGAGTTTCTTAAGTCTTCATGACATGCCACTCAGAAAAATAAATCTCTCCCTACCTTCCATAGCTTCAAGAGCCACACCTCATCTGCTTTCTCTGTTCTCTACTGCCATGCTATTAAAAGTCAATTTTGTTTATCCAGTCATTGCACGGGGCACCATGAGACAAGACAGGGCCCACCACTTGCACTCTCCCTCGCTGGCGCCAACGGCCAGGCACGCTCCCTCTTTTATCAGGACACTGAAGATAGATAATTACAGGTGAAACTCAAGTCAATGTTTTCAATCCCATTGTGGCTTTTCCCATTCCATATGGATACAACAGACCCAAGGGCGACAGCAACAAGATTTTGAAATTTTCAGTTTAGGATATTCAGATCTATAAGAAAAGCATTTCAAATTAGGATGACTAAATAGCCAAACAAAAACATTTTCAAATAAACAACTTTATAGGTAGGGGAGAAAGAGTAATACTTTCCCTGTGGTCAGTTGGAAAATAGAATCATGAATCAAAACAGATCATTTAGAAGTTCAAAAATGAGAACTAGAATATAAGACTCACAGTCTAATAAGCAGTAGTGCTTATCATTACTTAATTGGAGCACTTTTAAAACTTGGTAAGACTCATCTACCATTATTAGTACACACAGACTTCAAATAACAAATCACTAAAAATGAAATGCACAGAATTATTATGGAGATATCCTTGGGCCTAGGATATCTATATGGGAATTGCCACCACCATTTATTACCAAAAACACCACCAAAGTAAAGTTTATCAACAAGAGATGGATGGCTCATTTATGATACCTAGAAGTTCTCAGCAGCATTCTCCAGTTTAAATTAATAAGAACTCCTTGCTGCAAGAAGACATTTTATGACCACTTACTGAAATGTACTTTAGCTTATTTCTCATCCTGCCTGGCACATGTCAGCACAAAGCTATGAAGCACACCAGTCCCACTACAGTGGCCTAAACTCCCAACGGTGCTTCCTGCCCACCAGCAACAACTAGTAACTCTGAACAAAATATAAAGGTCAAACACTACTTATTGGACCCTGGAAAGTAAGTAAAAGCAGGTAAACTAAGTAAGGGAGTCAAAACATGTGAAGCAACCTACCTAAAGGTGAGTTTCCCACCTTTTCCCTTGCGTGCCTTTGCCATAGAGGCAGGTACCACTCACAGGAAGTACATGAAGCCACGCCGCTGTTAGAGAGCCCATCTTTCTAGTCAGAGCAATGAGGGAAAGGAGGCTGAGATGGCCAAAGTGTGAAGGGAAGTCCTGGACACAGAAGTGCAGGGGAGACTCCAAGTAGCCTAGCAAAGGCTTTAAGAACTGAGCACAGATCTGAAACATCCATTCACGTCTCAGCCCAGACTCAGATCCACGTATGTGAAGGACAGTTCCAAACTAGCATGGCCAAAACTTAAGAAACAGATCTGAGATTTTTAAACACAGACCCCAATGGAAAGACAAAATTTAAAGTATGAATCTAATTAGGACAAAAAAAATCAACATTCTCCACAGGACCCAGAGTGAATACAGCATAATACATGCAATGTCAGGGCACCACTCAAAATTACTGGAAATAAAAGGAAAACATAATCAACAGATGAAAAGTCCAGGATAACATAGATACAAGAATTATCAAAGACACTAAGGCAGCTATTATATTCTTCATGAGGTAAAGAAAAACACAATAGAAATTAATGAAAAGACAGAAACCCTCAGCAGAAAAATAGAAAAATAATTTCTTCTATATAAAGAAAACAAACTATGTAACCAAACTCTGAAACCAGAAAATGGAAATTTTTAAACTGAAAAATACAATGTCTGAGAAATTCCTGGGTGGGTTCAATAGCAAAATGAAAATGACAAGGAAAGAGTCAGTGAACTTGAATATACGTTAACAAAAATCAATCAAAAGAACATGGAAGGAAAAAACTAATGGAACTCCAAGGACTTGTGAAGCAATATCCAAAGGCCCAACATCCACGTAAATGGAGCCAAGTCTCAGAACCAGGAGAAAACCACCTGAGATGACCATGGAGTCCTCAGCAGAAAGGAAGGAAAATAGAAGTCAATAGAACAACATCCTTAAAATGTTGAAAGGCAAATCTTTCAACCAGGAGTTCTACATCAAGCAAAAATATCATGAAATGGAAGGTAAAAATCTAAAAGAAGCCTTTGCCCACAGACCTGATCAGCAAGAAATACTAAAGGGAGTGCTTCAAATTAAAGGAAAATTGTGAACAGAGGAAATTTAGACCTTGAAGAATGGAGAACACAGGAACTGGTAGACATCTAGGTGAATATAAAGGATCATTTTCCCACTTAGGAAATTTAAAATGCTTTTTACCTTACTTTTTGAAGGAAGAGCTATAACAATGGCAGGGCTTTCAGTGGATATAGTTGTAAAACCCATGACCACTACAGTAACCTAAAAAACAGGACTTTGGAGAGACCTGTGTGACTGTGAGATTTTTACATGCGTATGTGTGAGATTGCCATAGTAACTCTAAGTAGACTTGAGAAAGATTAGATCACACTGTGATGCCCAGAGCAACAACTAAAACCACAATACAAAGCAATATAGCTTGAAACCCAAAGAAGTAGAAAAGAAAAGATCCAAGGAATGATCCTTGGGCACTCCAACATTTAGAAAACAAACAGAACAGGAGCAGGAATCAGCAAAAAAGACCAGGGAAAGAGTAAACATAAAACTAGGAGCCTTATGTGTCAATCAAAAAAAAAATGTAAGTAGGAGATAACCCAATAGAGTAAGATATTAAATGATCTAAGGAGGAACTGGTCAACTGTCTCAAATGCAGATGCTGGGGTTAGACAAGTGAGGCCTAAAAAGTAACTGTTGTACTTAGCAAAGAGGGTTCTGCAGCGATGCTTGGAAAAGTAGTTATCGATGGAATGGTGAGCTCTAAAACCTAACTACAAGGGTTGGAATGGTGCCTCATCCCTGTAATCCCAGATACCAGCAGGCTTACGTAGGAGGATTGCAATCCCAGAGAGTCCAGGGCAAAAAGTGAGAGCCTATCCAAAAAATAACCTAAAGCAAAAAGGGCCAGAGGTGTGGCTCAAGTGGCAGAGTGCTTGTCTAGCAAATGCAAGGCTCTGAGTTCAAAGTCCAATACCACCAGAGGGTGGCAGTGGGGACTAACTACACTAGGCTGAAGACAATGTAAGGAAATAGGAAACTGAGCACAAATATTTTTTGACAAGTTTTGCTGTAAGGAGGAGGAAATAAATAGAGCTATGACCTGAAGGAAAGTGAGAATAAAAATTGTTTCTTTTTAATATGAGTCTTGTGTTTTTAATATTTCTTGAAAATTTATTCTCCTTAGTTGGTCATGACAATAAATTCTCTTAGAAAAATAGCTATAAGAGTTGTTGGCAGTCAGAAAGCAGTGTGCAGAGGAGGGGTTTTGGGGGGGGGAGACAGTTTGAGGCCAGCCCTGGCAAAAAAGTTAGGGAGATTCCATCTCAACAAGCAAACTAGGTACAATAGTGCACACCTGTATTGCCTACATGGAAGTACAGGCAGCGTATCACAGTCCAAGTCCAGCCCCAGGAAGAAAGCACAAGACCCTATCCAAAAAACGACTGAAGCAAAAAGAAAAGGGTGCCTGCCTAGACAGCATAAGACCCTGAGTGCAAATCCTCATACTACCACACACCAAAAACCAGGGGTAGGTAGGTGCAGAATTGCTCTCTTTAGTGATTTTGCTTTTTTCTGCTCATTCCTTTCTGTACATGCCCCCCTTCTGTCTGTTTCTCTCTCCCTCACTCAGAAAGTTCACACTGGCCCCTGGCCCCTGGCCCCCAAAGCGATCCTTCAATGTTCTCCCAAATCTCCTCCACGTCTCACTGCCTCCTCTAATACGGTAACTCCAAGAACTAACTCCTCTGCCAACTCGTCTTTCCAGTGACACCACCCTTCTCTTGTTTCAAAATAGAATATGAAGTTAGCATGAGACCCTACCTGAAAAAAAAACACTAAAAGAAAACGGGTTGGCCAAGTGGCTCAAGAGGTAGAACACTGCCTAGCAAGTGTGAGGTCCTGAGTTCAATCCCCAGTACCACAAAAAAGAAGAAACAAAAATGTGGAATAATCTTTAATTCATCCCTCTTGCCAGGTATTTTTACTAATGAAGGGGAAAAAAGGCCCTGACTCTTTGGCACCTCTCTCTTACTAAATGTATTCTGCCATGAACTTTCCTTTGCTATTTCTCTTGGTCAACAACTGCCAAAACAAATTTAAATTTCTACACCTGAATTTTGAATTTCTCTGTGATGTGTATCCATCTACCAATACACCAGTCCCTAATGTGCCCTCCTCACTGCCTTTATAACTATCAGTAATTGCCAACATTCTGGCTTTGCCCATGCTGTTCGCAATACAAAAATGCTCTCTGTCCCCAATACCAAAAATGCTCTCTGTCCCCCTCCATCCTTACAATTCCCACCCATCTTTCAAGACCCAGCTTAAGTCAGAGTATCCAGAGTCTTTCTGGACAACTCTAGAGCTCACTGAGCTCCATAACTCACTGTTAACATCCTCCCCTGGCCTGTTGGCATCATGTGAGTTAGTGCTGTCTTCCTAACTAGGTTACAAGTGAGGCACTGATCCAGCACACCTGCTGTGGTTTGCCTAACTAGATCTGCCCATGTTTAAAATATATGCATAAGAACAGGCCAACATTAATACAGTTCAATCTAATACGATAAAACAAAAATGTATTTATAAGTAACAATGCTCACGCCCCACCACCAATGCCCATTCCTGAACGTGGAAATTGCACAAGGAAAAACTAACTACATGAACCCTAGTTGCATGGTATAGTGTGTGGACATGAGACACAGGACCATCTGTTTCATTGAGAATTAAATTTCAAGTTTATGCCAGAACACTGATGCATTTTTTCATTTCAACTTCTCAACCCACAATCTAAACAGTAACTTACAGTAGTCATTTTGAAAACCAGTAAGATGAATCTTCACCTCAGGTTGGCAGGTGGGATAGTTGATATCACTGCACCTTCTAAGAGGGAAGGCTTCATCTCTAACTCCACCTCAGCAGCCTACAAGAAGCAAAGAGTTTGCACATCTCTATGATCCTGAAAATGCCATGTTTAACATGAGTGTTAAGAGATTATAGAGTGAAAAAGAAAGCAGTCATCATAGTAGAATTTTAGTACAAAGAATAGAGGAAGAAAGGAAATAAACAGGACTTCAGTGTTACTTTAAACAAGAATATTGAAAATTACTCATTGGCAGTGTTTAATGAAAAGTGCATGAGTATCAGACTTAAACGTAGATGACAGGTCTTATGGGAAGTACACAAAGATACCACATCATGCTTTGAATATTTATTCTGTCATTTGAAATTTTAAAACCAAAGTGAATTTTGCATCATACCTATGCTTACCTAGTAGACCTAAGCCCTACTCTCAATCCTTATCAGTAAGTATTGGTAGATTCATTAATTTTAACCTTTTCTCTTACTATTTCTGTACCAGAGCACACAGTTACTACTTTGGGCTAACTTTACCCATGTCTATCTGTGGTCAGATATTTTTTGTTCTTCTTTTAAGTTCTCACCAAACGACTCTACTAAATCCAAACCTCAGACCACTACTGTCTTTTCATCTCCAACCACTCAGCTTGTGACCAAACCAAACATATAATCAACATGAACCAAGGCAAGTCAGGTGACTTGTGGTCTCTGTGACCAAATGACTTCTGATAAGAGCAAGAGACATTCACAATGCTATACCAAGAAGTCAACTTGTTACTCATAAATTCCTGCCTTGGTGTTAGAGATGAGCACCTGCACTTGTGAGGAGGAGTGCAAGGTTATGGGAAATATTCAGGCCTGCTACTAAAGAAATCAGTGCCCAAAGACTCAACAAAAGGGCAGGGGACGTAGCTCAGTGGAAGAACACTTGCTTAGCATGCTCAAGCCCCTGAGCTCCATCCCCACCATCACCATGGAGGAAAAAATCGTCAACACCACCAAAAAAGCCCCTGGAACTAATGAGTGATGAGGATATAAAGGTAATATATAAAAGTCAATCGTATTCCTACAAATAATTTACAAGCTGGAATTCATTAAAATTTAAAACTTCTGCTCTATAAAAAACACTTCAAGAGAATGAAAAGCAAGCCACAGACTAGAAGAAAATCAACAATTAGAATTTGAAATTAAAAATAAATGTCATTTATACCAGTCTCCAAAAAATAAAATAGATAGGTATTAACCCCCAAAAATATGCACAAGATCCATATGGGGAAAACTAGGAACCTCTGATGAGAGAAATCAAAGAAGATCTAAATTCCTGGAGAAATATTGGTACATCTAAGGATAAGAAATTCTATTATTATGATGTCAGTTCTTCCCAATCTATAGCTTCAAAGCAATCCCAATGAAAACCCAGAACCTTATTTTATTAATGTTGATAAATTAATTCTAAAGGTTATATGGAGCTATGAAGACACAAAATAACCAACACAATATTGAAATCAAAGAACAAAATGAAAAAACTCGCACTACCCAACTTCAAGACTTATTAAGAAGCTACACTAATTAAGACAGTATGGTATTGGCAAGAGAATAAACAAGCCTAGGAAGAGACCCAAACAAATACAGTCAACAAATTATTGATAGAGAAGCAAAGGCAATACAACAGAGAAAAGATAATCCCTGCAACAATGGTGCCAAAACTGTAAAAAGTCTAGACACAGACCTTACACTGTTCATAAAAATTAACTCAAAACGGGGCATAGACTGAAACTGTAAATCTCCTAGAAAATAACAGAGGAGAAAATCTAGATGAAGTTGGGTTTAGCAATAATTTTTAGATGCAACACTAAAGGCACAACCTATGAAATAAATAATTTATAAACTGGTCCTCATTAAAATTTAAAATTTCTACTCTGTAAAAGGCACAAGAATGGAAAGCAAGCCATAGGCTGGAAGAAAATATTTGCAAAAGATGTATTTGATAAAGGACGGCTTTCCAAAATATACAAAGAAACTTATAGACTCCTAAAATTGAACGAGAAAAAAAAATGAACACTCACATTAAAAATGGGTGAAGATCTTGACAAAGAAGATCTATAGACAATATGAAAAGATGCTCAACAAGGTATGTTCTCCATCATTCTGAGTGAGGTCAGCCAAGTTCAGAAGACCAAAAATCATATGTTCTCCCTCATATGCGAACTTTAGATCTAGGGCAAATGCAGCAATGTGGTTGGACTTGGATCACATGGTAAGGGGAGAGCACATTTGGGTGATATAGAAATAGGTAGAAAACCCAAAACATGAAAGCGTTTGATGTCCCCACTCCAGAGGAGGTAATACAGAAACGTTAAAGCGACAGAGGTTATCATGAGAAGGGGATCAGTAACCAGGGTAAAGATCAGTTAGAGATGAATCAACATGGGTCATAATACGTGTACACGAAAGCAGTGCTAGGAATATTTCTGTATAGCTATCCTCAACTCAACTAACAAAAACACTTCGTCTTCCTTATTAAGCTTGTCTCCTTTCTTCAACAAAATTAGTGATAAAGGCAGAGCAAGACCTGCCTGGAACTGAGGGGGGAAGGGGTGAGAGGGTGGGGGAGGGGGGCAGGGGGGAGAAATGACCCAAATAATGTATGCACATGTGAATTAAAAAAAGGGTATGTTCTCAGAGAATTGCAAGCTAAAGCAGTGAAGAGAACACTACACACCTAATAGAATGGGCAAAATCAAAATGCTGGTGAGGATGTGGGGCAGCAGGAAGTCTCATTCACTGCTGGTAAGAATACAAAATGGTACATCCACTTCAGATGTCACTTTGACACTTTCTTGGAAAATTAAATATACTCTTACCACACAATCCAGCAATTATGCTCCTTGTTATTTAGTCAAATGAACTGAAAATTGATGTCTACACAAAAATCTGTACATGGGTGTTTACAGAAGATTTCTCCAAAATTGCCAAAACTTAGAAACAACCAAGATATCCATCAGCAGGTGAATGGATAAACTATGCCATAGAACATTATTCAGCAATGAAGACAAATGAGCCATCAAGACATTAAAAGGCATAGAAGAAACTGAAATGGATGTGAAAGAAGCCAACCTGAAAAGGCTACAAATGTTATGAAATTATGGAAAAAGAAGAAGTGTGGATATAATAAAAAGGTTGCCAGGAGAAGGGAGATGGAGGGACGAATAGACAGAGAACAGATGACTTTAGAGGCAGTGAAACTATTTTGTGTTACACTGTAATGGTGGATACATGCCATTATACATTTGCCAAAACCCACAGAATATACAACAAGAAGAATGAGCTCTAATGTAAACTATGGATTTGGGGTAGTAATGAAGTCTCAGTGTAGGTTTATATAGTACAACAAATGTACCAATCTGGTATGAGATGGTTGACATTGGGGGAGGTGGTGGGTGTGCAGAGGATAAACTGGCAACTCTACTTCTGCTCAATCTTGCTGTGAATCTAAAACTATTCTAAAAGATAATAGGTATGTATATAGAACATGTAATGTAACATACACTTACAGGTATATACAGTGTAGTTACATAAAATATAACACATATACTTATATATATTATGCATACATGAGTAAGTTACATATTTAAATATCTATTTATGTATGATATATAATCTAAAATATCAGAATAATGTAGATACATTCTCTCAGGCTTCAAAGAACATATCTTTTAGTTCTAAATCAAATATTCAGCATCTCACAGAAACACAAACTTATTACTGGTCAGACCAAAAGAAGATGAGAGGACTGGTATCTCTGTGGTAGGGCACTTACCTAGCATGTACAAGGCCCTGGACTCAATCCTCAGCACAGAAAAAAAAAAGGAAGATGAAGAAGAGTAAGAACAAAAAGAAGAAAGAGGAGGAGATGGAAGAAGAGAAGAAAAAAAGGAGAACTGAGGGAAGACATACTTCCATATATTTTATTTTGCTTTTAAAAAAATATTCTAAGAAAAAGATAAGATTCATTTTCTCATCTCTACTGTATATTTCTGACCCTCAAAACAAAAACTAGAGGGCCTGAAACTTTTTGTGCCCATTTTTACATAAATAACTTCATTTTTGCCCCTTTTTACCACTGGGAAACAGAGGCTTAAAGAGTAAATGTGCACAAAGTTCTAGAAGGTAAATTTATGTATTATGTGCGTAATATATAATACTTAAAAGAAAATGTCCAAAACTTTAATGAGAAACTGGAGAACACAAGAACAGAAGTATATGTCAGCATTGAGGAGATCTCTCTGTTCACATTTGTATTTGAAGCCTTCTCAAAGAACCCCATAGATTTATTTACCAGACCTTATCCCAGAGAGAAAAGCAGCAAACAAGTTTCCTTAATGTTAATTAATCAACCACTGGTTCTCTCAACAAGTCTCTCACACAGAATTCAGGTTCACAATCTGTTATTTTACAACCATGATAACAATCCCAGGAATCACACAAAGACTCCCAAGGTTGAAAGAGAAAGTAACAAGGAACACATGTGGGGCTCAGGGTAAAAGGACTTTGGGCCAAGAACCTTCTAGAAATTTCCACAGGTAATTATCTCCCCAACTGCATGGCTGTAGACCTGCCCAGGTATACTCTCAACACCACTCACAAAGGCCCCTTCCAGCTTGGGGCCCAATAGGTACACTGGAATGCCACAGGGGCTGCCTACCATGTGATTTCAGAATCTTATCAGATACAGAGGAGGCATGAAGAAATACCTCACATACACAGCACCTGGGTGAAACTTGTCCCAGTGGAGGTAGGTTACTTTAAATTTTTTAAAGAATCAATAATAGCGGCTATATAGAATATCCCAAGGACCTCTCAATTAGTCTCTTCCTCCAACACCCTGGTCTTCAAATGTCTCCTTAGTGCTGTTATCTAAAGCAGATGCAACAGACTTGCAGATCCAGTCAGAGAGATTGCTACTGAAGTTTATGTCCTTTGCCTCTGATTTCCAACCTTATTAAAGTGACAACAAATGACTGTTTTAAAGTGTAAAGACACAAGAAAAAGAAGATGGGAGTGAATACAGCAGTAGACAACAGATTAGAAGAATGTTCTGGAAAGTGGATAAATGACTGATAGCTGACCAAGAACATCAGAAACTACCCTACAAGTACTACAGAGGGGGACAGTGATGAGGTAAGCTGATTGTCTTGCAAAAACCCCCAAAGGGGTCAGGGCTCCAGACACAGAGAAGGTTAAGAGTGAGGTGGGTTGGCTGAAAGGCTGTCAGATTTCCCAAACACATGAACACCCTGCATAACCAGGTACACACAGACAGACACACACACACACATACACACACACACCCCTCAGAAGAAGCCAGATGCTTATTCTCTGAATAAATTTTTTAAATGACACTTTTTTTTTCTTTTATTCATATATGCATACAATGTTTTGAGTTCCCTATATATCCTGGTTACCAGTCCTTTCTGATGCGTAGCTGGCAAATATTTTCTCCCACTCTGTGGGTGTTCTCTTCAGTTTAGAGACCATTTCTTTTGATGAGCAGAAGCTTTTTAGTTTTATGAAGTCCTATTTATCTATGCTATCTCTTAGTTGCTGTGCTGCTGGGGTTCCATTGAGAAAGTTCTTACCTATACCTACTAATTCCAGAGTATTTCCTACTCTTTCCTTTACCAACTTTAGAGTTTGTGGTCTGATATTAAGGTCCTGGATCCATTTTGAGTTTATACTTATATAGGGTGATAAACACGGATCTAGTTTCAGATCCGTGCAGTTAGCAGACTGCTAACCAGATCCGTTAGCAGTTTTGCAGACTGCTAACCAGTTTTCCCAGCAGTTTTTGTTGAAGAAGCTGTCTTTTCTCCATCATATATTTTTAGTGCCTTTGTCAAAGATAAGTTGGTTATAGTTGTGTGGCTTCATATCCGGGTCCTCTATTCTGTTCCACTGGTCTTCATGTCTGTTTTTGTGCCAGTACCATGCTGTTTTTATTGTTACTGCTTTATAATATAGTTTGAAGTTGGGTATTGTGATACCTCCAGCATTGTTCTTTTTTTTTTTTTCCAGCAGACACTCAGCATTTATTTTCCCAGAGGACAGAATGTATAACCCTGATTTCCAAAGCTATTGATTTCCCATGATCTAACCAGAAGAGATGTGATGTGTGTTTTAAGCTTAGAGCAGGCACTTGTGAGTTCTACAAAGCTCCCCTCGTGGGATGCAATCACAAACATCAGTACCTTCTTTTTCCAATGCAATATGCCTTTCCAGTAGACAGTCAGTGGTCTTTTTTTTATTATTATTCATATGTGCATACAAGGCTTGGGTCATTTCTCCCCACTGCCCCACCCCCTCCCTTAACACCCACTCTGCGCCCTCCCTCTCCCCCCTCCACCCCCTCAATACCCAGCAGAAACTATTTTGCCCTTATTTCTAATTTTGTTGTAGAGAGAGTAGAAGCAATAATAGGAAGGAACAAGGGTTTTTGCTGGTTGAGATAAGGATAGCTATACAGGGAGTTGACACACATTAATTTCCTGTGCGTGTGTGTTACCTTCTAAGTTAATTCTTTTTGATCTCACCTTTTCTCTAGTTCCTGGTCCCCTTTTCCTATTGGCCTCAGTTGCTTTTAAGGTATCTGCTTTAGTTTCTCTGCGTTAAGGGCAACAAATGCTAGCTAACTTTTTAGGTGTCTTACCTATCCTCACCCCTCCCTTGTGTGCTCTTGCTTTTATCATGTGCTCAAAGTCCAATCCCATTGTTGTGTTTGCCCTTGATCTAATGTCCACATATGAAGGAGAACATACAATTGTTCGTCTTTTGGGCCAGGCTAACCTCACTCAGAATGATGTTCTCCAGTTCCATCCGTTTACTAGCGAATGATAACGTTTCGTTCTTCTTCATGGCTGCATAAAATTCCATTGTGTATAGATACCACATTTTCTTAATCCATTCGTCAGTGGTGGGGCATCTTGGCTGTTTCCATAACTTGGCTATTGTAAATAGTGCCACAATAAACATGGGTGTGCAGGTGCCTCTGGAGTAACCTGTGTCACAGTCTTTTGGGTATATCCCCAAGAGTGGTATTGCGATCAAATGGTAGATCAATGCTTTTTAGCTTTTTAAGTAGCCCAGTGTATAAGATTTTTTTCCAGCAGTGGTGTGCTACTAGTCTACATATCCACCAACAGTGTAAGAGGGTTCTTTTTCCCGCATCCTCGCCAACATTCTGTTTTTGGTGGTGTTGCTAATGATGGCTATTCTAAACAGGGGTAAGGTCTTAGTGTGGTTTTAATTTGCATTTCCTTTATTGCTAGAGATGGTGAGCATTTTTTCATGTGTTTTTTGGCCATTTGAATTTCTTCTTTTGAGAAAGTTCTGTTTAGTTCACTTGCCCATTTCTTTATTGGTTCATTAGTTTTGGGAGAATTTAGTTTTTTAAGTTCCCTATATATCTGGTTATCAGTCCTTTGTCTGATATGTAGCTGGCAAATATTTTCTCCCACTCCGTGGGTGTTCTCTTCGGTTTAGAGACCATTTCTTTTGATGAGCAGAAGCTTTTTAGTTTTATGAGGTCCCATTTATATATGCTGTAGTTGCTGAGCTGCTGGGGTTCCATTGAGAAAGTTCTTACCTATACCTACTAACTCCAGAGTATTTCCTACTCTTTCCTGTATCAACTTTAGAATTTGTGGTATATCAGACATTCTTAATTCACTACATGTACCTGTTAAGGTGTAGCAGCAATTGAAAAGAATGAAACCAGTTAGTCTTATTGATTACACTCCTGTAATCCCAGCACTCAGTAGGCTGAGGCAAAGAATTGTGAGTTCAAGATCAGCCTGGACTACATAGCAAGACCCTAACTCCAAAAAAAAAAGCAATGGACCCTTAGGTGAAAAAGGGAGTTATAGATAAAAACTAAATTCTCATTCTCATTTTTTTTTCAATGCTGGGGATTGAACTCAGGGCCTTACATATGATAGGCAAGTGCTCTACCACTGAGCTGCATCCCTACCCCTTTTTTATCTTACTTTATTTTGAGATAGGCTATAACTTGCCCAGGCTGGCTTTGAACTTTCCATTTTCCTGTCTCAACCTCCTGAGCAGCTGAGATTATAGGTGTGCACCATCTCACAGGCCTTATTTATTTATGTGAGGTACTGGCACTTTTGAACTCATACTTGTTAAGCAGGCACTCTACCACTTGAGCCACTCCACCAGCCCTGCCTTATTTTCTTAAGTATGACTTAAATACAGTTGAAAACTTTTGAGCAATTTTATCACCCATTCAGAGAAAGCAAAATGGAAGTCTTCTTTGCTGTGCTGATCTGACATCTTTCTTTCTTCCTTCAGTAACCATGCAGCAGGTAGCCAGGACAGTGGCCAAAGTGGAACTCTCAGACCACGTGTGTGACGTGGTCTTTGCGCTCTTTGACTGTGACGGTGAGTGGGGCCCTCTAGTGTCAGGACAGAGCACTGAGCCTCGTTGCCCTTCTTGGCATTGTTACCATGGAGCTAGCCTATGCCTATGCCTCAATAGCAACTCAGCCCTTGGCCTCATAAGACTGAGAAATGGAACCCCTGGCCCTGGTTTGAGTTTCCCACTTCTAACTCCATTTTGCCTTTGGGTCTAATTAATGATCATGAGGATTTCAAAAATGGTAACGGGAGCAAATGTTCAAGATTGCTTGAATTTGTGTTTTCCCAGATTATAATCCTTATGAGCCCCAAATAATTTTAAATGGCAACAATATTAAACCCAATTTGAGGAACACTCAAGTTTTTTTTTGTTTTTTTTTTTTTCATTTTTCTTTTATTATTCATATGTGCATACAAGGCTTGGTTTTTTTCTCCCCCCTGCCCCCACCCCCTCCCTTTACCACCCACTCCCACCCCCTCCCGCTCCCCCCCTTCAATACCCAGCAGAAACTATTTTGCCCTTATCTCTAATTTTGTTGTAGAGAAGAGATAGAAGCAATAAATAGGAAGGAACAAGGGTTTTTGCTCGTTGAGATAAGGGATAGCTATACAGGGCATTGGACTCACAATGATTTCCTGTGCATGGGTGTTACCTTCTAGGTTAATTCTTTTTATCTAACCTTTCTCTAGTTCCTGGTCTCCTTTTCCTATTGGCCTTCAGTTTGCTTTAAGGTATCTGCTTTAGTTTCTCTGGTTAAGGGCAACAAATGCTAGCTATTTTTAAGGTGTCTCTTACCTATCCTCACCCCTCCCTTGTGGCTCTCGCATTTTCATCATGTGCTCCCATAGTTCAATCCCCTTGTTGTTTTGCCTTGATTCTTTAATTCCACATATGACACTCAAGTATTTTAATGTCTCGAGAAAGAAGACGGTATAGGTCCTGTGCCAGGTGTTGAGAATAAAGAGATAGCCAGAGGAAGAAAGTCTCACCAGTTGAAGGTAGTACAAACCCAGATCAGTAATGGCTTCCCAAAAGTGTCTTCTGAGTTGAATCACAAAGGATGAGCAGGAATTGGCCAGTAAAGGGGAGTGAGATGGGCAAAGCTCTCCAGGTGGGGAAGCAATGTAACCAAAGGCACAGGCAGGAATACAGACCCGAGGGGACCTGTCCCCTGACAGCCTCTTGAGTTTGCTTGCCACACCCCACCTCTGTAGCTAGCAATACCTCACTACTTGTAACTCTCCAGCAGCTATCCTCCATGCCCACGCCATCCTCTACCCCATGATAGCATTTACCACACTGATGATATAACTTACTTCTCTCTCCTACAACCTGGGAGTATTTCAAGGGACAAAATACAAAGCTTGTTTGTGTATTCTCAGCATAGGCACAGAACCTGGGATATGTTCTATTCTCATTCAGCTATTATCACATTACTCTGTACTGTTGGTCACCGAGTTGCACTTGGAAACATCAAGGAAGGAGCAAAATAGTTAATCCTAAACCAAGAGAATTGAGTTTGACTGTGACAGCATGCTGGGCTTTGGAACCCACGTGGTATGAGCAGTAGAATTTTCTCAGTGGTTTTGTTCCAAGGCTTCCACTTACACTGTTGTGTTTGCCTTTTCCTCTAGGCAATGGAGAGCTGAGCAATAAGGAATTTGTTTCGATCATGAAACAACGGCTGATGAGAGGCCTGGAGAAACCCAAAGACATGGGCTTTACCCGCCTCATGCAGGCCATGTGGAAATGTGCACAGGAAACTGCCTGGGACTTTGCTTTGCCCAAATAATAACCCAAAACAGCAAGAGGGGGCCACCTTCCATACTCGCAAGCACCCTGGACCTTATGGAGCAACCTCTGCATAGCTCTTCATGCTGCTGCTTCTGGGAGTGGTCCTCCCTTCTTCCTGGGGTAACCTAAGGATTCAGCCAGCTTCCCTCTCCACCCTTTCCCTATCCCAGTGTTCTACTAGGCTCTGAGTCCCCAGGAGGGGATTCATCCCTGTTCTCAAACCCATGAACAAGCGTTCAGAGCTCAGACCTTGGCTCCTCTAACAGCAATACCTATTTAAGCACCCTAGGGATAAAGAATGCAGGGACCCATGCACACACCTGCCTCCTGGGAAATATCCAGTTCTCAAATCATTTTTGCTGTGGACTTACGTTAACAAGAACATTCTTTGCTCTTCCTCCCGCTGGTGTTTTTAAGCTGCAAGAATGGAAAGTCTCATCAGCAAGAGGAAGTCTGTGATGAATGATAATGAAGATGACCTGGGCACCCTGAGCTGGCAGGAAGCCTGGCCAGAAGAAGGATCTGTGTCAGACATGGGCTGGCTCTGAGGCCTGCTGTAAGGCCTTGTGCTAAGTAGAAGCACAGCAGAATCCAAATTTAAATAGCTGCTTCATGGCTCTCTTCTCTTACCAGGTTCCTAAGATGTCTCCACCAAGACTCTGCTTAACCAGCAGCAGTAGTTGAGTTCCTGTTCCCTGCAGATACCATCTCCTCTTCGGATGGGCCTCGGTAGTGGAGGCCTGGCTCAGAGCCTATCTGCCCTCTGTCTTAAATACTTAAAAAGTATCACTTTAATTATAACAGTTTGCAATAAACACCCCCAAGACTCGTGTCTCCCGTATTTTAGAATCATCCGGGCTCTTTTCATTTAATATCTCCATGGAGTTTCAGATCCCGCTAGCAGCAGCCCTGTCTCATGAAAGGCCATTTGGAGGTTAGTGGTGGCACTGTCCCAGCACAGTTTGGTTAGTGTTTCATTTGGGGCCATAGTACACAGTCCTTGATTATTTGTGCCCGATGATAAGAAGGTAAGACAGGGTGGAGTGTGTGAGGAATCATCTGGTATGGTGAACCATAGCAACCAGTGTTGTGATGAGCCCAGCACTGCCACTCGCCCGTTGTGGTGTTGAGCAAGCCATTTTCCATCTGTTCCTTCATCTGTTTATCCCATTGAGCTAAATGAGCTCTAAGGTTCCTTCCAGGCCTGAAAGCCTGTGCTTCAGCTCTCCTCCAGAATTCCTGTGGCCTCCAGACCTCCAGGTAATACTACTGACATGGCCAGCATAACAGAACCACCACACCTAAAACCCAGTACTCAGCTCTGAATGCAATAGCCAGAGAAAAGCAGAGCCCTCAGTCTGTAACTGCACTGTGCAAGGAAGGAACTGGCCCCAGCATTTCCTCCAGAGCCATTTAACAGCTTCATTTCTAATGTCCTTACTAGAAGACTAGATTCTCTCCAAGAAGTCTGACGCTCTTCTGCCTCATCTATCTACCACCCTCTCCTCTCTCACTGACCCTGGTGTTCAAGTGTAGGCTTGGCCTTGCTCACTGCCCTCAACATGAGGCATCAGCACAATGTGAGCATCTCTTAAATTTGTCCCAGAATCCCAAAATCACTTTTCACCCCACCATCCTTTCTCCAGCTGAAAGAGAAGTCCCCTCATTGCCTCTGTGGGACACAGGAAGGGCTGCTGTGCTTCCTTGATCTTGCATTCAGCATGACCCGAGATAAGCAGGGAGAATATGGAAACTGCTACTAAGAAAAAGGCTTTTTTAAAAATGTGCTATAATCTCTAAAAGTCATTTTAATAACTTTTAATGCCCCACCTAGGTTTACCTCTGGTTGCAGCACATACACAGATAAAAGAGGCCATGACTGCTACCAGACAAGGAAAAAAGGGTGCCAGATCAGATGGCAACCGCATCTTTTCTGCAAGCCTTAGTAGCACAGCCCAAGCCTGTGGAGGTTATATGCCCCTGCAAGCTGCTCAAAAGGAGGTAGCAGAGTCTGGTTCCACTCACAGGCTTCAAGTGCCACCTGCTGGCAAGAAGGCTTAGTGCAGTGGCTCACAGGCCTGGATCCTGGGAGGGGAGACTACTCAGTCCAACCACACCCAGTCCCACTCCTGAGAACAGGCCTTCTCAGGTACTGTGTGTGGGTGGCATAGAGGCAAAGATTACGAAGAGAGGTGTTATGGATATGATCGTAACTGAGGGGGAGGAGGGAAAGAGTTCACTCATGCATTGTTCCCTGGCCCCACGATGGGAATTTTTCCCAGCAAATGAAAGGGTGTAATTCACTATTCATTCTACAGCTTCTTTACTGAAAACCTAGTATGAACCAGGCACTCAAGGTCTTCAAGTAGTTTGTATCCTAATGAGGAAAACAAGAAGAAGCAATAAGGTTAAGTTCAGGGAGCCGTTAGAAAAAGCAGACCTGGGAGTTGACTAGGAGTTACTGAGGTTTGGAAGCAGGAGTGTAGGGAGAGGTTGAGTGTGCCTGCATCCAGAGGCCAGAAAAACATGCTTCATCTAAAGTTTCCAATACAGATTAGAGAGTGGTTTTGTGATCCAAGAATTAAGATAGTGGTCATTCACTCACACACACACACACACACACACACAACACACACACACACACAAAGGATTTTAAAAAATATATTTGGGCATATTCATAGAGGTAACTCAGGAAAAAGAAATCTGATGGAAATTTGGTGGCTGGGGATGTATCTCAGTGGTAGAGCTTATACTCAGCATGCTGAGGTCCTGGGTTTGATCCCCAGCAACCCCACCTCCCCCCCCAAAAAAAAACTGAAAGTGCTCAGAAGTGAATATGATGGTGGAAATACCACATATTAAAACTTGTGGCAGGAGCTGGGATGTAGCTCAGAAACAGAACTCAACATGTGAGTCCCTGGGTTCAACCGCCCCCAGGGGGTGGTAAAAGGGGACAAGTTGCAGGACACAGATAAAGGGAAACTAGCACCTACCTCAGTAAATTGGAAAAAGGAATAAAACCCAAAGAAAATAGCAAAAGTCAATAACACTAAGTTTTTAAGTTTTTGTTGTTATTTTGGTGCTAGGCATGCACTCTACCACTGGGCCACACACCCACTCCCCCAGCCCAATATTAGGAATTTTTAAATGCATACACTTACAGATACTGCAGCAGCTTAAAAACAATAATACTATGAACAACTTCATGGCAATAAATTTGAAATGGATTAATTCCTTAAAAATATCTTACCAAACAGATACATAAACATTTGAATGGACTGTAACCATAATAAATTGAATGCATAAAGGTCTACTAATAACAAAAAGTACCAAATCCATATGGTCTTATGAGAAAAAGTGAGACTAGACTCTGTAGGATCCTGTACTCCCCAATAAGAACTTTGGCTTTTAATACCACTTTTGGGGATATACCCAAAAGACTGTGACATAGGTTACTCCAGAGGTACCTGTACACCCATGTTTATTGCAGCACTATTCACAATAGCCAAGTTGTGGAAACAGCCAAGATGCCCCACTACTGACGAATGGATCAAGAAAATGTGGTATCAATACACAATGGAATTTTATGCAGCCATGAAGAAGAACGAAATGTTATCATTCACTGGTAAATGGATGGAACTGGAGAACATCATTCTGAGTGAGGTTAGCCTGGCCCAAAAGACCAAAAATCGTATGTTCTCCCTCATATGTGGACATTAGATCAAGGGCAAACACAACAAGGGGATTGAACTTTGAGCACATGATAAAGCGAGAGCACACAAAGGAGGGGTGAGGATAGGAAGACACCTAAAAAATTAGCTAGCTTTTGTTGCCCTTAATGCAGAGAAACTAAAGCAGATACCTTAAAGCAACTGAGGCCAATAGGAGAAGGGGACCAGGTACTAGAAAAAGGTTAGATCAAAAGAATTAACCTAGAAAGGTAACACCCACGCACAGGAAATCAATGTGAGTCAATGCCCTGTATAGCTATCCTTATCTCAACCAGCAAAACCCTTGTCCTTCCTGTATTGCTTATACTCTCTCTACAACAAAATTAGAAATAAGGGCAAAATAGTTTCTGCTGGGTATTGAGGGGGTTGGGGGGAGAGGGAGGGGGCAGAGTGGGTGGTAAGGGAGGGGGTGGGGGCAGGGGGGAGAAATGACCCAAGCATTGTAGGCACATATGAATAATAAAACAATTAAAAAAAAGAAGTTTGGCTTTTATGTTAATGATAACTGGGAGCCACTGGAGGGTTTTAAGCAGGAAAATGACATGAGCATTGTATTTTTGGGGTGCTAGGGATCATGCCCCAGGGCCTTATGCATGCCAGCCAAGTGCTCAAGAATTGAGTTACACCCTCAGCCCAGCTTTGCATTTTAGAATGGTGCCTTTGCTTATGAAGCAGTAGGAAGGTTCAAGTGGGATCCAGGTTAGAGACTTCTAATAATCTACCTAGAAGCTTGGATAAGGCTACAGAGCTGAAAGGAAGCTAACAGTTTTAGGTGTCACAGAGTGATCTGATTGAGGGATAAGGGTAGGCATGTAAATTGGAGGGTGGCAAGGGAGAGTCATTTAGTATGAAACCAGACTTCTGACTGGGTAATGGTGTGTGGCAGGGCTCATCAGTGCACTGGAAAGCTGAGAGGAGAGCCAGGTTTAGGTGGAAGATGACGAAGTCATTCCCAGACATGTGGAGATGCCTAGGGAACATGATACACAAGTATCTAGTGGTGGGTTTGGACCCAGGACAGAGGCCAACAGTGGAAATATGGCTTGAGAATCTCCTAAAAAACTGCTGCTCCCAATTTCAAAGCCAGCTAACAACAAACACATGAACTCTCCAGATGAGTCTCTAACTGAACTATTAATAGTGTCTCTGTCTTCCCCAAGGGCAGCTGGGAATACAGATAGTTTGAAATGAAAGTACTGTGAATTAAAAAAACAAAACAAAAAGAACCCTAGGTGGGATAGCGAAGACACATGCTAAGCTTGTTACAAACAAATGTGAATGCTCTGTGCCCTTCTCTCCAGCATTCAGCTTCCGGCCCTTAAGGTGTAGAGGCCTCCTTCTCTAGGGAGGACAGAGAACGAAGGACCAAAGTGGGGATCCAGAAGGGCTATCTTCTGAGACATATTCTTGTGCCATTCGACAAATAATTTATATTGAAGGCCAAAGCGAAAATCCAATTACCTATCAGACATTCACTCTTGGATGAGTTATTCTCATCTTCATTGTGAGGTGGTTTTTTTTTTTTTTCATTTGGTGGTGTGCTGGGTTGCTGGGAATCTAACCCAGGGCTTCGTACATGCTAGGCAAGTGTTCTACCACTGAACTAGACTCCCAGTCCTGTTTTGTAGGAGGTGCACCATGGCAATTTCTGTTCTTACATGGCCCCGGGACTGCTGTAGCACCAGGGGAAGGTGGAGCACCCAGGATGATGTGGGCCCAGATCTCTGCCCCCATTTCTACAGTCCACACTCATGTCTCCTTCCCTCCTGGTCTGCTGGCATATACCACAATTTAATCAATAAAGGTACTGAAGGAGAGATTCTGGAACACAGTTTTCTAAAAGGAAGGCATTGTGTTTTAGATATGAAGTGTCCCCAACAAGGCTCATGTGTTGAAGACTAGGTCCCCAGCTGGTGGGTGCTATTGAACCACTGTGACTGGATCACAAGAGTGTAACTGTATCAATGTGCTAATCCACTGATGAGTTCATATGAAATGGGCTACCAGGAGGGGGCCTAGTTAGAGGAAGAAGGTGTGTTGAGGGGATAATCTTTAAAGAGTATATCTTGTTCTCTCTCTCTCTCTCTCTCTCTCTCTCTCTCTCCTATCTATCTCTGTGGGGGAGAGGGATAATATTTGAAGAGTATATCTTGTCCCTTCTCTCTCTCCCCACCACCCCCCTTCCTGGCTGCCATGAGATGAGCAGGCTTCTTCACCATATGCTCCTGCTGACATGATGTTCAGCCTCACCCAGGCACACAACAACGGAACCAGCCAACCATAGATTGAAACCTGAAACCATGAGTCAAACTCAATATTTCGGCCCTTTAAGTTTTCTCAAGTACTTTGTCACAGCCACTTTGGTGGATGGGCCGCATTTGGAGATAGCAGAGTACACTGAGAAGCTGGGGAGCAAGGGAATGAAAGAGCAAAGGGCATGAAGTGGGGTATATTCCACTGTCTTGGCAATTTTTCCCGAAGCTGAACGAAGGAATCTATACCCTCAGCTAGCCCAGGGCAGCTCTGATTAAAATGAGCAAAAAGAATGCCCATAGGATTCACTTATTCTATTCAATTACAAACATGGATTGAGCCCTACAAGGTATCAGGCCCTGTGTTCAGGCCACAGGGAATGTGGGGACAAATTCTCCATCATAGTTTATCTGGAGACAGGATGTAAAGACTCACAGCAAAGGAACTACTGCAGGGAGAAAAGGTGATGACCATCGGTGGACCCACGCTTAAATGATACTATAATTCACAGCAGGGAAGTTCTGGAGGAGAAAACCCCATTTCAGCTCAGACCCAGGCTTAGGATGTCAGAAAGCCTTTCCAATCCTACCCACAACTAACAACTCACGCATCTGAACAGCCTCTACAGTTTACTCACAGGCACATTGCCATATTCCCCACGTGTCCTATAGTTCTTTTCATTCCAATCCCTCTTACTTTACTACACCATGCTCTCTGGTGTCAGTTTCCACCGTTCCTTTTGGTACATCTTGCAATCACTAATGTCCACACAGTGCCTGGCTCCCAGTGTACACCTGTTACTAGTAAATTAATTCTCTCACTGGCAAGAAGTGGGTTAACTGAGCACTCAAAATGAGTTATACTTGGACAGATAGGAAGATGGACAGGAGTGAGGGTGATGTATCTTAAGTACAGCTAGGAAGGTCTGCTGGAAGATAAGCATGTTAGATGAAGCATTCTGAGTGCTCCAGAGGAAGGATGTGGAAGTGATGGCATTAGGTGGGTTCGGCATAGGAGCGAATGAGGAAGTGCTGAGCGTCAACGGGGAATTCACTTTCCAGGGACTTCTGGATAGGAGAAGTTATAGATTTTTGTTTTCTCTTTTTAGCTCATATGTAAAACACATACATTCGAGCTGGTACAGTAAGAAGTTTCCGTTTTTCCCTTAGATCAAATATGACTCATGATTTGACGAATCTCAGGAGATAAGTTAATAAAATTTCGGTCATGCGGCATGCCATTTCATTTTTAGACAAAAGCCTAAGACCAGGACATAATGTTTAACTGAACTGACAAGGGTGTGGCTCTCTCCTGGACTTTGAACTGAGAAAAATCAAAAAAGTCAATTAGCTTCAAAAACTAAGGCATCAGTTTGACTACTAAGGTGTTATAAGCAAGGCCGGGTGGTAACAGGGCTGCTTAGGCCAGCTGAGGCTCAGTTCATGTTCATCCCTTCTTGAAAAACAAATCTTCTTGATAGAACAGCTCAGGTAGGAATAGAGGGATTGGTAGAGCTCTGCTCTATGCAGGAGGCCTGGTTCCTGTACCGACCACAAAAAAACAAAAAAAAACAAAAGCAGAAGAAAGAAACAGTTTAGTTAGCCAAACCGCAGCAAAGGGGAGGGAACAATGGAAGATAAGGTACAAAGGGCTCCCACTGTACCAGTAGCACCACACACACATAACCTCTATCTCTCTCCAGATTCCAATCAGATCTTGCTAACTAAACAGAATTGACTGTAGATTCAGAATTTAAGTATTCTTGTGTTTTAATATGCATTGCAGAAAAGAGGAAGAGGGTTCAGCGGCAGTGCTGCAATTGCCAATCCAGGCCAGTTCTTAACACACCAAGCTACTCTTTCTTTTCCACATGAATACCTTCTTCACAAACTGAAGCTGCTTGTGGTCAGCAGAAGAGAGGCCCCATTACAATGAGAGAGGAAGCAGCCCCATACTTAGCAAGAGAGGGGAAGGTGGACAATGAAGCCCTAGGTCAACAAACCTCAGAAAGGCTATTTGAAAAGGGCCCTAGTTTTAATCCATTAACACATTAGAAACTGCTTATCAACCTGTGGAGATCTTAACCTTATTTTAAGTGTGAAGGAAGGGCTGATTTCATTACCAGGAGTCATAAGGGTTTGTGTTGGGAAGGAAACAATGGCAAGCCCTGGCCTTAATGCTCTGAGAAAGCGCAGTTATGTGAAGAAAATATCCTCCTTCCTCACTTCCATACCTACCAGCCAGCCTGCAGTGTGCCCACTCACCTTGCCTTCCCTCCTAAAAATCAATGCCTTCCTTAGACCCCCAGATCCCGCCTCCTCTGCCTACTCTTATTTCCTCTTTTACTTTCATTATCACACTTTTATCTAATTAAATAATTCCTACCACAAAATTCTATAAATTACCCTGCCTTAAAACAACAAAAAGAACTCCAAGGGAACCCATATTTCTCTCCACTACCAACCCACTTCTTCCTGCCTTTACCCTCTTACATCCATTTCCTGTCAGGATTCCCCCTATCAATCCCTAAAACCAATTGTGTTAAGGTCACCAGGGCCCTCCACATTGTCAAATCCATTGGTCATTTCTCATTCTCATACTGCTTGGCTCCCCTCTCCCCCTTCAAACCTATTATTTCATCTGGCTTCTGAGATCATTCATTTTCTTACTCACTCATAAAGCCACTTCTTCACACTCTGTTTTCATGGAGTCTGCTCTGCCTCCAGGCTTCTAAGAATTGGGGGACTGCTGGGCTCAGCAGTCAGCTTCTACTCTTCTCTGGCTGTATTCACTTCTGCAGTGCATCTAGTGCCACAGCTTTAAATACCATTTATATATGCACAACGGTAATTTCCAAAATCATATTTATAGCTCCAACTTCTTGGGTTTGTTTGTTTGATGGTGCTAGGGATCAAACCCAGAGCTTTGTGCATGCTAAGAACATGCTTCTCCCACTGAGCTACACCCTCAGCTCTCCAACTTCTTCCAAAACCCTACACATGCAGAACGTCCTAATCTACATCACAAATTAACATGCCTGAAATCGAATAGTTAATATTCCTTTTAACAAACTGTTGCTGTCATAGTCTTTCTCGTTTCCCCGATTTTAGCACACGGAAATTGTTTTCCCACTTACTCAGACCAAAAACCTTGGAATTATCATTGAGTCTGCTCTTTCTCTCACACCCCAAATCCATCCATTGCATCACCCGAAACCGTTTTGTTTGTGTCTTCAAAATATATTCAGAACTTGACTACTCACCACCTCCGCCATCACTCATATCTCACCTGGATTATAATAGTAGCTTCCTAATTTTCATTTTGTTTATTATAGAACCCTCTTGCCAAATCCTATGAAAGGTCAAGTACTATAAGGACTGAAAATGTATCAATGGATTTGGCAACGTGGAAGTCATTCGTAACCTTAACGAGATTGCTGTTAGTGGAGTGGTAATCCATAAAGAACTGGATCTTCTCTGTAGTGGACTCCTTCATGCTCCCTATAGTGTTTTCTCCTTCACCACAAAAATCTTTATTTCCGAGCCTTTGCATTTGCTGTTTTACTTGGATCGCCACCTTCCTCCAGACAGTCACATCTACCTCTCTCTCCTGAATTCAGGTGCCTGTTAAAAGAAGCTTCCGATAGATTTATTTTGTCAAGCTATTTTAAAGAGCACCTCCCACTTTCTATCTCTGTTATTTTTCATTATTTCCTTCAGTGTTTATCACAATCTGAATGTTTTGTTTACTAAATGTCACACACACACACACACACACACACCACACACACACACACTCTCTATAATATAAGCCCCATGAAGGCAAGGGCTTTGTTTTATACACCACTATATCCCCATCATATAACCGTACCTGACAAATAATGGGTACTCAGTGAACAATCTATTCAATGAAGAAATAAATTGCTTTAGTCTCGAACACATAGTTACTACCAAAAACGTGCAAGCGTACTCAACTTTAAGACCTCCGGAACATAACCTTAGACTCTAGACTACTAGCATGCACCATTAACACCTAAACCAAACGTCCCTTTCTTAGAAGACATACGGTATCGCTTCCGCCCTTACCCAACTCTCACTCAATCTAGGGAAAGGAGGGGCGGAGGGTTTATGTCATCATTCCGCGCCGACCTGCCCCACGACGCGCCGGCTACTGGCGCAGCCCTTCGCCCGCCCGGCCTCCCCCTCCCTGGTTCCGCGCTCTGGTTCCGCCATGGAATCCAACAAGGATGAAGCCGAGCGCTGTATCAGCATCGCCCTCAAGGCCATCCAGAGCAACCAGCCCGACCGAGCGCTCCGCTTCCTAGAGAAGGCGCAGCGGCTATACCCGACGCCGCGAGTTCGCGGTGAGTGTGAGGTACCGGAGAGACAGAGGGGGACGTTAGAACTGATGGGGGGAATATGGGAACGGACCGACGGGAGCAGTTGGGGGGGGAGGGGTGGCAGGGCGCGGCTACGCCTGCGCACTGGGACTTGCGGTGGCTGCTGGGAGATGTAGTCTTAGGCTCGCGCGCCTCTGCGAGGTGCTGAATACCTGAAGACCTGGGCGGTCTGTACATCCGTTTTTGGAGTGCTTGCGGAACCCTATGGGATGTGAGGTCTCCAAGAATGAGACGCACTGACAGTCTGTGTGAGCGAAGGGAACTCACCTGGAAGCGAAATCGAACTACTTTTCCCAAGAGGCCGTTCGGTGGCCCAGGGCCAGTTGCTGGCCTGGGGACTATTACAGTTCAGGAAAATAAACGGAACTCTACTAAGGGGGAGAATGAATCGATGAGTGGGAGACATTTCCGACCAAGTGCCCTGGAAAGGCACCTGCGTATCTTCACTCACTCGTACGTCACCAGACCAGGCCCAGAGAGAGACCACCCTCCCGACACTAGAGCCGGCCTTGTTAGTGCCCTTTCCCCACCTCGCACGGCCTGGCCTGAGACCCGGTTCCTTACGCCCTCCGGCGGCCTCTTCACCGCCGATCACATGCGGATCCTAGCCTCAGCCACCTCCCGCCCCACCTTCGCCCCAATAGGCCTTCGTCAGGGGCCAGCCACGGACTTCCGAGGCTGCTAAGCACCTAGCTGCTGGGTGGCCTGGGACTGAAGGCTGCCGAACCAGGGAGGGAAAGAGGTTGTCTCTACTACTCATCACCTCGCTTTACCCAGGAGTCCCCTTTTGAGTTTTCAAACTTTTGTTTTTGTTTTGTTGTTTTGCGGTAGTTGGGTTTGAACTCAGGACCTCGGGCCTTCTAGGCTGGTGCTCTACCACTTGAGCCACTCCTTCAGCCCAAAGAAGTTTTTCTTAATACAAACTAGAAAGAAGAAAGGCATAGGGTTACCTGTGCCTACCACTTGGTAGACTTAATAGATTGGCTTATAACAGGCTTTCAGAACTAGAAGACCCAGGTCTCATGACTGCTACCATGTGACCTTTCTGATCTTGGGTTTCTTAATCTGGAAGATTAGGGAGTTAGTGCAGATCACATAAATAAGAATACCCAGCCAGACGTGGTGGCACACGCCTGTAATTCCATCATTCAAGAGGATGAGGCAGGGGGGTAGGGGGGAGATGGAGGGGGTGGGGAGGTGGGGGGGAGAAACAGCTCAAACAATGTATGCACATATGAATAAACAAATAATAAAAAAAAAAAAAACAGAGAGATCGAGCCACAAGGATCGTGAGTTTGAGGCCAGCCTGGGCTACATAATGAGACCATGTCTTTAAAAAAAAAAAAAAGAAAGAAATAGCCATAGGGTTTTTCAGTGTAGAAAACCCTTTTGCATGCATTTTGTCATTCAATCTTGCTGCCAGGGAGGCAGAGCAAGATCATTATCTCTGTTCAATAGATGAGAAAGTGATAAGAGACTTGCCCAAGATTACACAGGTAGTATTGGAAAGTCTGTCACTCCATAAAAGTTTATTAAAAGAATGAAATGAAATTAAAAAGCAGCAGTCATACCTTTCTGCCCGTGTTATGAAAAAGAGAAAGGGAGATGCTGGCAGAATAGGTGGCCTGGATGCCTGAACTTTCCTCCCTCCTGATTGCAGGTTGATCTTTGGTCTGTTTGCCTTTTCTTGGAGAGGGTTTAAGTCTGTATTTGCCAGAACTCCTGAGGTAACCTGCTCAAGGAGCTTCCCTTGAAATAACTTACGCTACAAGTGGGAAGCATGGTTGGTATGGGGCCTCCATCTGCCAGAATTCTTTCTAACTGATGCTGCGGGGCTCAGGAGCAGGCAGCCAGGAAAGGATGGTGCCAACAGGGTCTGTGGGGCATGGCAGTAGGCCTCCTGTGCCAGTTCAGGAGCCTGGATGGGTGTCCTCCCTGGGGCCCAGGCACTAGAATTTAACTCAGGCACAAGAGTCACCTGCTGGATATTTGTCATATTTTTGCTCCTCTGGAAAGGGTATATGCTTCATCTGCATAACTTTGCACCAACCTCAGTTGTGCACTGAGCCAACAAGGACTTGGAGCTAGTTTAGGCCTGAGCCAGGGAAACTTTATTTAAAAATATTAGGTGGTTGGCTACATTGGATGCTTTGGCTTTGAGTTCATTTCACATGCTTATTCAATGTAATGAATTTTTGTTGAGGACCAGTTTTGTTTTGTTCAGTTTGCTAAGTCCTGTACTTGGTGCGAAGTGATATAGCAGGATTGGCAAAATGCATTCCCTCACTCAAAGTGGCAAACTTTCAAAACACAGTATTGAGAGGCAGAAGATAACTGTGATTTAACAAAACTTTAGCACAGTGTTAGAGGCTGAGACCTTAAGGATGGTCATGAAAAATCCAGTCCCTGCCATCTATAGGTTCACAGTCAGGTGGCAGGGAGAGGAATGCTGGGGGTAGGGAGGATGTGGAGGACAATTTCCTGGACATTAAATCACAAGCACTATAGCTTTGGTTTTTGGAGGGAGGCACTACTGGGGATCCAATTCAGGACTTCACACTTGGCAAGTGTTCTACCACTGAGCTACACCCCCAGCCCAGCCACTGAAGTTTTTGATGACAAGAATAAGATAAGGAGCTGGAGGTGTGGCTCAAGTGGGAGAATGCTTGACTAGCAAGTTTAAGGCCCTAAATTCAAACCCCAGTACTACCTGCCAAAAAAAAAAAAAAAAAAAAGGATAAGGTACTGTTCTTAAAACAGAATGAGACAGGCCTTGATTGTACATACCTGTAATTCTAGCACTTAGGAGGTGGAGGCAAGAGGATCTCAAATTTGAGGCCCTTCTGGGTTACATAGTAAAATCCTGTCCAGAAAAAAAAAGAAGAAGAAGAAAAAGAGAGGATAACTTGAAGGGTTAACGAGAGCAAGGAGAGATTCAAGGCAAAAAGCTAGGTGGGCGACAACGGCCTTCAGTAGGTTAGAAGTTATGAGACAAAGCCATATAGATAAGATAAGGTCATGGGAGAGGAGGCACCAAGCTTTTGTGTGATGTTGAGGAGAATTAGATGGGGTACACAGGGAATGGGAATCAAAACCTGTGTGATAGGGAAGAACTAAGCAGAAGAATAGGGATAGCAAGAGGTGGGCAGAGTGGGGAAGGATCACTGGGATATTCTGGGGGAGTTGTCAGCTTAGAGCTCAGGAGAAAGCTCCAGGTTCCAGAAGAAAGTCTGGTATCACCAGTTTTATGGAGCTCTTTGGAGTTGGGCATAGCTAGGTCACTGTGGGAAAGGGTGGAACATGGAGAAACAATTGCTTCAGGCACAGCTGTGGGCCACATCTGCCCTTAGCCAGTGGGCAAAGGCAAAGAAAGCAACAGAAAAGGTGGAGCAACAACAGGGAAGAGGCAGTCCCAGGAGAGGCCCCGAGTAGCCATGGAGAGGTGTGTCAAGGAGGTGGTGAGCTGTGCTGTCAGATGCTGCAGAGCCACATGAAAAAAGGACAAGTTGAGAAATAGAAGGCAAAGGATCGAGATCATGCATGGAGGCTGTTCTTGGAGAAGTGGAAGGACAGAAAAAGGGGTCGAGTGAGGAGAAACTCAAAGCAACCTTCAGAGGTTGAGGGACCTCATGGTCTTGTCAATGAAAAAGGGTCTGACACAGGTTACTCCAGAGGCACCTGCACACCCATGTTTATTGCAGCACTATTCACAATAGCTAAGTTATGGCAACAGCCAAGATACCCCACCACTGATGAATGGATTAAGAAAATGTGGTATCTATATACAATGGAATTTTATGCAGCCATGAAGAACGAAATGTTATCATTCGCTGGTAAATGGATGGAATTGGAGATCATTCTGAGTGAGGTTAGCCTGGCCCAAAAGACCAAAAATCGTATATTCTCCCTCATATGTGGACATTAGATCAAGGGCAAACACAACAAGGAGATTGGACTTTGAGCACATGATAAAAGCGAGAGCACACAAGGGAGGGGTGAGGATAGGTAAGACACCTAAAAAACTAGATAGCATTTGTTGCCCTTAACGCAGAGAAACTAAAGCAGATACCTTAAAAGCAACTGAGGCCAATAGGAAAAGGGGACCAGGAACTAGAGAAAAGGTTAGATCAAAAAGAATTAACCTAGAAGGTAACACCCACGCACAGGAAATCAATGAGAGTCAATGCCCTGTATAGTTATCCTTATCTCAACCAGCAAAAACCCTTGTTCCTTCCTATTATGGCTTATACTCTCTCTACAACAAAATTAGAATTATGGGCAAAATAGTTTCTGCTGGGTATTGGGGTGGGGGGGAGAGGGAGGGGGCGGAGTGGGTGGTAAGGGAGGTGGTGGGGGCAGACGGGAGAAATGACCCAAGCCTTGTGTGCACATATGAATAATAAAAGAAAAAAAGAAAAAGAAAAAGGGGACTTGAAACTCCAGATGTAGGAGGTGGGACAACGAGGAACCAGGGGCTAGACAGTTGCATTATGAAGCGGTAGCTCAGCTGTAATCTGGGAGGTCACAGAGCAGGGGTGATGGAGCCAGTACTCTCTGGGAGTTTCTATTCAGCACCTTGCTGCCTGGTAGGTGTTGGCTTTGCCCAAGGCTCAGCAAAAATGATAGAAGGTATCAAGTTTTCCAGGGAGCCTATGCGAATGTCTGTAGGCCTCAGTTTCCCTAGCATACGAGAGAGGGTTGGCCTGGGTGATCTCTTAGGGTCCTTGCAGCTCAGGCTGCCTGGGGTTCTATGAAATGGCTGACTGGTGTCCAGGCTAAGTTGAGAAGGTCATCCCACAGAGGGGAGAATTGGTTACTGAGAGTACTAAGAGGTTTTGGTATTCAGGGCCCACGTGTAAGAGATAATTCTAGTGCTAACAACTTCCAGAGTTGGGTCGCCCATTTAAGTCGGTCAACCTTCATGATTCCCACTGGGTACTCAACATTTCCATTCACTTGCTCTTACTGAATCTTATTTGCCCCTCAGAGCAGCCCTGTGAGAGCAGGGATCATGTCATCACTGAGGAATTAGGTAACAGAACAAGGGTACAGAGCTGAAACCAGAACTGTCTCTAGTCCAAGGCTCTTTCTCCACTCTGACCTCCCTTTCCTTGACTCACATTCATCACCACAGGTACCTAGATCTGGAAACTCTGCTAATTGCCTAGTAACAAAAGTGAAGTAACAAGTAACTCTTAGTATTTGCCAGACATGTCCTTACTCATTCTTTGAACCTCAGGAGGGAGGTACAGTTTTGCCTAGAGAAGCTAAGTAAACGTATCCAAGATGACCCTGCTAGCAAGAGACAGAGCCTATCTGAAGCAGCCAGGCAGTCTGGCTCTCCGGTCTTGGATTGAGGAGGGGCAATTCTGGCAGCTGTGGCTATAGAATTCCTCCTGCCTCCACCTCAACTGCCATCTCTCCCACCCAGCTTTGTTCTCTTCCTCTGATTTCTCACTTTTTTTTTTTTAACATTTTAAATTTTTATTTCTGAAGAGACAGGGTCACTATGTTGTTTGAAGAAACAGGGTCTCACTGTGTTGCCCAGACTGGCATTAAACTCCTGGGCTTACGTGATCCTCCTACCTCAGCCTCCACACCCGGCTGAGTTACTAGGAAGGGGCAGAGCCATGGGTAACATTAAACTGCTGTGTTGCCTCTTTTGTATCATTGCCTATCAGCCATTATGTCATGAGGAATATAATCGTGACTCAGTGTGAGGTTGTCACAGCCCATGGACCTGGCAGGGGGTATCTAGGCCACAGGAGAGAAACCAGCAACCAAAAATCTTTAATTTCCAACTCAAGAAGGAACCTTCTGTGTGACCCAGAGCACATCCATTCCCCTCTGGACTCTTTCTGTAGTGTAGGGAAATTAAAGTAGCTGACCCCACATAACTACCTTAAAAAACTTGCAGAATTTTGCCTGAGAGGTACTGGAGAGAGTTCATCCCATCTCCTGGCCAATGTTCCTATGTAGTTTGACAATGGATGACTGGTAATGTTGCCCTTAGGATATATCAAGTTCAGTCTGAACCACTAGAAACTTCCAGAAAAAAACAAAATAAGCAACTTCTTTAAAAGACCCAGGAAACCAGAAAATAAGCTCCTCCCTCTGTTCCTTCTTTTTCCATTTCCTGATGCCTGGCATCTGAGCGCTGAGACTTGACTTCTGTCATAAGAGTTGGCCTGACTCTTATCTCAGCCACTGTACCACGCGCTTGCACACATTTCATCTCACACCACCATCATGAGGAAACTGAGGTTAAGTGACAGAGCTGTGCATTGAATCTGGAACTTTGTGGATTTATTGTCTCCACTAGCCATGGAGTGACTTTGCTAGCAAGGGCTCTCCCATCATCAGACACATGTAATCAGGGATAGCAGCAGAGTTAAGAGCAGGGACCTGGAATTGGACACCCTGGGATTCAAATGCACCTTTAGTACTTAACTAACTATGCAGCCCTAGGCAAACAATTTGCCGCAGCACCTTCTTCCTATAGTGGGGTGGTGGTAGATAATACAACCTACCCACTGAGGCTGTTGTGACAATTAAGTGAGCTAATACCTGTACAGCATTGTGACATGTGACACAGTGCTAAAACTCAGTAATAGAAATGTCTGTTACTTGCTGGGCATGGAGGCGTATTCCTATAATCCCATAGCAAGACCCTGTCTCAAAATGAAAAAGAAGGGCCCAGCATGGTAGCTCAAACCTATAATCCTAGCTACTTGGGAGGCAGAGATCAGGAGGATCAAGGCCAGCCCAGGCAAAAAGACAGCAAGACTCCATCTCAACCAATATGTGGGTGTGGTGATACATACCTGTCATTTCAAGTGGTAGAGTGCCTGTGTAACAGGCACAAGGCCTGGAGTTCAAATCCCAATACTATCAAAAAAGAACTGGTTATTACTGTTGCTCCTCTGAGTGCCTTCTCAGGGTCTGCCCCACAGCCCTCCCTCCACATTCAGCACAAGCTGTGCTGTCAGTTCATGTTGGAATTGCCCAACTGCAGGCTCAGTGAGTTGGCCTGGATTCACTGTCATGAGGCAGCAGTGGCTTGGCACAGTGGTCCACCTGAGCCCCAGTGCTATTCCCAGTGAGCCCTGCTCTGCCCTGAGGCCGAGGGCTAGTAGGTATGTGGCGTGGAGGTTATCTCGTACCCATGACGGTGTCATGAGCGCCTTGGCACCTGGAGAGAAAGCTGGCCATGGGGCCCTGGTCTGGACTTTGCTGCCATCCTTCCTCAATACACAGGCATCCTGGGGACTGACGGGTGCAGGTGCCTGGTTTCCCAGGAGCCTGTCAACAATTTTGAGATTTACTACTGAGGGCACTGTGGCCTGGCGTGACTGGCAGTTTCTCAGAACTAGTTTTGTGTGTGGAATAAATGGGCACAAGGGACGCTTACCAGGGATTTGGGCCTCTCCACCCTGAGTCGCCAGGAACCAAGGACTTGGATTTAAATAACCATGAGCCTGACTTCTGGTGACAGTGAGTGTTGCATATAGACCCCAAACATTGGATGTTTGACATGGCAAATGTTTAAAAACTATAACAATAGAAGTGAGCACAGCAGGTATTTTTCCTTAGTCTCACACCATTCCTGGCCCTTTATGACAAACTTATTTCCCCCGTTCCTTTTCATAGCTAAGCAAAGGCCTCCAGGATTGACCTTCCTGACCAGTACCACTGAATCAGGGGGATGCTAAGTAGTGTCCCACTGCAGAAGACTGCTATCTTGGCCTCAACAGAGGATGTCTGTTGAACAGATTGCTTTGGATTTTTAGAAGAATCTGAGGAAGGGCTAGGAGTATGACTCAGTGATGGAGAGCTTGCCCAACATGCATGAGGCCTCAGATTCAATCCCCAGCACTGCAAAAAATAAAATAAATAAAAGTGACCTATCCCTGTTAGTATGACTGTAGGCTTAAAAAGAGTTAAAATGGTAAATTTTGTGTTTTTTACCATACTAGCAAGAAAAAAAAAAAGAAAACATTTCCTGTCTTGAACTAAAAAGAAATGAGACCATTAAACCTCAACTAGGAACATTGAACAGTTGATAACTCTGACTTATTATGCTAATAATATATTAAACAGCATAGTTTTTTTTAAGGAACTAGGAAACGTTAAAAGTAACAATGTATTGTCAACTTAGTATTAGTTTTCTACTAATAATATTAAAGCATTTTAAAGACCAATGATAAAAAACAACACAAGGACTGAATAGTTTAGATATTCAAAATGTGGTGTAGTGCAGGAAGAAAATACATTCTACTGAATGGTTTCAGTAGAAAAAATGGATTCACACGAGAAAAAAGAGCATCATGAAACCAAACAAATATTTTGAAAGAAATAACAAAGTAGAATTAAGTGAGCTCTAAATGATTGCTACAGGGTTTACTAATAACCTGAGTGTGATTTTTGAAGACTTATCAAAATAGCAAAATTCTGCTTACATGTATTAAGAAAGGATATAGGCAGAATATCTGAAAAATAAGACAGTTACTTCAGATCCATGAATTATGTGATTTAGGGTTGATTTTGTTAATAAAATTAGTATCATTGATGTAAAAAATATGATCTCTCTATTCCTGAGGACTGTGGCTCCTAAAAGAGCAAGTGACTGTCCCACAGGGACCAAAAGTAAGGAAGGAGGGAGCGGCTTTGCTGGAAAGGGCAGCAAATGGAGGTGCAGGGGGCCTGAACTCCCCAGCAGAGGCAGGCAGCCTCACTGAGTAGGCGCCTCAATGGTTTCCTTACCTTGCACAGCTCTGATCGAGTCCCTCAACCAGAAACCACAGACTACCAGTGACCAACCCCAACCCACAGACGCAGCCCACACGACCCACAGGAAAGCAGGTGGGACTGATGCCCCCTCGGCCAACGGTGAGGCTGGAGGAGGAGAGAGCACCAAAGGCTACACTGCAGAGCAGGTGGCGGCTGTGAAAAGGTAGAGCGCTGGGTGAGCCTTCGGGTCCCAGGGAGGTCCAAGGACAGTTTCCTACAGCACAGCTTCCCTTGCATCTGCCCATGGCCCAGAGGGGGCCTGGGAACATCATGGAGGATGGAAGAGGTCCAGCCTTATTTACCGCAAGGCCCCGAAATACAGTGGGAACCAGGGCCCCTCTGTCTGCAACCCACTAAGATACCCTTACTCCATAGCAGAGACTGAAAACATGGACGCTGCAGCCCCCCTTGGCCAGTGGCCCAAGGCCTCTCTCAGCTGTGTTCTCAGACCAGGGGTGCAGCGTGGTCTCACCCCCCCCAGCCTGTACCCCACTTCCTTCCAACAAAGACCTTTTCAGATCAGAGCGTGTGGGAGCAGAGTGGAGACAGGAGGCAGAGTTAAGCTGCCAAGGTTTCTCAGTACTAGACTCTCCCAGCCCTAATCTCTGCCCACCAGCTGGCCTCAGAGATCCCTCTCAGGTCATGCTCATACCTCCTGGCAAGCCTTAAGACTGGGGGGAGGAGCCAGCCCATGTGTGACCAAGCGTGAGTTACTTTGCCAAAACCAGGCATGGGTTTAATCAGACAAGTGTTGAAACACCTACGGTTGTAGGTGGTAGAAACTGACACATGAGGGGTTGAAAGGCCTAGAGAAGGCCAAGAACCAGGGGGCCTCCAGGGACCCAGAAAGGAAGAATTGATTGAGAAGAACCTGGATTTCTTTCAGGATTTCTTTAAGACCCTGTGCTTTGGGAAACAGACACCTGCCACTCCTGGCCCTTATGTCACCCACTGAAGACTCAAGTTGCCAGGAAAGAGTACAGAGCATACCTGCCCTTGAATGATACACATTGATAGTCCTTCCAGGGCTGCCTCCAGTGAGGCAGCTATTTGGGAAATGGATGTTGACCTGGCCAGACGGCACCTACGCCTCTTAAATCCTAAATGTATTTTTGGTGTTTCCAGTGAGCCCTGCCCAGCTCTCCAGCCCAGTGGAGCTCACTGTGGTTTCCTCATCCCTGAAGTCAGACAGATGACCCAGAGTAGTTTTCAACCATGCCCTGCTGGTCCCCCCATCCCTACTCAGAGCTGTGTGCCCCGTGCTGCCTGTCCTTACACACCTCACTGCACAGCTCTGGGCCCAATAGGCACCACCTACCATGTTCTCCCTCTCCCTGCAGGGTTAAGCAATGCAAAGATTACTACGAGATCCTGGGGGTAAACAGAGGTGCCTCAGATGAGGACTTGAAGAAGGCCTACCGCAAATTGGCCCTCAAATTCCACCCAGACAAGAACCACGCGCCTGGTGCCACTGAAGCTTTCAAAGGTGAGCCAGTCCTGGTATCCTGGCATTTTGATGTTTTTGTCTCCTGTCTTGGAACACAGGGCCAAGACAGCTTTCCCAGGAAGTAGGAGGCAGAAGCCCAATTCCACAGGTTCAGGAGAGCTTCCTGAGAAAGTCTTAGCATTTCTAACCACATGGAGTCTGTTGAGCTCAAATGGTGCCACTCCTGCCTCCCTTTCTTCATTTCCTAGGGTTGCAGAAAGGGGGGACTGAGGTGAGTGTGTTCTAGTAGCTTCTCCAAAGTGAGACAGAACTTGGGGCAGAAGCAGGTTACCATTATGGTCACCCCTCTTCCTATGCTGAAGGGCAAGGCAGCCCCAGTTCAAGGCTTTCCTCAGTACCAGCAGCCACAGCCAGCTCCCCTAACACACACACGTTGGGCCTATAGTAGGGGGCATGGCAGTCTCTCTGAACTTGGGGCCCATTGATTTTTGGAGTGGGTATGTCACTGCTAGCCAAAAGTATAAGCTATCTTTAATCATTTAAATTTTAATTTAACCTATCAGGCACACGTGTACTGACTCTGTGCCAGCCCTGTGCTGCTGGGCACTGCATTGTCTCATTTCCCAAATACCTATTCTCTCATTCCTACCTTGTGTCCTGTATGGGATAGCATGGTGAGAAGCCCCACCTGGCCTGGGTGCGATGCTGTGCAGTACTGAGGCCAGGATCCTAGCCCAGTGGGAAACTTGTGGCAGAGCACCCCAAGGCCTGGTGCACCATATCCAAGGGGCCTCCCCAAGAGGGAGAAGGAGAATGAGAGTTAGGAAGCAAATGACCAACAGTCTGTGCACCTGGACTGAGAGGCCAGATCTGCTATGGGGGCCTTATCAGACGGGAGAAGAAAGAGGATTCTGATCTCCTTCCCAGGGGCTGCCATCTGTCCTTGGGCCTCTGCCATGATCAAGGGAGCACTTGAGAAGGAGCAGGAAGCTGGAGAGGGCCTAGAGCTAGAGACTGTAGGGGATCTGCTGAGGAAACCCCAGGGCCAAGTAGGAACCAGCAACTGGGGCCTAGACCCCAGGAAGAAAGGGATTCACCCTGGCCGGAGTCTTAACCAGAATCTGTCCATTCTCAGCAGTCCCTGCTGCTTTCCAGGTTTGTTTTTGTTTTTGCTTTTTGGTGGACCTGGGGTTTGAACTCAGGGCTTCGTGCTTCAAAGCAGGCACTCTACTGCTTGAGCCACACATCCAGTCTACTTTTGCTCTGATTACTTTGAAGATGGATTTTCAAGTACCGTTTGCTCAGTCTGGCCCTGAACCACCATCCTCCTGATTTCAGCCTCCCACGTAGCTAGGATTGCAGGAGTGAGCCACTGGTGCCTGGGTTGCTTTCCAGTTTGCAACGAGGATCTCATGTATCTGTGTGGGTTACATTATGACTTTAAGATTATATGACCCCCATCTCCTTGGATACCTCAAGAGAGAAGAATAAGGAGAGGGGATTTTGGTAGATTCTATAATGTTAGCAAGAAAACTTGAAGTAATACTGGACACAAGTGGCTCACGCCTATAATCCTAGCTACTTGGGAGGTTGAGATCTGAAGGATCAAGGTTTGAGACCAGCCTGGGCAAATAGTTCACAAGATTCCATCTCCAAAATAACTAGAGCAAAATGGACTGGAAGTGTGGCTCAAGCAGTGGAGTTCCTGCTTTGCAAGTACAAAGCCCTGAGTTCAAACCCAGTCCCAGCAAAAAAAAAAAAATTAAAGCAAGACATAGATTGAGTCAAAGGTGTTAGCTCACCTCTATAATCCCAGCACTCAGGAGGCTTGAGGCAGGAATGTGAGCTCAAGGCCAGCCTGGGCTACATAGCAAGATCCTGTCCCAAAAAAAAAAAAAAAAGACATACCTGGGTTTGATTCTTGCCTCTGTAATCTCTGCTGTGTAACCTGGACAAGTCACTTCACTTCTGTGAGCTTCAGTTTTCATGCTGGTAAATTGGAGACAGGGTCGCTGTTAGGAGTGACTGAGATAATGCCCCTTAGGAGGCATTTTTCTGTGTGTTGACACAAAAAATGTTCAACTAGCGACTTGAGGAGAACAGGAGCCTCTATACAGCCCAGGCTTCCTAGACTTCCCAGACTTGCCTAAGGGTCTTCCTGTATGACTCCTCCCTACACATGCCGGACAGACAACTTCCCACTGGCCCCAGGGATTCTTGCTCCCTGAAGCACCATCTGAGGCCTGACGAAGCAAGCAGCTGGCTGCTTGGGGACCCACCTGCACCCAGCCTCCTCAGGCCTGACCTCTCCATCCCTTCCAGCCATTGGCACAGCCTATGCAGTACTCAGCAACCCTGAGAAAAGGAAGCAGTATGACCAGTTTGGTGACGATAAAAGCCAGGCAGCCCGGCACGGCCATGGGCATGGGGACTTCCACCGAGGATTTGAGGCGGACATCTCCCCTGAAGACCTCTTCAACATGTTCTTTGGTGGTGGCTTTCCTTCTAGTAAGTCCCAGCTTTCCCCACAGCCAGGTCTCCCAGGGGGTGATGGTGGGGTGTTGGATGCCATCCTGTCCTTTTCCCAGGAGTCCCAGCCCCTAATTCATTCCCTCTGACCCTCAGGTAACGTCCACGTCTACAGCAATGGCCGCATGCGCTACACTTACCAGCAAAGGCAGGACCGCAGGGAGAACCAGGGTGACGTGAGTGGGGGAGAGCAGGGGAGGGGATCAGGCCCACCTCAGGGTGCGGGGCCTGGAGGAGGGAGTCACATTCCACACTGCCCATTCTGGGACCCCGCAGTGTCCCCACAACTCTGAGTCAGGACCCATCTTCCCCTACACCCATGCCATTCTGTTGAGTGACACCAGAGGGAGCCACAGACTTGGCGATTTGATGGCTTCTGTTGGGGACTGTAATGCAGAAACTTCTCCACCTAGTTTTGAGTATGAATAGCTTTCATATGGCCCATTGGTTCCTAAGGCTGAAGTGACATTTTCCAAGCAATGGAGAGTTAAACTTCATGAGGGAAAGGGAAAGGATACCAAAATAAGTGCTTTTCAGCACTCTTAAAATGTCTGCAAAAACTATAACTAGACAATACTCCAAATACATTTTGTATGCTACAAATCAATAAACAACCAGCTGGCTAAAATTAAAATATTGCAGAGCATTTAAAACTCTGGCAAGCAAAGGGTCTCCTTTTGCTCTGACAATGTTTATTTATTCATTTGAAAAAAAAAATCGCAAATTATCACACAGTGAATTTATTAATTTTAATTATTCCTAAGTGTTTTGTTGTTGTTTTGTGGTTCTAGGGATTAGACCCAGGGCCTCACACATGCTAGGCAAGCTCTCTCACTGAGCTCCATCCCCAATCCTTTAATTGGTAATTTTTGTATGGTTCAAAATTCGAAAACCTGCGTATGGTGAGAATCTTACGCCAGCCCTGCCTCTCCCTTTCTCCTGGGCGCAGCCAGTCTTGCTGATTTGTTCATGTTCCCTCACATGTAAAAGCATATACCTTGCTTCCTCCACCAGTTGCTTTGTTTTCATATGGGAAAGCTGGCAAGTAGCAAAGCTTCTGTACTTGGGAATGTTTGGGAGGGAAAAGGAGGGTGTGTGTCATGGCCACCCAGGCTCCATTGTGCTAGAGGAGCTGGTGGTTCATGGCCAGCTGAATGATGGTTGGCTCTTCCCTCTAGGGCGGGCTAGGGGTATTTGTCCAACTGATGCCCATCCTCATCCTGATCCTTGTGTCCGCTCTCAGCCAACTCATGGTCTCCAGTCCACCCTACAGTCTGAGCCCAAGACCGTGAGTACCTGCACCAGGACCAGGCCAGGGCAATGGGCAGCCAGGGGCTCTGGCTTCTCAGCCCCTATTAGGGGCCTTCCTTCCCTACCTGATCTAGCCAGTGCTCAGTCATAATGCAGAAAGCTGGCTTAGAAGGTTGGGTGGTAGGATAGCTTAGTGGTAGAGCTACTTGCATAGTATGTGCAAGGCCCTGGGTTTGATTCTTCAGCAGTACAAAAAAGAAAGAGAAGAGAGAGAGGAAAAATAAGCAAGAAACTTGACTTGCTGACTTAGAATCAAGAAAATAATACTGTTACTGTTGAGCTGAGTCTCTTAATTTTTAACTTCCTTAAGAACACAGACCAAGAGGTCACATCAGGACTCAAATCAACATTTTTCTCTTAATGCTTGTAGGTTTTGCTTGTCTGTTTTGCAGTATTGGAGATTTAACCCAGGGTCTTGCACTCCCCACTACATTACTTGAGCCACATCCCCAGCAGCATCTTCATTTTTTTTAGGAACACTGCCCCACTAGAAAGTGCATTGGAAGCTCAGTCCACTTCCCTGGGACAATGCACACACACACACACACACACACACACACATATGATTTCAGAGGCTTCATGATTCCCTCTGCTCCCCCATGTTATCTCCTGACCCTAAAATGCCCTCTACTCTTAAAATCCAGTTAGGACCCTGAGATCATGGAAAGAACAAGACTCTAGAGTCAGACAGAGCAAGGGTGGCTTTAAACCTCAGCTTCTCCACTTAGAAGCTGTAACCCTAGACAACGTATGCAACTTTGGTTTCCTCATCTATAAAATGTGAATAAGAATATCCACCTGCTTGTAAAAATTAGTGAGTAATACATATAAATTGTCTGGCTCATTAGAAATTCTCAACAATATTTGTTGAATGAATACTTGGTCTCAATTGCCAGTAGTGAACTTGAGCGATTTAGTTAGCTCTCTAAGCTGTCAGCCCCCTAACATTTCCAGCTCCTGGCACAGTATCCGATCTGTCGTGGGCACCCAGCTTCTGTTGGTCGAAGCGCTCTGCTCCTGACTGAGGGCCCAACAGACTACTTCTCAACCAGCAGGTGGCAGAGTTGGCCCTACAAGAGCTGGCTCAGGCTCTCTGTGGCCAGGTGCCAACCCCTTTCCCTGCAGCTAGAGAGATGAGAGGCAGCTGCAGGTAGACAGGGACTGTCCTCCCTGGAGCACTAAAACTCTTCCTGCTGCTTGCAGAGCCTTAGATTGCTGAAAGAGTACAACTCCTTGGAGTCCTTCCTGTCATTTTTATTTGCTTTTGTTTTGTTTTGTTTTGTTTATAGTGCCAGGGATTGAACCCAGGGCCTCATGCAAGCTAAACAGATGTTCTGCCATTAAGTCACACCCCCAACCCTGTCATTTTGTCCCTAAGGTTCTTAACTCTAGACCTGGAGCTCCTAGAGAGGCAGGCAGGCCCTTGGCATCAGTGGACTTAGGAGCTGGGTGTAGGGATGGAGACAGGGGAAACAGAGCCCATGCTCCCTTTCGGGACCCTAGCTTCCCAAACTAGGGCCTTTCCTCAGAAGGGGCTTCCCTCCATAGGCTCCTACATTAACAGTGCGATAAGCAAAGAGCTAGAGGAAGGGCTTGCCACAGCCTGGCCCATTTGTGCAGCAGGACACTGCCTTTGTGCAGACCTTCATTTGGAGGGGTATATAAGTTCCTGCTTCAGTGTGGGAGGGAACCAGCCATTCCTGTGGTCTGTGTGGCACCTCCTGCCACGGGGCCATCACCCCTCCAGCTTCCCTGGGCCTGGACCCACTTTGTTTCTGGTATATTCTGGCCAGGTCGGTGGGTCACATCCACAGGCGAGTCACTGACCACCTGAGCGTCGTCTATTATGTGGCAGACACCTTCTCTGAGGAGTACACAGGCTCCAGCCTCAAAACAGTTGAACGGAATGTGGAAGACGATTATATAGCCAACCTCCGAAACAACTGCTGGAAGGAAAAGCAGCAAAGTAAGTGTGTGTGTGTGTGTGTGTTGGTAATAGTTGGGAGAGTGGGGTGACTGGGAACAAAGCTCTACAATGAGTTCTACTCACCCAGTGCTTGTGGGCCAACACCTGGCACTGTCCTGGGCCAAACCACCTCCTGGATTCCACTCCTAGAGCCCCCTAGTAGTTTCCTCCAGGTTCTCATAGATTACTAAATCAGCCTATTGCTTTGGCTGCCAAGGGTGAGTGTGTGTACAGATGGATTAGAGATCTCTGGCCACCTATTGATTGTGCACATGAATCTGTCAGTGGGATCCTGAGGAGGTCTGACCAGGGTGACGGTTCTCACCTTGACTGCCTTACTCACCCACCTTCTATAGAAAAGGATCTCTATTATCCCTCTCCCAAGGGAGAACTAAGGGCTGATGGAGTGGCTCAAGTGGTAGAGGACCTATCTAACAAGTATGAAGCCCTGAGTTCAAACCCCAGTGCTGAAAAAAAAAAAAAAATTATCAAGGGAGAACTATAGTTCTCGCTTCTATGGTGTCTTCCCTTACAAGAGGCCTACTCTGTGCAAGCTCCTGAGCCTGTACCAGACTTCCTTCTCCTCCTGCGTCCACAAGCCTAGGCAGGCCTCCCTGCAGGCTTCATGAGGTACTGGGTATACTGACCCTGCTCCATTGCTTTGCAGAAGAAGGTTTGCTGTACCGGGCCCGCTACTTTGGCGACACAGACATGTATCATAGAGCACAGAAGATGGGCACCCCAAGCTGCAGTCGGCTGTCAGAGGTGCAGGCCTCCCTGCATGGATAGTCCTGGGCCAGCCACACCACCCAGGTCCAAGTATGAGCCAGGGCTGCCTCTACCCTGTAACTCTTGGCAGCTTTGGCCTTGGTCATGAAACAGAGGGAGGGAGGGAAGAAGCTGGTGAAAGACTCTTATTCCCAGCCTGAAATTCCAACCTTCACATAGTGCAGAGATGGGGACAGCTCTGAAACTGAGGTCTGTTACAGACCTCTAGTCATCCACCCTGTTCCCTTCTCTGACTCCCTTCTTCCCTGCCCAAGAGCCAGACAGAGTGGGAGCCCAAAACTGTTGCCGAGGACCACTTTTGGCTCCTTGGTCCATTCTAGCCATTAAGTCACCACGGCCTTTTCCCAAGCACAGCTGACTATTACCTGTGCCACCAAAAATTACTGGGCCCAAGCAGGACAACCCACATATACACTCTGTGGGAGCGGGTAGGCCAAGAGCCCTCCCCTTCCTCCATCCTTCCAGGCAGGAAGAAATAGTAAAAACTAAATGGGCAGCCCGACAGCAAGCAGGAGAGGCCTGTGTGCTCTGACCACTCCCTACTCTGGGGGATCTGAGGCCCTCTCTCCAGTGCTGCTGCACCTGGCAGCCTGGAAGCCACAGGCATCCGACCCCACCCAGGCATCTTGTCTGTGGTCTGAGGAAGGGAACAGAAGGTCATGAGTTCAGGGTCAAAGGCAGCCACTCAGCACACAGAAAGAGTGGGGAAAAATGAAAGTTGCTGGCAGTAGGCTCCCCACCTCCTCTGTCCTGTGTGTGGGTAGTGGGACCTATTCCCAGTGCCCCAGAGCTGACAGCCTGGACCAAGTCCAGAGGATTGTGGGCAGAGCCAAGAGAAGTTCTTCTCTGTATTGCTGCCCTGCCCACCCCTACTTTGCCTGTGTCCCTGGCACAGAGCCAGCTGCAGATCTACTCTGAGGCTGTTTACTGATCGTGCAGAGGAGAGCAGCAGACAGCAGAGGAATTGAGTGGGGCAGGGCACAGCACATGGTAGCTGCTTGTTTGTGTGGCTATGTTCAAGGTACAGACCGTAACTGCCCAGCTAACTGCTACACTCTCTTCCCCAGACTATGAAATCCCTGGAGAATTTTTGGTGACACGAACTGAGCCAAGGTGATGGACTATATATTTAAGGAAAGACATACACAGAAAAAAATTAAAATGGAATTGAGGCCGAATGCCGCACAACTGCCCTCTCTCTCACCCAGTAAATGCAGAAGCTCTTAGGACAGACAGAAAACCTGCCACAGGGCTGCTTCCTTCCCTCCCAGGGCTGGCAGAGGCTCTGCATCTCTCCCTCCTAGGATACGGAAACCATGGCAACAAAAGTAGAATGTAAAACTTGCAGCAAATGTCTGTGGGAAGGGCTGGGGGAGGAGGCATCCAACTGCCTCCCCTCCCTCCCAGGAGCCACCACCAGTCACCTCACAGAAGAAGCAAGGCAGAGGCATTGGCCAAGGATAGAGAGGAGGAAAGAACTCTCCACAGAATGTAACTTACAGATGTGTGCGTATGTATATATATATCTATTTATATGTAAATAGGCATATATAAAGATATATATATATAGACATATATATATATATATTCTACTTTTTAAACTATGCAGGGATTGGGTTAAGTTGTTCAGCTGATTTCTTTTGTGTTTTAGAAGATAAGGCTTGTTTGGGGAAGGCAGCCTGGTCCTTCAAAAGCTAGACATTAGCCATAACTGATGATATAAGGAAAGTTGGGTCATATACTTTTAATGTGTCCCCCACTCCCATCCCCAGCCCCAGCCTGTTTTCAATGGCAGCAGTAATCATGGTGGTATAAGCTATAGAAAACTTCTGAATGTCACCAGGTTTATGATTAAGTTGGAGAGAAGGAGACTGGGGGGAAGAAAGGTACTCCTGGGGACAGGTACCAGGTCAGTATTGAGCCACAGTAGAGACCCCAAGCAGGGGCTGCTGGGGTGAGGCCACCCGCTCAAGCTGCCTCCTCCTTGGCCAGCTCAAAGTGGGCTTCACTCTGGAGTCCAGGAGCCCTCCAGCCAGCCTCCTGCCCACAGCCTGGGGCTATGAAAAAGGATGGGTTCCATCTCTCCACTTCTCCACCCAGTTCCCTAAGTGAATTTTTGCCTTATAGGTGCAAAGGGCACAGCTCCATCCTTATCTCTGGTTTTTCCTAAGTCGTGCACCAAGAACTCTAGAATGCTTTTCCTCCAAGAGTCAGCCCAGGACCCCAGGGCAGTAGCTAACTTGTGAAGAAAAGTCAGTGCCCATGGGCACTTCTGCCTTCTCACCCTCATGGATGTAACTCCACCAGGCCTCTTACTCATTGGATGAAGGATACAGCAGAATGGCTTTCTTATCCTCCCTCCCAATGACTTTCTCACTAAACAGCGGTTGCTGTCAAGGGAAGGAAAGAGGCTTTATTTAGTCCCACGTTTATACTGGGCCTTTCGGAATTGCCGTTTTTCCTGATTGTTCCTGTGGCAGTGGGTGTGGCATTGCACCCACTGTCTTCCAAAGCCTTACTTCCCCAAGTTGCCAGCCACAAGGTGGTAGCTCCTCCCAGAGTTTCTCTTTGCTCTTTTTTTTTTTTTAAGTCCCCAACAAATAGGATTCTTGCTGGGAAAGGAAGTTTGGTAAAAAAATGTCAAATCTGGTTTTTAAACAAAGTTGGACCCTGCAGTGAAGTGGCTACCTGGGTCCAGAGAGATCATAAGAGTTAGACACAGGCCAGAGTACCCCACCTGTAGTAGCTCTGGTACTCTGTCCCACCACCTGGACTGTCCAGTCTTGGTAGCTGTCCCTAGACGAACTGAGTCATGTGCAATAAGAACATAGATCCTAAGGGATCCCCTGAAAAGCTGTATTTCTTGAATTAGAATTCTGAAATTGTACATCTATAAATATGTGTTTATTATGTGATTGACCGTGGTGGGTCTGCATTGAGCAAGGCAACTGGGGGAAGAGGGCATGCCGAAGACCTTTTGCTACTAACACTGTTCAGCCCATACTGCAGGTGTTCTTAGTGACAAGGCTGACTCTCAAGCCTCACCCCAGCCCAGGCTGACAGTCACAAATGCTGTTCCAGGCCAAGGGAACAGTCACAAAGGCCATTCCCACTCCAAACAAAAGGTATAGGGCTCTGGTGACCACTGGGGTGCAGGATCTGGGATCCCTGACTCCAGGTTGGAGTGGGTGTCTGGCCCATGACCCCACTGCCCTCTCTCCACACCTGGTCTACTGCAAGGCTGAGCAAAACACACCCAGAACCTCCCTCTCATCCTGGGGCCCGGGACCACTCCAGATCCAGGGCATGAGGAAAATTCCCCGAGTTTCTGGTCACACTGTCTTCCCAGCCATCCTCCCTGGTGCTCCCACAGCCACCCTTCTCCCCAAGAGATGGGAAAACTTAAAACTGAGGCAGCCCTAGGGACACCAGTGAATGAGCAGCAGATCTGCCTGGGCCTCCCAGAGACAGGGCCAGCAGCCCTGACTGGCGGGCCCAAGCCCCTCCCGCTGCTGCACCAGCCAAAGACAGGCGGGCTGCCCGGTGGTGCCACCACAGCCGGGAGCTCATTGGCTGCCCCAGCCGGGGTCACCGCAGCCTGCCCTTGTCTGCAAGCTGCCACTTGTTAGCTGCAGTAGGCAGAGGCGTTGCCAGGTGCCCGCCCCCCCCATGCACCCACTCCACCTCCCCTGCCCTCACTGCACAGCTCATGAGCCAGAAGGGGTGGGACACACTGCAGCAAAAAGGAGGCTTTGACAAGTATGCCCCACCCACTGTCAGTCCATCCAGGCTCCTGGGACTTGCTGGCTGCTTTATTGCCTGTCCCACACTGCTTAGGTTGGGAAGGAGCTGTTCCCAGAGCTGAGCAGCACCTGGCCTGACCCTCACCTGACAGTCACCTGGCCAACTAGGGGAGGTGCACACAGGGCCAAGGAGACAGTATCAGTTCTGGAGCAACTCAGAATCCCTACCAGACCTCACACATCAAGTGACACCAGTCAGTCCATTTCCTAGAGCAGGAGACAGGTTTGGGGAAGGAAGGTGACCCCAAGGAGATAAAGCTGAACATTTCTGAGGTCTCTGTAGCAAAGTGACCATTCTGCAAATACTGAACCCAAACTTACTGTGCTCAGGTGACCAAACCCACTCTTCTAAGGAGAGTGGAGACTGAGTGGGGGACCTGAGCCAGAAGGGTGGCAAGGCTGAAAAGACCACACAAAGTAGAGTGGGACAGTCTGAGGATGAGCTGCCCATTCAAGCAGGTGTCTCCCAGCAATGACAAAGGTGTTCATCTGCTGTATGCAAGATCACCCCTCAGCTGGCGTCATCCCCAGAAGGCAGCATAGCAGGTCTGTTGTCAGTGTCCAGCTGCCTTGGGCTTAATCCTGGTTCAGCCATTTACTGGCTGGTTGCCTTTGGGCACGTCACTGAACCTCCCACTGCTTCAGTGTTCTCATCTGCAAAATGGGAGTAAAAACACCCACCTCAGGAGGTGGTTGTGGAGGAAAAGCTGTCTTATATAAAACAGTAAGCTCTTCCAAGTGTTATTTATCCTGTCGACCAGGATTAAGTGACACTGGGTGTCGAGTGCTGTTCTAAGCACTAAAACAACAGTGCCTTTGAGGAGATACTGGGGGAGGGGAGCAGACCCCAGGAGACAGAAGACTCAGAGACCTCAGTGTATGTCAGCAAGGGCTCTGCGTAAAAGGGCTACCAGCCGTGTGAGCAGAGGCCTGGAGGTGGGGAGCACAGAAGCCAGTCACACCCAAGTGGCCTTGGACAGAGAACTTCACCAGGAATTAATAAGAGACCCTGAGTCTCCCTAATCCTGACTGACTCTACCCTGTCATCCTGTTATTCACTGGGAAGCATCTCCTTGGTTCCTTCCCTGCCGTCAAAGGCACCACAATCCTATAAGGCCAAAAAAGCCCAGTGGGAAGAGGAAGGAAAGGGGACAAATTGGGCTGTCATTCCCCCACAGACCCTCATGGACAGGACCTCCTGTTACTTCCAAGACTCAGGCAGGACAGGGACAGGAGGGTCAGGCTATGTAGGATCCCAAGTCCAAGACCCGCGGTTTTGTTTGTAGAGGGGCACCTTACTGCCATACTCTGCCTTCTTCCCCCAAGTCAGTCTAAGGGAAGGCAGGGTTGCCCACTGCAACTCAAATGGTGGCGAGGCTGTCCTTGGGGAGGTTGGGATACAGTTCTCCAGTGGAGTTGCCACTGGTCGGGCTTGGGGCCTTCAGGGACTCAGATTGGCAGCCCCACTACCTTAACTGAATTGCTCTCATCTTTCTGGTGGCTATGGATAAGGGGGCCCAATAGTCAGGTGTCTGAGCCACATAGCAGAGGAGGCTGGGGTCTCTGTTGACAGATAGGGAAGGTGGGGTCAGAGGGAGGGCGCCAGGACTCATTTCCTCCATACTGACAGCCACACAACATGCCCTCCTGACCGTGTCACCCCTAGTGAGGTCTTTGTCCTAGCTCCAGATAGCCTTCAGGACCTCAAGATCTGACTCTTCTGCCTGCTGGAGCCTCCTCTACCTGCCCTGCCACTTGCGGGGGCCCCCTCTGCCTGTGGGCCAACTTAGATCCCTGCAGCAATAGGCAGCTAACTCCCTCAGCCTTCAGGACACAGACTCCTACCTCAGGGAGGCCAGCCTGGCCCTGTGGGGCAGTGGCATTGTGACTCTAGAAGTATTTGTGTAGTTCTACAATTTTTCCCCTCCTGGAAAGGCAGAGGCAAGTCATATTGGTGTCTTTTGCCAGGGCTTGGACACAGTGGGGCCTCAAGGAAGGAAGAAGGCTGAAGGATAGAAGGGGCCTGTCGGCACCAAAACCCCTGTGTGGATGGCACTTGTGGCTATCTCTCTGCAGCTTTCTCAGCCTCACCACCTCTTCTGCTGGGGTTGTCTGTGGACTGCTTTTCAGTCATAAACTTATACAAAGTGCAGACCTAAGAGGGATCAGACCAGGGCCATCAGCGTGCCCACCTGGTGAGAAGGCTGGACAGGCAGTCGGGGGAGGCAGCCAGTGCCACAGAACCAACACTTGAGTGGAGCCTTTTTCCTTTCCCTACCTCCTGAGGCAGGCAGAGTCCTGCTGAAAAGGTACAGCTCCTCTCCCTGAGAGAGGACAGGAGTGCCATGGGGCCATTTTGAGAAACCCAGAGGTTATGGAGGTAGTCGCTGACTCTGGCTCTCAGACCTATGGCAGGCAGCACCACCCACTTTTGGAGTCATACACACTTCTGTCCCTGAATGCCCAGTGCTGCCCTGTCCACCAGCCTCACAGTCACCTGCAGCAGGTGTTGCCACCTGCTGGCTTATGACCCTGTGAGCTGAGGATGGCATCCTGGACCCCAAATTTTGCTGATAGCCATTTGTCAGACAACCCTATCACCACCACTGCAAGTGCCTCCCAGCAGCAGTTTGGGGCTTCTGAGGACTGGGGCCTCCATCACCTTCTGGTCCCTTCTTGGCATTGAACCACTAAGCACCAACAACAGACAGAGATCAGGGGTCCTGCCTCAATTACAATAGAAAATGCTTTTCATTTGTATTTGTAAAATTTTGTTATAATTGTTATCATTCAGTCATGAAGGCTGTAGGGCTCTGTC